GATGGCCGGAGCCAAAGTCTGTTCTGGTCATGGATAATGCATCGTTTCACCACTCTGAGCGGATTTCGCAGATGTGTGCCGATGCTGGAGTCAAACTTGTTTATTTGCCTCCGTACTCGCCGGACCTGAATCCAATTGAGGAGTTTTTTGCTGAACTCAAAGGCTTCATAAGACGCAATTGGTGCTACTACGCAGATGATCCCGACCGCGAATTTGGGTCCTTTCTGGAACGGTGTATCAACCAAGTTGGGGAAAGACAAGACAGTGCCAGAGGCCACTTTCGGCACGCAGGCCTGACTGTTAAACATTAAGGCACTAAAACCTATTTCGTACAAAATTCATAAGAAACTGAAGGGGCAGAAAAAGGTCCAGAGGAGTGGCCATGGCATGTTTTTTCGTTGAATCCTCATTTTTCGGCACTTAGGAAACGCTCACCGGTCAAATCCCGCCTTCTAGAGCAAGGTGCTTGTCGAGTAACGCATAACCAATTTATTCCTGCCGCTTCTAGCGAAGGGCCTCATGCATAACACGTGGTCGAAGGCGCCCTCTGTTTTACATGGTACCACAACTTTGACTGTTTGTTTTCATCAAATGGAAAGGTGTAGGGCGTTAATGTAGTTACCCTCAGTAGGTTGTTCTCTAGTTCCTTTTGGCTTTTAGTTGCTGGTTATGCTGCAAGTATGACCATCTGTAATCTGGCTCTGTCGTTGCAAACAAGAGGTTGGAACCATCACCTAGAGCCCTTGGTGAGATCGGTGCTAATATGTGATATTATATAACGAAGGGACAATTTATACTCTTTATCAAACTTATAGATGCCAGATCTATGCCTTCATGCTTCGTACAGTAATACTCGAAAATCGATTCTACCTACATACACCCACGTATTGAATGCTGAACCCTAGCTCGAAATGCGCTATTTCGCTTTTGGGATGTTTGCAGTTCCCCTCTTCATGTTGACCGAAATGACGTAATATGCCCGCCTGCCGGTTAACTTACTTTCTGAGGCCCTCTCGGCGTGACAATTACATCCCCCACTAACATTTCTCTGCTCCTTGGAGATCTGTGCACAAAATCTGATGGCTATATTACCAGGTAAGTCGCATGCTGTTGTACGGTGAACCTGTTTTGAGCCTAATATAGGACAACGGACGCTTGTGAGCAGCGTGAGTGGTCGAACCTGCCGCCAAGGTCATTCCCAAGAGGATATTGACATTGCCTACCAATACGAAGCGCAACAATACCGCCATGCCTTGTCCGCGTTGATTGACAAGATACGATGCAGCGACGAGACAGAACTTCAGGAGCTACTTGAAGCAATCCGGAAGCCGGATACCCTCACTGAAGCCGTGCAAGAAACTTTACGTCGAAAATACTGCTAATATGGGACTATCGAGCGCCATCGCGATCTGGCTCCGTCAACTCAACCTGCAAGTTACACATCATATCTTTTGGAAATGCTCTAAGTGAAGATGTCTACTTTCGTAGTATATCTCTATTTATATATATCTCATGTATATTATTCATCAAAACTCCGAAGGGCCGCTAGCTACACCAAAATAATTGTTTCACATCACCTCAACGATCGGTATCACTCTCTTCACGTTCTCCACCCAGTCACGGATATTTTCTACGAAACTTCGGGCAATTCCGGGCTTGATCCCCTTGTCGACGAAGAAATTTGGGTTTTGATCCTTGAAGATGTGCTCAAGTTCGAAGCCATCTGAAAGCGTTATATCGCACGCTTGACGGAATCCAGCCTTGAGAGTATCATCGGATACATTCGATGCGAGCCACTCACCGTATTCTTTGACAGCTACGTCTTTGAACCCAGGAATATTCAAAGGAGTCACAGGTCTCAGCCCTTCCGGGGCATCATCCGGGGTCATCGGGGCCAATCCAGTAGAGTGGGATGGGTGAACATTGATGTTGATAGGTTGATACGGCCCTCCATCCCTAAGAATGTTACCGCCTTTGCGCTTTTCCTTGTCCTGTCTCTGCTGTTCCTCCATATAGAGCTCATCCCGGATCTCATCCGGAACGTCTTTATGCGTCTCCAAGGTACCACCTTTCTCGACATAAGTAACCAAACGCCTGAGAGTTTGCGTGCGGAGTCGGTAATGCCTTTTCCCCATTGGATCCAGCCAACAGTAGGGACCCAAATGGCATGCAGCCGAACCACATTTCATCAAGTCATAAACACGGCGCCAAATTGATTGTTGGCCGCACGCATTTTCTTCAGCATCAAGCTGGGCATCCCGATCATCAAGCATTCTTTTGGTGACGGAAGATTTACCTCTCTTCTCCCCTTTCCGTCCAGCAGATGGAGAAATGTAATCCTCTACGTAGTTGAAACAGACCCTCAGCGTGAGTCTCCTTCCACGACAGAAATGACTCGACCACATCCGCAACTGTTTCTCGATAGGAGCCCAGACAATTTCGGTCTTGTTGAAGCGCTTGGTCAAATCACGCTGGGAACGATCATTGACTGCCACGACAATCGCTGTGTCATCGATCCTAACCCTCTTGTTGCGGCTGACCTTCTCTCCAAGGACAGTTTGTAGCTTTTTTTCCAGGAATAACCGCCAGTAGGCGCTCGGGGCCAATACCAGGTCTTCTTCCGTATCCTTTACCACGGCCTTGTTATTGAGGGTGACACGCCATTCTATGAAGTAGTGGATACAGCTCGGCGGATCCTCGTCGTAGATCTTGTCCGCATCCCACTCAGATTCCTGGAGCAGAGGTAAATTATTCGGCTGAGATCGGCTTGGGACGTTGGGCTCTTCTTCGAGCGAGATCGAAGGAGAGGGACTACAATCGTGCTGTGTAGCATAAGGGCTCCGGAAGTTTCCTGGTGTAGGGGCATATTGTGAATCATATTCCCATAGTTCAAGATCTGGGGGTTGAGACATGTAATCATCGTGGTACGAGGTGCAGCTCATATCCACAGACGATCAAGGCACTGGAGGTCTGTCAACATAGGTGGGCGATACCAGTTGTGAGTAGACGCCCAGAATGAAAGCGAGGAAAGGGAGAGCAAGAGCCATGAAAAGCACGAACGAGAACCATATTAGCCTACCGGGTTAGTCTTCTACAGCAGTACACAGAAGTACAGCTTTCGTTTATGTTCAGTAAGATGTAGATGAAGACGAAGATTACGGGGAGAGGAAGAAGGAGAGTTGGGCGTGGATCAAGCCAGATTGCCAGATCTCCCCCACCCCTTCCAGGTCCCTAGCTAGAACTTTCTATGGGAAAATACGGTAATTTACCAGGATTCATCATACATTACAGCCCAGTACGTTATATATGACGATACTGCTGGACAGGGGTTATTTTTGGTGTAACCTCATATGGACTAGCGTCGTTTCGGGTACGGGCCGAGAAACAAAGCGTAAGTGTCCGAGGGGTAAACTGTTTTCGAATTCTACTGTACATGTGTCCCGGATAAGAACGTGTTGAAATAGCAGTGACGAGCAATAGGCAACTAGAAAGTGCTACTCGCCGACTAAAAGTACCACCAATCGCATGAACGTGTAATCGACGCATTGCGAGCTGTTATACTGTAATTGCTGGCTACTTCGTTGAGCACGTCTAGCGAATTAACATAGCACCCAGTTCTTTCTGAGGCTCGCCCAGGTATCCTCATTAAAAGCCATCAATACGACGCATGAGCTATGGTGTTGCCCCTCAAACCTTTGTACAAGACAGGCAAGGATACATAGCTAGTTTTGCAGTATAAGTATAGCCATTGGATCCAAAATCTCAGACATATAATTTCAAGGCCCTGGTCCTCTGTGCGCATATCGAAGACATTTAATGATCCCGTATTCCCTCTTCGCCCAATTCCCGCCCACAGACATGGATGCCTCGGTAAGTGTACCCGTTTTTGACCGCCGCGCCGCTGACCAGTGTCCAGGAAGTTCTTCGGACTATTGGTGCACTCAACACACGCACTCTCCAGGCAGAGCGCCGCCAAGCGCGATCCGAACAGGAGCTAATCGCCATGCGAGAATCGCTCAGCCAATCTAGGAGCGAGCTAGAGGAAATTATCCGATTGACCGAGCTTCTGTATGAGGTTAACCGGCGAATGGGATCTATGATGGACTACCTATTCAGGGAGAAGGGAATCAAACACGGGTCTGAAGATGCAGCGTCATTTAATTTGATGTTTGACTTGGTGGTGCAGGGGTCGGAGGCGGAGGAGGCTGGGCAGGTACCCAAGTGCGAGAAGTGCGAGGAAAAAGTGGGAGTCCCCACGGGCAGCCTTGCCTCTGTACCTGTCGAGCTGAACAGTGAGAGTGGTACAAATGATGCAACCTCTTGAGATGTCCATTTGCGCGCACACAGTCGATCAAGTAGCAAAATTAACTATATTGCACTTTGGCCAAATCAGCATTGTCCTCGTTACCGCAGCCAAAAAATGTGAGCCACGAAGAAGAGAGGAAAGGGGAGTAGCTTCTTCAGCGCGACCCATAGCCAAGGTGAGCTCTGTTATAGGGCTTGATGATCTGGGGATCAGAGCCGCGTAGCCTTCTAAGCCGCGTAGCCTTCTAAGCCGCGTATTGTTTTGAGCGAACACAACTGTGCGACTGATTCTCTATTGTGTAGGATGGTGGCACTTGCGGCTTCTTCGCCACTGTATCCATATCAACCTCGTCAATCTTAACCTGGTCAGACAGAACTTCTATGCCACTGCACTCAAGATCTATTTCAGAGTGGCCTGCGCTCATCTACGCTCGCTCAGGCCTCAGACGCGAAATACAGCTTCAGCACGGAATGGCCCACCCGACTACTAGACGGCTTCACACCTCGTCTGAATTCTTATTCAACTTGGCAGAAACATAGTGAGGCCTTCCCCAGTGGTGGGTTTAAGATAGTCCAACATGATCCAAGAAGGACATAAAGTACGAAACCCCTCAAGAAAACAAGTATATTGCCCTACACCACATATCTGCTGAACATATGCACTGAAGCCTTTAATTCTATGTGACCATAGGTGGCTATCGATACTCCCAGTGCTTCATTGTAGGAAACCTCGTGCCAACCCAGAAACACAATGAACTGAAAGGGTATGAAAAGAAGTTCCATCCAGTTTCTGGGTCGGTATATTGCTACATTAGACAGGGTTAGCAGATAGCCCAAGATCGAGTCGGTGATTCCGCAGTGAAGCTTACATTGGAACAGGTACGCGCCAACACCGTTTTGCTGAGAGCAGTCTGCATCGTGTCAGACCACTCGACCTCAGCCCCTTTGCTCACCTCGACAACTGATGCCTGTCGCTGAAGTATAGGACGTGCAATCCTAATAATCAGATTGACCGAGCTGTAACGAATGTCAACACAGATCATCGCAATACTACCGCGGGAGAGTACTCACCACTCGATCGCAAAAAGAACAGATGTGTGTCCACTGCCAGAATTTGGGCCAAGTAAATAGAACATATTGGGGAAGTTGTTCATTGCCACGGACTTGTAAGCACCGATACCACCTTGATCGTCCCAGTGCTGTTTCAACGATTTGCCCTGCCTGCCTATCACAGATTCGGCCTTCCATTGCGTGAACTTGAATCCCGTCGCCAAAATCTACGATCTGTGGTTAGTATGAATTGTGGATGCATCTGTCCAAGTGCAACTTACGATAAAATCAACCGGATACTCCTAGCCCGAACCCGTCATCACACTTTTCGAGCCGACTTGTGCAATCGAGTCCTTGACCAGCTTCATTCTAGGGTTGCGAAGCGTCCGGATGTAGTTGTTATCCAGTATCCTTCGCTGCACACCATGTTAGTGGTGACCTGATGTACTTCAAACACCCGCTTACTCTGCATCCAAGTTCATAGCTTGGGGTGAGCAATGGCCAGTATTTCTCTAGAATTCATCTGTCAGCATCAGGGTGGCAACAGCGTTTGCCATATACTCACCAGGAGCGTTCTCCGTAAGATAGCTCTGACTATCAGATGCTCTCTTCTCCCTCAATTTGTTCCCTTTGGGGTTGTTGTAAAATTGCCTAAGTGTTGTGTCAAGGATCCAAAAGATCCCCCATCGGATAAGGAGCAAGGTAAGTGGAATGTAGGAGAAACAAAAGCGCAATGCCTTTCCAAATCGGTAATTGCCCATGGGCATCGGCACGTAATGTTGTGGGCTCTATTTCCACGTAGCAGTGTCAGAATCAAGCAAGCTCGCTAGAATGAAATACTTGCCCGAATAATCTGTGTCAGGCTGTTGACTTGGTCGATCACAGCAGGAACTAGCTGTGAGCCGGAGCCTGCAGGGCTGTTAATTCAATTGTCTGTTAGGCGACTCATAGGGCGTGAACAAACATCCATTACCCACCACGGCCACGTTGAGGCCTCGGAGGTCGTACTCCTTGTCCCATTGGGCAGTATGCACGACGGGGCCCTCGAACCGCTCCAAGCCAGGGAGAACGGGGAACTTGGGATTTGTATAGCCCCCGACAGCAGAGATCAGCACTTTGGCTTCGTGGATGAATTCTTCACCTGTCTTCAAATCGCGGAGATAGACATGCCATCGACTTGAAGCTTCTACCCACTGGGCACCTTTCCATTCGGTCCGAGGTCTCACATGTTCAGTGACATGGTAAGCGCGAGCGACACGTTGGATATAGGATAAGATTTCCGGCTGGGAAGGAAATAGGCTGGTGAAGTCTGGATTCGGGAACCATGACAGCGAATATAAAGCGCCAGGTATATCAACACTGCATCCTGGATCTGCTGCTTGTTAACAAGTAATATGCAGACGGAGTCAAGGAACATCACAATTATTGGCTGCCCACGCTCCACCCAATTCTCGAGCGCGGTCGTAAATCACATAGTCATTAACATGTAGTTGCCGTTGGAGCTGGCATGCCATGTCGATTCCCGACAAGCCTGCTCCGATGATAACAACGTCGCTGTACAACGTCTTTCGTTTGTACATCGCTGGTCTGTTGTGCGATATTCAAACTATGCAAATACTTACAGAGTGAGCTGGTTCGTTGTGGGAGCTGCACAAAGATTACCGAAAGATTTACCTGTCTCTTTAGTATGGTCGACTCGGAAAGGAAAAAAATGGAAATTAATCGGAATAATTTAATAATTTAAACAATGTACTGCCTAAAGAACCAGCCATCGAGCCACACATTGCGACAACGGGACACAAGAGCTAGCAAGTCGCGGAAATTATCTGTTCATTCTTTTCTCTTAAATTCATCGTGGGCATTTTCCATCTTCTGTTTATTTCCTTCTTGCCCAGTGTGAGATCGGCTCCGCATCGCTGAACCTTCGCATCGCTGAACCTCCGCATCGCTGAACAACGAGTTTCCCCTGAATGTGACAAAAACTTACCAGTCAAATTCACTTCCCGTTTGTATCTCCGTTAAGTTCCAACTCCGGTCTGACAGGGGATATTCAGAACGATGTTTTATGTACCCTGGAAGAGAGAGCCACCTTCCAATTTCAACATGTTCGCGTTCCGCCTGACATGGAAGATACGGCATCGGCCGTATCAGATCATCTTCCCGTTGTGTTTGTAAATTGCAACAGCTTTCAGGGCCAATGTATGTTGCCTATGAAGGCGATTCCCGTCTTGATCCTGACCCAAGAAAAATTCGAACGCAATGGTTGTATGCTCAACCAAGGCACCAACCACACTCGCACGCGGATACTGCAATCTCACGGGTAGTCATCTCCACTACTGTCTCTAGGCACAGTGGAACTCATGCTTGATGATCTTCTCGGCCAGCAGGTTTCGGCGTGCAAATTCCGCAAGCCCTCGCTTAAAAAGACAGAGCAATGAATGAATGCTTTGTACGTACCTTGTTCCTAGGAATATCGACCAACCCTGACTACAAACGACATGAGAGTAGTCACAGCAACCAGGGAGTTTTCGCATTGCTTCAACCTTTGTGACGCAGCTGGTGCTATCCGCAGAATATAAGAGCCAGCTTTGCCCTCCCAATTTACCATGCCTCTAGTTTAATCTGCATCTCCTCTTTCAAAAAGAACCGCCCCTATTCAATATCATCATGGTGGACCAGAAAGTCGTACTTGGGCCACAAATCCTCACTTTCCGGCTATGCATGGCTTTGGAAGGACATCCTTTATTTCAGCCAACAGAAGAAAACAAGCCTGGGCCCGATTCGCCGAGAAGGTTGTTACTGGCGTCTGCCTTGGATGGCGGCCCATTTACTGAAGACAGAAGCACGAGAGACTCCTGCGCGTCCTCGCCCGATGTAAGTCTCATATAATGTACATTCTAAGGATTGGAACTGAACGACTCGCAGCCTCCAATCAAGTATCCTTCCTCGCTTGATGCCAGACCCGACTGCAAAGAGGAGGCCGGACTTGCTGTAGCATTCGCAAAGGGCCTCGCTTTCTGACTTGGAACGAATGGCGATATACTATTTTTGAATAATGTGGACAGTAAAAATGCATTGTTTTAAAAAGTGTGGCCCGGGAGCTACGTGAGAATATTGCAACAATCTTAGGTACTGTACATTACGTGGCATTGCATCTATAAAGGCCTTCCTAGCTATCTAGTGAGTCAAGCCTTTACTTTCTCTTTTTCCGGACATAAATTTAATTTTCTTCGAGTTATTGTACAGCATTTCATTCATTCAAACTCTTGCCACCCTTCCTAGCTATCATCGTCTGCTCGTTCGGGATTCAAATATCTCGTTGTGAGCCTTGCCGGAGACGCCTGGTTCGAAGCCCAAACGCCCTTTTTCCTTAATACCGTAGTAGTATAGACGACTGTCACAAGGAAACAATGAGCGGCGTGGCTGTTGATACTTTTCACTGAGCCGCCGAACGATTGCTGGACATTGGATCTCATGAACCTTGCAATCTTCACACAATAGAAAACTGGCGATCCTTGATATGTTTCTCCGAGTGGGCTTAGAAATATTATCCCCTAAGGCAAGTAGCTCGGTGCTAGCGAGGTTGCGTTTGTCCATCGAAACGTCATTAGGGCAGACTAGCCCATTTTCACTTACCCAGATACACTGCGGACGAAGCCGAGGATCCCCTATCGCTCCAACGAAAGACAGTTTGATTTGATCAGAAAGGAGCGATGTCATATTGAGCCTAAAGACAGCTTACCCAGAGGCGCATGCGTAGGAGAGTAAAGATGCAATTGTGAAGTGACAGTAAGCTCTTCTTATGAATAGGGGATATGGTTCCCATTTAATACTGTAAGGGGTAAAGGCTGTTCAAAGCCACCTTCGACAGTGCCCATGACCGTTTGGCTTTACCCTCCTAGTCTCTGCTGAAAGAGAAAATCGCTACCAAACGTTGCTTGTGATATTTGATATTACATGAAATTAACATAGTATGTTAGGACAAATAAAACGTCTCGCCGTGCAACAACATTGAGTCCTTCCCTTTTACAGGCCTTTATCTGCCATAATCTCTCAATAATTCAATCACGCTTGATCCATGTCGACTCAAACCTTCCATCTATCAAAGACGATGGCTGTATCTCATGCACCACCTCATTCTGGCCCCTGCTGCCTCCCTTGGGAACTCACTAAACCCGAGAGGACCCACGTAAATGAAACTGCTCTGATTGCTGTATTGTTTCGACCGGCTGAATATCTCTTTTCTGACGGTCAGAGATCGAAAAAGCGACAAAGGATGCAATGGCCATGAATATCATCAGAGACCCATAAGCCGCCTGACCAACCCCTCCATAGTACATGATGTTGTAATACTGAAAGTTGTCATTACCGCTAAACCTTTTAAAGGAGGTTTCGAAGCCATGCACGTGGTCGGCTAGATAGCCCCCGGTGGATATTATGACCAGGCTCAGGATGCATTGAAAGCACCCGAAGTACATCCAGGCATTGTCTTGCTCTCGCAGCCATCTGGGGTGGCCTGCAAGTACAGCTCCCGTAATAGCAAATGAGGTGGATATAATCGCTGCAATCACGACGTCGATGAGGACATTTTCCATCAGATTTCTGAATGTGTTGTCTGAAATTGATCTATCGGGAGTGGGGATATCGGCTTTCGCTCGGTCCCGTAGAATGATCGCGAAGCGCGCCATGGCCGAGTTAAGACTACCAAAGGCCAGCCCAATGATAGCGAGAAACGCAATGGCAAGGCGTATCCGAATGGTGTATTTGGTGGACATTGTAGAGCGCAAGGTCACTTGCGCAAGTTGTGTTCAAGTAATTGCTTGGATACTCATGAAAAGAAGGACACCAAAAGGAATGATAGAGAAAAGAAAAAGACGCGTTCTGGTCAAGCTCTATCTCTTATAAGGCTGAGCTTGGTCAATCTGTGAACTTAGGGCTCTATCAGCCAGCCTGTTTTGCCACATGGCCCGCCAGAGCGAGCTATGCTAGGCTGTGCAATTGAATGATCCTGAGAGCAATGCGTCTCAAAGGGTCGGTACCTTCCATTGCCATTCGCCTATCAATCAGGGTATCCTGGGAGCTCGGCCCAGCTTTGTCACGGCTTTTCGCAGAAATCCTACTTATTGTACGCTTGCGCTGCCTAACCACTCCACAAAGAATTACCTTGCTCATTCTGTAAAAATGCACTAGCAAAATATTTACAGATTACACGTCTTTGGACGCTCAATGGACGCTCAATGGACGCAGCTGGCAAATATCACAATACAGATCTCAAACATGCCCAAATGTTCAACCCTGCCATACCGAGCATTTGAACAAGTAGGTCGGTAAACGTGGCAGGTTCGGTGGCACAATCCCGAGCAATGAATATACTTAAGGAAAAAAGTCCAGCTTTGAGGACTGCTTCATGAATCATCAGGATAGCATCCCGACTCAGTCCAATTAGCTCAAAGTCCCCGTCTTTGATGGTTCCTATCGAGAAACCTCCAAACCAGTGCCCAAGGAAAAGTCGGAGCAGAGCACGTCGATAATCGCGAAATTTTTGCCTCGAACATTGTCGCATGATCAAATGGTCGGTCAAAGACATTCCCGTGCATGATTCGTACGCTGTTTGACGCGGAATGTTGGTCTTTGTTGGAGCTGTCCGCAAAATGGATATAATTTTCCAGCGCCAATTCACAGGCTGCAGACAGGTATCTACCATGCGGTGCAGAAACAAAGCGGCAAACTCCTGTGGATGAGATGACCAAATCGTACGCGTTCGTTCATCGTCCAGCAGCTCACTCTGAATGGCAGCATATGGGGACTTGTAGTGAAAGAACCTGGAAAAGAAGGTCGGACTGTTGACCCGAAAGACAATCTGCTCGAAGGCTTCCCGGATAGGCTCTTCATCAGAGTAGGATGGACCGCGCTCGGGAGAATATTTCTGATGTGAGTACAGGATTCGAGTTCTCGCGCAGTGCTCGCCTGAGGTTATATACTTGACACTTCTTATGCGAGACTGCCTGCGGACGACAGAGGATAAGATCATAGAAAAGTACTTTTCCAATGATCTTCGAAGCGGTCAACCGTGGATCTTCGTTTTAACAACAAGGTAAACAAGACTCAAAACTTACCTTTCGGATAGCCGTGCAGACTTGGATATCGCAGTTGTCGTAGGCTCTGCTCTTGTCTGGGTGTTAAGCTCCTTCTCATTGTGCGTCAAATATATCTTCGCCGCTTTGAAGAGAATCCGGAAGACCACCACGCTGCACATTGGAACCCACCACCAGGTCATAAGAAAACGCATAGAAGAAGCTAATTTCGCAGTGGCAGCGTCAAGGGGCAAACCGGTAGAGTTGACCACACCGTGCATGACTGTTTCGTTCCCGTCTTTCAGTGTGACCATGATCTTCAGCTTATCCACGGGAGCTGCACAAGGATCAGACGAGTTAATCACATAGCTTGCCATGGTGGGTGTGAATGGCGAGACTTGAAGATCCTTGTTAAATTTCCCTTGAAAGCAGTAAGGGCCATTCCCGGACGTAGTCGTCCGGCAGTTTCGCGTGAGCCACAGCCTCCGCTCGCCATATGACGTCTGCAGTTGCACAATCATTGCGGTGAGCTCCCATTTGCTGTTGTACAGGTACCAGAACGAAAGTGGATTATTCAACTGCCAAGTGACACTTGGCGGCGTTAAAAGATACGCATATGGCCATTCAGCAGGATCCTCTCCCTGTAAAGCATTAGTGCATAGTCACCATCAATTCCCGAATGGCGCCCACCTCGGACAAGAGAAACTCCTCTAGCTTTTGAGTCATCGACAGGTTTGCGCCGCCGTTGAGGGCGTGATCTTCGGGTCTGATACTGAACCATGCTTTTGTGGTAGGCAGCAAGGATCGAGGTCGGAATGGTGGCTCAACAGTAATCAACGGGCTATAACAGGCTCGGAGGCCGACTGGGTAACCTACGTAGAGATACGAATGGTGATAGTCGTCTTTGAAGCCGGACCGACGCAGGTGTCGAAGGTCGCACGGGAACATTGTAACCCGCCCGTGAAAAGCCTTTCCGATTTGGAGATCGTCATTGTCCTCTGGAACCCGAGATTTCCGGAGAGGGCAGTACTTCGAGTTTTGATCCTGTTGACGAAGGGTATCCGCACGGCATCCGCTTTTGCCATCCCAACCATTGACTGGGCAGCCAGATGGGGCTGCACCAGAATATGTGCTTTGCACTGAATCAGTGTACTCTGATTGAGTCTGGAAGAAAGCCGATGCGACGAAGACAGTCACAATTACCAGAATTGTCGTCCAAGTGAGCTCTACCCGTTGTCTTAGACCAATGAGCAGGAGATTTTCCGCCAAAGCCAAAGCGACTCTTCTCTCTAGCGCCAGACGGAATACAAGAAACAGAAGAAGAGGAAAAGTCTGCCACGGTACCATCTTGTATTTGCACAATGTGAGACCATAACAAAATAAAATGAAATAGAAAGCGGTACGTGAGAAAACATACTTTATGTGAGGGTACCAGAGGAGCACATATGGTGAACGTGGATGAATCACTTCCTACGGACCATCAGGTCTCACCTAACTGCACCCTTCATTTTACACGCCCGCAAATAGTGGAAAAGAGATCCAGCTCAGTTTCACCGCCCCGACGTCTACTCCGTTTCATGAGTCTGAAAGAACGAATAATCGGTCAACTCTATATTAAACAATGCTACATCAACTGTTGAACCGTTAGCCTTTCAAACATGACCGTGGGCTACAGCGCTAAAATGCCCGCCATTTGCGCATCTATTTTGAGGTGACCTCAGGATGTCTCCACTGCAAGCATCCACATTTGACCACCTAAATTGTTTAGAACATTTCTTGCACATACAGAATTTGACAGATGCACGTCATCGTGCGAGTGGTCGCACGGCACACTTCCAGTGAGGTCGCTATGTTTGTGTTTCTTTGTGCAAGCAACAATTACATTTAACTACAGTATACCGATAGAACTCACAATTATCAAACCACGCTTTTCGCTTCAATACTTATACTGTACCAATCTATTCACAAAGAAAAGGCGACATGTAAAGAATGTAGATGTCAGCTACATGTACCTCGCTCCCTTGTTTTGCATGTACGGACGCTTGGAAATTGTGACAGCCAAGTAGAAGTCAGAACAGGCAATGTTTAGTCCTGATGCGCTGCAGCTGTAAGAAGGATGAAAAAGCCCAGTGAAGATTTATCCATAGAGACTGGCTTATGGTAATGATATCTTTAGAGGCCATCAACATCAGCGAAGCCGTAGTTGATTGACAACTTGCCCTGTTGGCGCCCCAGTCACCAGCCAGCTATCACTAGAGACTGCAGTAATATTATAGAGTGGGCATCATCCCTTTTGTGACAAATAAACGGCTGTTGAAATATACATACTGGCAACCTTTCATGACTTTTGACAGCACCCATATAGCAGGACAGGACTTTGCACTCGAACTAGGAACATAATCCTGTAATCCTCAAATCATTCAAGCCGCCAATCCTCTGCTCAATCGTTTCAACAACAGTTTGCCATAATGGATGTCAATCACCCCAAGGCCACTAGGCCTGAAACTCTGTTACTTCCCACAAAAGCCGATTTCGGTGGCAATGATAGTGCGTCCACCGCGCCTGTGGAGCGGACGAAAGAAGTGGCTGCTCCTACGACTCTCACCAAGTCCAACCCAACCACCCTCCCGAAAACCAAACCTCCGGCCCAGCTGGTCAAATTTCGGAAGCGAAAGCGAAAATCAGAACTACCCACTTCCAGTCTCGAAACATTGAGTGAAAATCCTTGGTCGGTTTATATCAAAGGCATTGAGATCTTTCCGCGAAAGGGAATATTTCTGGCCCAGAACAGAGAGGACAAAATGGAGCTGGTCCACATTCAACAGCTCAAGGCGGAGCCAACCTCAATACAATCGTTGATAAAGACTGTCAATGGCCTCTCTTACCGCAGTTTCCCGCAGCTCTTGTGTCACTACCAATATGAGGATCACTCGTTCCTTGTGTGGGAGCCGGTCGAATGCTCTTTGTCTCAGGTCCTGGGATCCAAGTACGTCCTAAGTGAGACCGAGATTGCCTCGATTGTGTGGCCAGTATGTCTACCTCCCGTTTCTGTTGCTCTTGGAAACACAAGTCCAGTTCGAGATCAATCCTGACTCTCTGTAGATCCTTATCGGAATCAGATATCTCCGCGATTGCGATAGAGCACTTGCCACACTCACCAACGACGAGGTCTTGTTTACAGGGTCTGGTGGGGTCCGCATTGGTGAGTTAGCCCCGGAGTGTACAGCGAACCCATCGCATTCTCTAATAGCACCGCATTGGAATAGCTGGCGTGGAACGAAGTTGCCGCATCGATCCTGAGGACATGAATGCGGCTACACTGAAGCTGACCGCATTGTCAGAGATTGTCAAAAGATTAATGAAAAAGAACGAAAAATTCGACTCTGATTTTTCGTGGAGTGCAGAGGCTCGGAATCTGCCACACAGGCTGGATACGGTCGAAGTGGACGAACTGATGCTGGTAAGTCGGCTTGACCCATATGTGAAGATCATAGCTGAGCAACAAGGACGGCTTTTTTGCTTCCCTGAAAGGTGAGGCAGAACTGAAACTTATGGTGAATATCGTAAACAAGACCTCGCACTACGATGTCAACTTTCCGGCACGCAATTGAAGCGAAGCTCGCCTCCTGTCTTTGAATCGTTATATATGCATTTTTCGTGGGGTGAGGGGGTACTATAGGAGGAAGATCGCGCCTTTTCTCTTTTGATGGTGTTTCTGCATACTGCGGCCACCTCTAGTTCCCAAGCGATTAGGTCCTCGTCGAGCTGGACAGGCAATACATGCCATAGCAATCCAGCGAAGAGACTAGTTACAAGCTCAATGCACATTCCCTATGCTCGGGACATGACTACTATATACTACGTACGATACAGAGACTTCAACTTATATTATGCTACAAGAATGCGACAGCATGCGAGAGGCAAACACAGTAGAATGGCTTGCTTGCCATGGTAAGGTGTTGAACAAAAAGGGGGCGCCCCGTGTCATAGACACGGCCAAGAGCGGTATAAGGTGCAGGACTATTCCGGTGCTCCAACATAAATCTAAGGCTCTATCAGGCATAGTAGGATAGCTCGCCAAGCCAATTGCAACGCGAGTTCAAGAACAGGTAAATCGAAAGCCGCGTGAGATAGTAAAGGATAAGCAACAGCACAACTGTTGAAAGTCTATTTCTCGTCTTGTGCGCGTGATTGGCTTCCTTCTGGAAGTTGGTGGCCTTGCAATATCTTCAAAGCTTCCGTAACACCCATTCCCATGCAAACCAGCTCGCTCTCCAACTGTTTCACCAAGTGCCGGCTAGTGTCAAGTTCTGCGTTGATCTCTTGATACTTTACCTCCCACTCCAATTTCTCCTTGAGCAAATCCTCCGAGCAGGCTTTGGCACGCACAATCTCAGCTGCAAGTTCCTTGTTTACGCTTTCCAGTCGTTGAATGGTGGCCGTGAAAGAGCCACCCTCGGACGCTGTCTCTGGTGACTTGGAAAGCTTCGATGGGCTCGGGCGCTTTGATACTTTAGCATTTTGTCATTCTGTGAACATATGTGGCCAACCTTAAAACTCATCTCTCTATCAGAGCCTGCGTCAAATTCGCGCAAGGTCTGCGGGCTAACAGCTTCGATCGAACACCCAAGTGCATCACGTATGACCTGGTAGAAGCCAACCGTTCCATTGCTTAAATTCTTTTTTAATAGGTGTTCTTGCGAAGTTGACACCGACCATGCGTAGCCGTCTGCTACGGAGGGCTGCAATCGGACCCGACTCGGTGCGACAGTCAATCCCAATCTCTCATCTAACTATGCTGTTAATTGTCAACCGGTTTTGGTGGTTTCTTTGCTTGGGCATCATACAAATGTGAGCAGCCAGAGCTTCCCGGCATTGCTGCCTGGACAGAGCACGTTTCTCGTTGCTTGTGAGCGTCATTCGGGTTCCTTACAGTACTGACTGACGGGTGATCATTGATCTATAACCCAGCGTGGGCTCTATACGTATTTCTACAGTTGGCAATTACTGTCAGTGCCCTTGTACAGGAGAGAGTTTGTTCGCACCATCTAGCACGAGGCTGATAACCAACTCTGTTTAAATGCCAGAATACCCACGTTGACAGTCGCCGCAGCTCAAGACTAAGGCGATCCAGGAGCTCGGGCCATTTCTAAAGCTCTACACGTATTTGATGAATCATTGTTGGATGCTCTCACCTTATGTTTGCAGTAGCCATGGGGTGGTTTCACCCGCAGCCAGATTTGTCTGTTTTATGTACGCAATAAAAATATCTCATTGAGGAAAACGTAGTTTATATTACTCTAGTGCGAAGCCCAGCAAAGTCTGACCCTTTTTCCGTCGATCATTGGAATCGGATGACAATTACTGGACCTCATATCTCAAAATGAGGCTAGCGGCCAACGATTATAATTCTATGGAAAAGCAGGTCCAGTCTTTCTAGTGTTTCAATTGCTAAGTTAGACAAGGGGTGGATTTTTGTAACGGCTCTCGTCAAACCTGAGGGTGACTTTCTATTTATCTAAAGCGAAGTTATATATGAGGGAAAGGCCGGCTCATAGTAGCGCTTTCCAATAAGATAAATACCATGCCAATCTGCGACGGCCGGTGTGGGGTTTGCCGGAATCATTCGTCTTCTCCAGCATCCAGCATATACTCCAGCATATACTCCAGTATCATGGCGAGAATCTCTCCCAGGCGACTGCGCCAGAAAAGATCCATTTCTCCGGAGAGACTCAGCCTACTGGGACATCCGCCTAGGATGCGATCTACATCGACCACGAGAGAGAAAAGAGTTCTGGGTCATTCGCGCCAGTTGGCGGAGAGAGCCATGGGAGATATCCCCATCAGCCCATCACATGAACGCAGCCATATTACACTACGACTGCGTCAGCAGCAGTCTCCGCGGCCTGAGACCGCGTGGTGGACTTCTTCCGAAAACCTCGGCCAAAAGGACGACAAGAAAAGGCAAGACCAGACCATTACTAGCGAGGCGATTCGGCAAGCCTGGCTCCAACGTCTGCGCCCCAGAGCGTCTCATCAATGTTCATCGGTCGAGCCTAGTGAGAAGCGGAAACGCGAGTGTAAGGTCTAACCAGAATCTGACGTGCAATCAACATGCCACGATTGGTTATAACCAAGTGTCTTACGAAACGGTTATTTAGCTAACTCAATCAATCCGGTCATTCCCCTAAGACTCATTTTTCACATAGGCCTGTGTACAATGTAGGAATCTGCAGAAAACAGAAAGAAAGAGCATAATGATCCACTTGCAGGCATCGATGGTCTTCGGCGGGCTAGTAGAGTAAATTAAGACCTCTTCTCCCTCATGGGCCTTCTGTCCTTCCATGAGATCCACTTAATGTTTATTCCACTTCTACCCGTCCTTTTGTGTTTCTGTGTCGTGATTGCGGCGATCCCAGGCCCAGAGACTCTGATCATTTACAGGGCAATACTTCAAGTAAGTCGATCCTTCTATCCAAGAAGCACGGTTCTGTGGCGAGAAGCTGGTCTCAGCTTATTAGAACAGAATGTATAAGCTCGAAGGCAACAACGAAGAAACCATCCTTTCGGACCCAGCCAGCGGTCGTCAAAAAGAACTAAATGAGACCCCGCGAGGGGCAGAGAATCAGGGCAAAGGAAATAGATGAGTAATCCCTAGCTAGACCATAGGAAGAATAAGCAGAATAACAAACATAAATGTGGTCGCATTGAAGCTCGCAACTAAGATAATGCGGGTTTGGTGTATTGTACCAACGTTCTAACGCCATCCGCTGTCCAGCAAATCAAAACATCGGATTAATTAAGCCTGCCTTACATGTAGTTTGAATGGAACAGGTTTATGCTCAAATAAGAGCGCGTATTCGTGCATTCAATTCCAGATCATAGCTTCTAGAGCCTAACTTGCCGACCCCTCCAAAAAAGAACCTAGAATCGAAATCAACGCCCATCAAAAATTGGCTCACACTTTATTCACAATACCACTCAGCATGAGGATCTGAGTGAGGCCATGGGACTTCATGTGCGAAGCAGTTTCCATTCTACTCGCATACGTTTGCCATAGTCCCAACCCATCTAATATGTAACTGTTGCTAGGTGTTGAACGCGTGAACCATGGCAGGCAATAAGATGGGGGTTCCCTATCTGGATGGGTGCAATATACCAAGCAAGAGTACACAGTACCAGACACGCTTCAGAAATATGGCACTGGTTCTGTTACTCTTCACTTGGTATAAAGTCTTTCTTATGCCAAAGTCCTGGACCTTACTACTCAGCAGCAAACTCTCACCATGGATAGTCTTCACAATGAGCATGAAACGAAAGTTGAGCAAGATCAAGGCAGAGGAAGCGTCCCGCCGGGTTACATAAATGAGCTGCCAGAATTTCCAGCGATGCAGGATCTGGGTCAGCAGCCGGTAAGCAACAATTGCATCCCCCATGCAGCTGCACGCTAACCTTCGCAAAAAGCTCCCACAAGTGCAGCTGCCCCCGAGCGAGGCACACGTCTTGGCCGTTGAACCATTCCAGCCACTCGTCGAAGAGTTGAAGCGGCTAAATCAGGACGACCCGCAACTCGCGCACCAGGCTGCACAAATCGTGAGGCTTTACCGACGGCTGTATGAGTCCTATGCTGCAAGAAAGTCTGAGAGCCAACGTCTTGAGAAGGCGAATGGGGAACTCCGCACGGCACACCTCCAATTATGCCAAGAGAGTGAATACTTGAAGGGTCGATACGCCGAACAGGAAGAAGAACTGGCCTATTTTGAACAAGCCTTTGACAAACTCAGCGGAGGTATCGGGAGCCTCCTAGCGGACTCAGAGGGCTGCTTTTCAGAACCGATGTATGAGGCAGCTAGCAAAGTAAATGGAGGCTCCTTAAACTGTCATATTGAAGCTTTTAAGTAAGAAGGCTTTACAAATACAAAGTTGTCGACGATGAGACACCTCATTCTATCCTTCAGACGTGATATTGTTATCGAAATCGTTAGTCTCCTTCCAATGTATGGTCATTGCAGATGTCGCGGATCATGGTCTCATAAGTAGCGGAGTCTCGGTTGGCGTGAGGTTGGCGACCTCTATGCCTTGGCAGCGAATCTTGCTCTGCATAAGATGTTGATCGATTAAAGCAAACATGGCGAAGATAGCAGGATCCAGAGCTTATAAGCTGAAGCTAGGGCAGTCAGTAACCTCTCGGTAGGCTACGAAAGCTTCAGGGGTTTACCTCTAGACATAACCGCCAACTGCCCAATATAGCACCAGGGACAGCAACAACCAGAAGAATAAGTGCTATTATGCACACTTGGTACATTTCAGATCGCAATTTTGATCGACCCAGATGTCCGGACATAGACTTTCGAAAGAGCCAGTAGAATCCTAGGCCGAGGCAGATGTAATCAAAAACAAAAATAACAACTATGATGAAGCGCAACGGTAGACAGGTGTGTAAACTTAGAATATTGACTAACACTTTGCTCATGCTTGACGAGGCTGCCACAGCAAAGCAAACAATGCGAGGAGTAACGAAAGGGAGATCCAATGCCTTGGTGAGTCGGAGACACTAGCGAGGTACTACCCGTTACTCGTCTGTCCTGGACACTTCATTCGAAAACCACGTACCTCAGAAAGACATGGTAATATACTGATCATGCCAATGAAAATTCCCTGGACTGTATATTGGTAATGGTGAGCTAACTTCATAGAATGAGGTTAGGTTTGCCAAACCTTTCTCATCTCTGCCAGCCCATGTGAAACCCACGAGCACACTGACCAAGATAAAAGTAAGTAATACAACTGCAAAGTTCAGCTTCTGGTAAAGTGGGAGTTTGGTAAAAGTTCGGCGGCATAAAAGAAGATGGAGAAAATAGGTGAACAACAATATTGTGTCTAAGATGCAATGCGTTATCGGGTAGATTCCCATGGTTGATTTGGTGTAGTGTGATTTTTTTGAGCCCAGGGGGACTGCGGCTTATATCCTTGAATTGAGTTGGCACATTAATCACTAATATATGGAAAAAGAGCCATCTGGGCTCCTGGGAACATTGTTCTTTGATTCTTTTTTTTTCCGCCTAGTGACCAATTCCGGACAAAGCTTTGAATAAGCAATTAGATCATACCAATACTGATTTAGATGGCCTTATACTCCTCCGGCCCCTCGGACGATGTTAGGTTCAATATCAGGGTCTATTATCAAGAGATTCTGTTCCTCAGCCCTTCTCTGAGGATCTCTTCTTGCAATCTCAATGACTACTAGAGCAGCTTGTTACCGATGCCAACATAAATATGGAAGGATCCGCATTGGTACGCTGCAACTGCTGGCTGCTTCAACGTTGTCCAAAAGATAACCGCATACTGCCTCGGCAATACGGCTGGAACACTCCACGGGGAAGTTGTCGCTTGCTGTCGCAAAACATCGTCGAAACTGGCACATTTTAGATTTAGTCCATGTTGTTCTAAGCCATGGTACCTTTTCTGAACTTCACGTCTAGTGACAGAAGCAAGGAGGAGGTGGACATCTCATTTATCTGCGGAGATTCAACTTTTTCAGAAGATCGATAATTCGTCCCCGAACACTTCATATACCCGACCACTATCATTACATTCCATCAAACTTGACATATACCGCGATGATTGCAGCAGCATCGAAATCCGAGATCACATAAGAAATGAAATTGGTGAAGAGATGTCTTATGACACAGGTAAATAGGGTCCAATATTGCTTTATTTCCGCTGGCCAAGTACAAGGCTCCATGAATAATCCTTTCAGCTCTCTGGCAATTCATGGATCCAAAAGTGATGAGCTGCATTCGTAGATACCAATTTTGCTTTCATAGCGGCACATTTTGTCCTTCTTCGCGAGCAGATGCCAATAGGGGGGTTGGCAATGGGATCCATCAAATTGTCGTGATGGTAGGAAGGTGAACGGCGGCCATGACAGTGCTGGCAATAAAGCAATCTATTTTGCTGATACACTGGCCGTGATAGATAGCAAGGGAATGACTTGAGATCTGAAGAGTGAATGTAATCTGTTGTATTACATTCACGTCGTCTAGTGATGGATTTTCGCCATAGACTGATGAGTAACGACATAATCGTAAGCAATATTCTAAGATGCATAGATAACGGTGCGTACTTGTCAGAAACCCACAGACTGACGCCGTGCAGCCAATGCATAATGACGTTGAAATGAACCTATCACGTAGAGAGATTGGCGAAAGTGACTCACACGCTTAATTAACTTGCCTTGGCTCAGGAGTGAATAACAGCGGAGACCGTCTGTAAACGAAACAGTAACAGTTTGCGTTGGTCCTTTATTTAAATAATCTGAGATAAGCTCCCACATCATGTAAAAAGACTTACCGGAATGAAATTCGCGAAGTTTGCCATCGCTTAGCATTATATGAAGTACATGAGCTGGGCAAATATTAATCAAGTGCAATACTGTCCATGAAACAAAATATTTGGGGCTCTGTTCAATTGTTCAATCTTGCCTACGAATGAGTGCAAAACATTCTAAGTGGCTGGAAAGCAACTTGAACTTTTAAATGCAATTACAGTTTCCGACATCAAGCAGTATGTCTGGGAGTTACAGGGAATACCTTGTCTCAATACTGTATCGTAGGCGAATTCCGATCGCCTCATGCCGACGTTCCAAACAAACTATGTTGTTGCTAAAACTTAAGTTTGGATACTCCAATTCGTATTTGCAGTTCTTTCCAAACGAATACAGAGTAAACAAAACTATACTGAAGTATCAAGTGCGCCACTAAATAAAGGAACATGGAATAAAAATCCGATCCCCAGGGTTCCACCTTTTGCTATCACCAACCGGCAAATTTGAGAGCGTCAAGGGGATGGGGTGCCCCCTTTTTGTTTAACACATATCAGCGGCAGTGAATTCCGTTCAACTCTACGCTGCAATTTGATGGCTCTGAACTTCGGGGCTATCTTAAGATAGTTGGTCTTGGAGCACTCAAGAAAGCAACTGATGCTGCATAAATTACTTCAAATGAGGAACATAGCTATTACCACTTCATTTTGTGAGCAATACTCCATTTAAGATAGACTTTTCGTGACCAATATCAGAAAACTTGATTTTTCATTGAATTAAGCACAAAGTTACGCGTTTAAAGAGGTCTGAGCATTGTAAAGTACCTCAGTTGGCTCGCTAGTGTGCAACCGGGGTACCAGATAATGGTAGAAGCTGGTGAAACCCATAAGTATTTTGGAAGATATCAAGGATGCCTTGACGGACTGATTGGAAAGATTGACGGCTGTCACACAATATTGCTTCTCTGTCGTTACATAGACGATGCAGAGATTCGTTGCTCTTCTCAAGCCAACCATTTGAATCTGCGAGTAGATGCCATTCCTTTTCGGCGCCTTTAGCCCTTGTGTATTCCCTCATGTAGGCTTCCCACAAGCGCTGGTAAACAACAACCAGCCTCATGGCTTGAGAAATAAGGGTTGGACGGTTCTCCATCAAGAGTTTAATTTCGTTCGTCAAAGGAGAGTTTACACCCAGCGCCATCTAAGCTTTTCGTCAGAAAAAAAATGCAATTGAGGTAGAAGCTCTTACTACCTGTGTCATTTGCGGGGGTGCTGAGATGGGATATGCCCCCGAATACCCAATTGGAGGTCTCTCGGAGCTTTGAGAGCCCGAAGAGCGGCGTCTTCGCTTGGCAGGGCGCCTCTGGGGGGAATCTTCAGACTGCATATTGGGCTGTTTCTAGGAGTGGATTATCCAGGATGCGATTCCAAACCCTTTCTTATATAGATTCTTGAAACAACATATTTAATTTTTATTCATTATAATTTTTATTGATATTCTCTTTTACTGTTAGGGAAGCGGCGGAGGGACTAAGCTAGAAACTGGACAAAAAATGATGCACTGGCATTAAAAATTGCAGGCTCGGCGATCCCAAAATTTTGAGGTCCTGCCGATCGTAAGTTTAGGTCCAAGCGGAAAATTGCGCACCATTCATCACTTTCCATAAATGATGAACATGAAGCCATTGTCACTTGTTTGTTAGCTTCTCATGAACGTCCGAATATGGAACTTCACGGGGCCTTCAACTTGTAGTTGTGGATATATGCCCAGGTTTACAACAAGGGAAAGTTATCTTGAGGCAGTCTTCCTGATTGATCCTTGTAATCTTGCTTACAGTATCTGGCCATTTTGCACATATCTTGCCATGACAAATAGTTTCAAAAAAACATAGGGACGGCCCCATCACCACGTACACACACACATAATTTAATTAACGCCCGGCGGCTCAGCCGAAAGGGAAAGTATCTCTGATCTACTATGCATGTCATAATATGTATAGTACTATGTCTCCTTTGAGCCCATGCATAAAACGTTGCCATACATGTCATTTCCAGCAAGCAGTGTCGCAGCGGATTCTCGTGGGTTAGTAATTTTGTTAGTAGGCTATCTTGAAGGCGCTTCTCCAAGTGTTCAACATCCTATTTTCGGCAGTTGAAGCGGGTCTACCATCTGTGACACGAGGTGGCTGGTGGATTAGATCGGAAAAAAGGGTGATTTACGTTGGGTCCCCTGTACTGATGGTATTGTCCTGTCACCCTGATACGCACTACTCATGCATTAGGGTTAGACCTGTATATAAACTGGAAGACGCGCGCGGGGCGCGCCTGAGCCCTGAAACGATGAAAAGAAGGGTGTGTTAAGAAAGTAAATTGTACATAGAGAGTTGAATTGGCGAGCAAGTCAGCATGCATGTTAAATAAGTTAGACCAATGAGGGAGGCAAGCTATCAGCATGACTTATACCCAGACCATAGAAGAGGTACAAGACCGGATTAAAGCTTCAAGTGTTTTATTATGATTGGGCAATAGCATAGGATGATTTTCGTGGTCTTTGGGAACGTCTTCCTGACGTAGGAGTGTACGGTTGTGGCGAGGATTGAGTATCATCGGGTGTGTCTGGCCAGATTATTTGGGTTTCGTCCTCGTCGTCATTTAGAGCATCGATTTCAGTGGGTGTGTAAGATAGTTGGATGGTCGACGTCGTATCCTTTTCCAACGCGGCCAATGAGTTCAATGGACTCCGAGCGTTAGCCCTTTGGGACCAGCGGTCCTGGCGTGAAAATCCGCTATTAGTGTTCAGGATGGTTGAGACAGGCACGGGAATATATAAAATGAGTGGTGACTCACCTTCTGAGTCAACAACAACACCTACCGCCTTTCCAGTTGCGCCATTGACTAATCCAGCAGGTGTGCTGATGTTTGTCAGAACCATTGTCGGCATGGAAAGTGTGTAGAGAATGAGTCCCGGAAAAGGAATCTTTGCGCCCTGTTCAGGAAGACCGAGCAGGTCATCCGCGTGAAGCGTTAGATCGGTTGGCCCGGAGGACCTTGTGCGGGTGTGGATAGCAGGGAAAATAATGATTCTCTGATGTCTCGTTCGAGCGAAACGCTCGATCTGAAAACGATTTATGAGGATCGGGGCAGTGAGTAGGAATTGGAAGTTGGCAACCTAAGCAGAGGCGTGTTTCGAGAACGGAGGGTAAGTTTGATAAACGACAAACAGGGCACCTTGGTGGTTGTATAGTTGTAGATAGACGCGCACGACAACCACAACCATAACAGAGGCGGAGGGTGAGCATTGTGGAACAGTGACAAGGTAAGCGTTAAGGAGCAGCACGGGAACTGTGCAAGGGGCTGGTATTTATGGGAAGGACAGAAGCAAATGTCGAGAAGCATATGTGGAAATAGAGTGGAGAGCGTCTCAGTGAAACGACAAGGAAGTTGCAGAGTATAAAGCAATCATAATATCAGAACATACAAATTGATGCAGACAAAACCCTATAACCCTAAAGCCAAGCCAGGCTAAGTGCAAAAGAAGGCAAAGAGTGGAAGCGCATGGGACGAATTAGCGACGAGCGTGGCAAAACGGTCGATACGTAGTTAAGCCAACCTCTTTTTGCAACGTCTCGCGCACACGTACATCCGTGTTGATTAGTTCCCTTTCTCTCACTTCGTTCGTTTCAGGGCAATACTGGGTCGTGACCCACATAACTCTACTAATAATACAACTATGATACACATGCTACAAGACGGGGATATTGATACTCCGGGTCTAGTCCCAGTACGGCATAGTAGACCTTGGCATTGGGTTTGGGAATCAAGCGAAGAGTGTAGGTGGTGACACCAACTTCGGGAAGTACTCTAAAGCGATATCTGTGGACTGCGCCTTTAATGTCTGGATGCACGTGTGTAAGGCTGACGTTGAAGCAACTCCACAGTCACCGACCGTACCAGGCGAGTTGATGCAGATCGCAACCAGCAGCTCGGCACGCAACGAGCTGGTCGAATTCGGGGTGGCGATCGAGATACAGCCACCTCGTTATCGAAAACTGAATTTGAAGACCGTCTCGTGACATTGGGTGCAAGAGCAGAGCAAAACCACTCTCTGCGGAGCTAGCAGCGATGGCACATGCACTAAATATGGTAGTTGGACTGAAAGTCTACAGGATTACGCTGCTCACGAGCAACAAAGCGGCGGCTCTGACACTGAGGAATCCTCGGCAGCAGTCAGGCCAGGAACACTTCTGCCGACTGTAACTAAATAATCCCTGTACGACCAGCGACTCCCACGGATACCATTCCATTTGCAGGCCAAAAGGAATGAGATTGGAGTTAATGCCAGAAAAGCCTTAATTAACATCTTGCTACTAGCCGTTCAATGGCGAAAGTAGCTGTCTAAAATTCAAAAGGAGATTCAATCAATCCACTGGTTGGACAAGAAGAAAGGAACCGAGCTCCATCAACCCGAAGTTTTTCCCAGAGGGAAGTATCGGCGGAACTTGCAGCACAGAAATATTGACTCAAAGGCTCATGAATACAAGCGGGACGCTGGTGATCTTTGTATCGTTGCTCGTTCTCATGGTGTCTCCTCCTAGTCAGAAATTGTTGTTTTTGGAACCGGTCATTGTGGGAAAAGTCTCCAAAGGCCAGAACTTCTAGGTTCGGAAGACCAGTAGGACCGAACACCCATTCGGCAAATGCCACAAACTCCTCCGCTTCAGAGGATGCTGGAAGAGGGTTTCCCACACTTCCTGACTCGTTCATTTCCCAGATGGCCAAGTCATCATTGACTATACTCGACAGATCGCTCCAGCTACTTGTGCAAAGTTGTTGCCTGGAACTTCCAGTGTTGTAATGATGGCACTTATCTCTAGATAGCTTTGTCCGCAGCCGACTTGTGATTTCGAGTGGAATGTCCCTATGTAATCTCTCTGACCCGGTAAATCGGATATGCAAAATTTGAATAGCGGAACGCGTGGCCAAGGGCTCAAGATATATTCTCTATCAACATCAGCAAAATTTATTTTACATCCAAGTCTCACAACTTACCACGGCAGATGGACCTGCACAAAGACCGAGAGCAGTCATACTTGAAAGATTCAAGCTATCAAACTGGGCTTCAAGCCACTGGGGTGATACATCCCGTTCTTCTTCAAACAGGCCTTCATCATCCAGTGGAACAAGTCGACGTTCATGGTAGGAAAGGCTCTCAAGTGTATCTTGGTGATGTTTGATAACTGAGTCAATTCGAGGGGGTTCCTCAAAATTGGATAGTTTCAGATACAAGTGTCTCAATCCTCTGAATGAGACCAGAAATTTCAATGCTGGAGACACATCTTGGCCCAAGCCATCTAGTAGGTTGTCGCAGACGAATTCGAAAAGCTTTAGTTGTAGCGTGTCTTTTGAATGTGACAAGAAATTCAGGAATCGTAGCTGATTTGGGCAATCACGTATAGACAAAGCTCTGAGGGAACGACAACTCCATGTGGACCCGAGCTGAAGGGTTTCCGGAAAGGGAGCTTTACACAGCGTTAAAGAGAGGAGTGAAGGGAGAGCGCTTGAATGTGATAAGCCCGAGTGCTGCTCAAAAATATTCTCGACAAGGTTCTGGGCATTAGAAGAGCTGACAAGCCCAATTGAAAGAATTGTCAAATGCGAAGAATTTCGGCGGATGCATCGTTGCAAAGAATCGACTTCAGCAGGTTGCCGAATACCTTCCCACTCTATGATTTTCAAAGAGGAAAACTCGGAAAGGCCATCCAGCGCATCTCCTGCATCGGGACACGACCCGTCTGTGATGAGCGAGAGCCTATTGAGGCTTCTTTGATGCCGGCATAGGTATCCATTTTTATCTAGGATGCCCGGTGAAAGACAGGTGCCAAGACCCCACCTAAAAATAAGTGGATATTAAGTAGGATAGCGCAATGGCAGTTGCCGATAGACTCACTGGAATGACAGCAGGCTATCTTCTTCGAGACATGCGAAGACCCTTTGTATCTGGTCAGAGATGTCGTTTAGAAACTGCCGATGCGCCTTTGCCTCATCGGAAGTGCCCAGGGTAGATGGGGTTTGTGTCAGCCCCGATGTGCGGAAGATACTATAGTGCGCACAGCGGTTGAACCGGGCAATATGTATTTGGGCCTGAATGCTCAGCTGCCGGGTATGCTGGAGGTAGCTAGAGAGCTGTAAATGTGGCTGGTTTGAAAAGAATGCATCTATATCGAGGACATTGAGGGCCCACTCACTCGCAGCACGGAATGTGACGGTGCGATATGTGAGGGGGATCAAAACGGCATTGACTCTTGAACAAACCTGGCTAAAGGAACGAAGATCCTGAGGGGGGAGCTAAGGAGTTATTAGAAAAGAAAGACCAGCACACAAAAATGACGCACACGTTCTGCGACATCCAATATAATTTCGCACGGTAAAGTGTCAAGCATGCCGCCGGTGGTAAGGCAGTATATCGTTGATGGGATCAAAGTAAAGGTGATTTCCTTTTCCTGCAATGCTTAGATAGGAGCCTGATTATTTATATCTGAGCAGAGGTTAGTGCAATAACCCTTTGTTACTCTAGATCGCACGAAACGAAGGAAGAAGCAGGCATAATGGACAAAGGCGTAATAAACAGAGAGGGGAATGGCGTACCGTATCTTCTGTCACGAGAAGTTAGTATGTATTTCAGAGCAGGACCACTCCACAAAATCCCCTACAATTCGGTTTTGACGGGCTGAGCCACTGTCGTAGCTGAAATATAGCTCAGGAGTTTGTCATGCTTGAAATTTAATTCACCAAACGTTGACTTATTAAATCTTCGAGTAAGTGCTAAATGTTGGGTAAAATGGTTATTTGCTTAATCCCTAGAGGTTAGACGGAAAAAGAAAATGCTGAACAAATCTTTCAAAGGAAATCAACACTAGGTTGCTGGAATTAAGGAAAGCCAAGAGCATTATGTAATTCTTTTTTTTAGGGTGGTCCTGGTTATGATCTTCAACATAATGTAGCGTTCGATACTGATAGTCTTGTGATTGTCATTTGTTACATAGCATGACTCACGCAACGGTTAATGAACAAATGATGACCGAAGGACCGAAGAAGGATCAGCCAAAGACACTTGACCATTCCCCTTACGCAGGCGAGGAGCCATGGAGCACAAATTATTTTACGTCTAGTGGAGCGTTTGATTTGGATTTTGCAAGCGAAATGCCGCTTGAACTGTACTATTGGCAGGCAAATCAGCGCATTACTTCCTGCAGTTCGACTAACAACTAGGTTTTGTGTGAACTCGAATCAGAAATTTGCTGTTGGTGCTGTTATTTCACTGGCATGCAATATGTGAGGGGTGAGTACGGCTACGTGAGAGGAAGTGCGGCCATTTATTCAACCGCACTTGGTCTTTAACCAGTTTGGGTTTGGATTTATAAGAAAGCTATAGATCGTAGAAAGGACTCACTTCAGGCTGATTCTCACCACATTATCTGGCATATAAACCCCTGTAATACTGGGCACCACGATGGAAGAGATTGCCAACATTGTTCGCGAAATCGGCCGGCAGCAGACCGAGAATTTATACTACCGTACCTGTTACGGATTTCTCAAGCAATTACAAGACCTAGTGGCTCAAGCATCTGATGACCTGCTTTGCCTTGAACAATACCAAACACTATATCCCTCCAGTGACTTTTTGCCTATCCACCACATTGCCATAGAGCTACGAAGCTCGGTAGAAAAGTTGTCAAAGCAAGAAGACAAGGCCCACATGGCGTGGGAGAAGGTTCGATCTACCGGTTGAACTAGCCAACAACTCTAGAGTCGAACCAGATCTTTTGTTAGTTACAGTACTGCGTACAGTGACATTCACTCTGTCGAATTGACTCCCAATCTAATTTTAGCCCTTCCCCTGATGACCCCTGCGGGGCTGTATCGTACTCTCTGGTAACGGGATATACGTCCCCGTTATGATATTGTAATTTATTATAGAACCTAGTGGAATGTACAGTAAACACACTAAACAAATGGAACTCCTCACAGCCTGACAAGAGAAATCCCTCTATTCACTCGCATATTGGTTACTCGTCATACGTACACTAATATTCGAAAACAGTTTCCCCTGCGGAGACTCGGACTTTCTCTCACAGAATGTAATTAAAACGATTTTTACAATGGAATGATCTAGCCATAAACTATCCTAGCAATGATTGGCTATCATCTCGAAGGTATATCCTATTCCGGTTTAGCTTCGTAACAGGTAAAACCCGAGAAACAACATGTGTGTGTCCAGAGGGGAAACTGTTTTCGAATTTCTCTGTAGCCTTCGCCCACACTCGTTACATATCCAATAGTGGCGTTATAGAGAACCAACACTGGTAGGCAAACAGTATTCATTAACGACGTCCATCGAAAACTGGTACTCCGTGAAGCGAACAATCTATTTCCAGGCCTTGATATTTCTTGAAGATGATCCAAAGCCCTCTTCACTTCAATACCGTATCTCAACCCGAGGATTGGGAGCCATGGGAACATAGCTCGTTATACCCTCCAGCACCTACATACAATGGTAGTCCTTATTTAACAGGGTCCAACGACAATCTCTACACGTCCTCCCCACCTGATGAGCCGGATAAGCAGTCGCAGCGGGATAGTCTTTGGCTGCGCCAGTTGTCCGAATGGGAGGAGGACAGAGTTTACAATCAGGACTCTTCGATTAGGTTCAAGTCCGGCGAGTAGGACAGAAGATAAATCACTCTCACCTGCGCGTCAGCACAAATCTGCGCAATCTGCTCTGAGTGATGATATGATGTATTATCAATGAGCACAACAGATGCGGCTCATGCCATTTCCTGCAGTGCTGAAGAAGCTGCATTATGAAACACAGAGGAGTCAGTAAACCGCTGAAGACAAACGATTGAGCATATGTATAAGATAAATAATGTGCTGTAACCTCGTCATGTGATCAATACCACAATTTATCTTAATCAAGCGCGGGCCTCCACCACCTACTGTTACTTCCGGTCTTGCACCCTATGTCACTTACGTAGTTTCTAAATTAGCTCGGCTAGATGGTTTCGTCGAAACTTCACATCGCATCCATCACCAACGACGAATTAATAACAAAGAGACGGGCGGCTATTGAGTGACACGTCAAAGAAAAATGTGAGTATGAATGAAATCAACGAGTGGGGGCATTAAATCACATCCACACCTCCATTGCGGTGTCATTTCAGACAGCCGTTGGTCACCCCCAATCTCGAGGCTAATATAACATCATTAATTCGTGGAAAACTGATGACATCAAGAATCATCAGTCAGTTCATGGCTTCTCGGGATTGAATTGCATTTATTTTCAGAGGACCATATACAATTCCAGAGCCGTGAAAAAGCTCCCATAAAAGCCCAATGACTCGCATTTGTTCGGTAAAGTCCTAATTCTATGTTGAATTCTTTAGAGTCAACGATTACTTCTTACCACGATACACGATATGCTTTGGCGGGCGATGAAGCTACTGGGGAAATTTTGCCCTTTGGCTCTTTCAACCGCTGGCTTGATCTGTCTTGCCATGGTATTTTCTGGATGCATGTCGCCATCTTCACCGTCGGACTCCTATTTTATGAAGGTGAGTTCAGGAGTCGCTTCACTGGCAGCCGACTTATTGAAGAGCTTTAGGTAAACCTAACCAATTTTCCGGAGCTTGGCAATCTTCACCTACCGCGAGGGATTAGTATCGTCGGTGTGGATGCTTCCAGTGTTACAAGTGCAGCCTCAGATGCTGCCAACAGTGCTACAAAAATCACTGCCAATGGAATAGCCCAAGCCTCTTCTGTGGCGCAAACTACAGCCGATAAGGCCAGCGATCAACTTGAGACATTATCGGAAAACCTTAAATTGCATCTTCCCGCATATTACGCTGTCGGCCTCTGGGGATATTGTCAGGGAGATCATAGCACGGGCCCATTCTCAAACTGCTCCAGACCAAGTACTTCCTTTTCTTTCAATCTGTTGGGCATTTTGGGGTCAGCTTCCGAGGAGGTCAACAGAATTCTTCCGGAAGACCATAATAAAGTACTTGCCGGCTATCGCAAAGTTTCGCAATGGACAATCTCAGCCTATATCACAGGTTTCATTTTCACTTTGGTTGCCTTAGTTTTCCAAGTTCTCTTGATGACGATTTCCAAAGGGAGAATATTTCTCGTCGCCTCTTCCTTTGTAAGTTCTGACATAATCGCATTCTGATACTTTGTGCTTAGTATGATAAAGTTAGCATCGATATTTATCATTGGAGCCTCCACTAGTGCGACAGTGATATATGGATTGATTACTGGTAGTATCCAGGCTGTCTTGCAGCCACTGGGTGCGCATGCTAGCCTTGGTGTCCAAACACTCATTGCAACATGGCTCGCTGTGGTATTTTCCATTAGTTCTTCACTCATATGGACGATTAATATATTTTGCTGCTGCTTTTGAACTCATATAGAGGCGATGATGAAAACGCAGTCAGTCCCTGCCTTTGCACAGCTGGAGGGCTAATTACATTAACAAACTAACGAGCTGAGGAAATGGGAAAAGATATAAACATGAGTAAACACTACTTATCCAACTGAGTTATTGAAATTCATTGAAATACTGTCGACGACATGATTTGGTATAAATGCAAAAGTAGAAGCCTGACTGTTGAACTTGGAATAACACGTAAGTAACTAGAGTCATCAATAATCTTTATCCGTACAGGAGTACTGTACATTGCACAAGTTTATTGTGATGCAGTTATCGACTGACTGGCTTACAGATGGTTCCTAGGTCAGCATTACGAATATTTGAACAATAGATTGTATATAAACAAAGAAAAAAGCAATACAACAGAAGCTAGAGCGGTACAATCTATTAAATTATACAGAATATAACTATGGACATCTTCAATAGCCCTAGTTACAGTACCGGCGAGTGAAACTCGTAATCGTCCAGGCTACGCCATACTACTAGTCACATTGGTGTGTGCAGTTAAACCACAGTGAAATCAAAGGTACTATATTAAGAAACTGAGGCATGCCGTCCTGTAAATACTCCTCAAAATTAATATAATAGATCCACGTTATTCAAAGAAAGGTAAATATGCCCAAAAGAATGTAACTCATCTCATACATTAGGAACAATTTGCGGACCTTTTCAAGTATTGAGAACATGGGTCGATATCACTCGCCATACATATGGATTACTTATAAAATGAACAACTCCAGAAAGAGTCTTTCGTTTCTCTAAGCAAGTGAGAAGCTCTTTCTTCGACACAAACAGAAAGAAGAGAAACATGCCGTCCACGTCTAGAAGAGCTTGGGTCTCAGAACGGATAAGAAGTAATTTGGAAAAGCAAAACGAAATCGAAAAGATTGAGTGCGAACTCGCAATCTATCGGAAATCTTGCTCCCAAGGTGCGGCCGTAGTTCGACTTAGCGACTTGAAGTGTGATACGGACTTCAGTCGACATATTACTAATCATCGAAATGTCGACCGCCTTGAGAAAATCTTTGACTATCAAGGGTTCCTTCGTCTCCAGGAGAAATACCACATACCGGTCATGATCGACACGTCTGATTGGCAGGAACGAGTTAAGTGGGAAGAGTCGGCGACATTAGCGCCACAAGCACAACTACCACAATTGCAGGTAGACGACGGTTATCGCTTCTTTGTATTAGATCACGAGGATGTCATTGCTGCAGCTAAAAAGAGATTCAAGGAATTGGACGTTGAAGATCCCTGGTGTGTCGTCGATATCTACGTTACGAACGCTAGAGATGCCTGTAAGTGGGCTGCACACTAGTGACTACCGCTTGTTACAATTTATATTTCCGTCCAATATTTCTGTATGCTAACTAGTTTCCAGGTAATCAACGGGAAGAGCTTATTCGCAGTCTACAAGAGAGCTATTCAAACGACCATTTCCCCTCGGACGGTCTAATTTATCGAAAAATCCGCCATTACCAAGGCTATCCAAACGTAGCAACAGCTAATACGGTAGCCGAAAATTACTGGTGGGCTGTCTTGGAAAGCTCCCCAGGAAGCAAAAAAGGGGGTCGAAGTAAGAAAGGGGCCTATCTACGATCGCTACTTGACAATGAGAATTTACGCGAAAGTTTCGATGACCTTCTTCCCATCAATGGACTTTGGGATGGTATGAATATTGGTGTATTACACAAGTTGATGGCGATGAAAACCGAGGAGGTAATCTTATACAATTCGACACGCAAATATACGTCATGGTTCGACCGCTAACACTGATAAAAAATAGCCAATCATCTGTTATCTGAGAAAGATAAAAGATACTTTCTATGGTCTGACAGGTGGAGACCAAGAAATCCTGGGTGCTATTGATGCAGAAACCATCAAGAAGATCAAATCACGGGCACCGAAAGTTTCCGAAGTGGATCTTAAGTACGTGGAAAGCGGGATGGAAAAGAAAGAATTATTTCCGGCAATCGTGAACCTTCAGGATCGTGATCGGATTTTCAATCGTCTGTCTGACATTGGGTTCCCAATTTTTACCCTTGAGAGCTTTTTCCAGGACTTGTTATATCTCGACGTGTGCCAAAGGGCCATGCGAAGATTAATCATCAACCAGCCTGAAAGGAAAAATAAGAGGAAGATGAATGGCCGAAACGAGAGGGAAAAAACAGCTCCTACCATTGATAAGATCTTGCGAAGCCAATATAACAATCTCTCTGAAGGCGGTATAGTTTCAGCCTCGGATCAGGAAAATTGGTTGAAAAGGGACCTTTGCGACTTATGGCGTTTCAGTTTTCAGTACGCTTTTGAGATGACGACAATCAAGGAGCACCGTCGTCGTGAACCACGAAAACGCGTCGACACTGAGCGTGCCATTAGACTGGGTCTGCACGAGCGGCCAGACGATATAGACCTACAGGATCTAGAGCACCACTTTCTCTGGTTAGCGCATCAACGTGGGTTCAAAGTTCCGGCCGACGAGCTACAATATGTTGAACTTCCGCGTGTAATACCAGGTGATTTCCCACCTGACAATGAAGATGATAAAGACGTCAGTGTCGAGAGGCGAAGCGGAAAGCCTTTCACAGACTCCGTAAACGCGGACCGTTTTGCTCTCTCAAGATGCTCATTACAAAGTACTAGTGACTTTGATCGAGTCAGCGCGGGCTTCGTGCGGCGTTCCGTTTTCAAAGCCTTTTTTGATTACTTCGATTCTGGAATACCAGGCAGTCCAGTTCCATCTCCGCCTCCCTCTGTGGCCGAGTCACCCCCAGATGAGATCGATAATCTCCTTGCAGATATCGAGTCTGCAATAGAAGCAGATAGAAGACAAAATAACTCACACGCAGATGCTGGATTCACGTATGGGCCACATGCGGTGGACCCTATTGTACCACAATACTCACGGCAAGACAGACATGGTAATTCTGAGTCAGCTGCCTGGGGCCAGCAAGGCGATATAGATCCCTTCCAACAGGCAAACCAATGCGAGAGACAAGCAGTAGCCCCGGCCTTCCGGATTGTGATCGATGTCGGGAAAACACCGGAGGTGCTATTGTTGCCGAGCAAAATCGAAGGTTTAATGCAATTCGTCGGTGGGTTAGATACTCACAGATTCCACATTTCGCATCCAGATGATCCGACCAGAGGATTATCATCGGATGATTGCTACCAGCATTATGAGAGACACCCTGACGTAATGCTTTGGGCTTCTTACCTAGGAGAATACAATCAAAATCCAACGGGTGGCGGAAAGAGGATCAGAATAACAAATAAGGAACGATCAATTGATATGAAATGGTTGGAGCACGAAAAACTTCGGCTACTACATTCCCGTGCTTCTGACAATGAAGAAATTTAAAAACTTCGTATATTACATTCTTCGACTTTTTCAAATCCAAATCTCGTGTATATTGAGTACGGACTTGATTGAATCAAGGTAGCTATCATTTGGCGTGCTGGCCCGGAGGTGACGGCCGACTGCCCAAGAAGCTATTCGAATTCGAAACAGCTGGCTAAAGAAACACTTGCGAACAAAGAATTTTACCGATTACCCTTCGTTTTCAGAGTAGCAATTTTGTCAGTATTCTTGCACTTTCCGTCCGTTTCGAGAGAATGCAGAAGACTACATACACAAGAAGAGATTCAACCAGCTTGATTCTTCGTAGATGAGCGTGTAAAACCATTCCTACTCGTAATCTACGATTTCAGTTCAATATTCGTAGGGATTACAGAGAGCTTTTAGGTTTCACGATGTTACTGTATAATATGTTAAAATTTGATTTTATATTGTTAAGTGTAATACATTCGACAAAATACAGTTATTGAGACGATGTGATTCAACGAATTCATGGTATTTACGTCTAGAGGATTTGGGCGGGGAAAGGCGCCGGATCCTCTTAGTTGATCAAGTACACCAACCGGCTCTGCAGGACGCTGCCTAGAAACCGAGCTTACTTACGTAGCTGCGAGCCAGACATTGCAGATTATTACAGAATCAAGTTGAAAGTCTCTTTATTGAAAGCATATCTAGGTGAACCGAAAACCCACTTTTATGAATACTGACCTAAATCTTATTCAATCCAAGGCTAGTTTATTCAATTTCCGATTGATCGCAGCCTTTTCTTGCAGTTTAATGTCCCAAATAGTGGTGGAGGATAGTCAAACCATCAATAGCGTCCGTAATACGGTTTCCATATTGGGCCAAGCTGACCGAAAACACTGTTTCCATCACCCCTATGCGGTGGAGCATTCTGGGTCCTTGGCCCGAGAGTTTCCGTGGTAGGCATCGCACTCTCGTATTTTCGGGTATGTGAACAATAATGTGTTGGTCAATTCTGACTAAAATCTGAACGTGGATACATAATGGGAACTCAATCTTAACAAATTCTGAATCTAATTCCTCTCGCAAACCTAAGGAATAGCTGGGTACGAGAGAAAAAGGATCTTGATTGCGGGAGTGGTGAGTTGAGGGAGTGGTGAGTTGAGGGAGTGGTGAGTTGAGGGAGTGGTGAGTTGAGGGAGTGGTGAGTTGAGGGAGTGGTGAGTTGAGGGAGTGGTGAGTTGAGGGAGTGGTGAGTTGAGGGAGTGGTGAGTTGAGGGAGTGGTGAGTTGAGGGAGTGGTGAGTTGAGGGAGTGGTGAGTTGAGGGAGTGGTGAGTTGAGGGAGTGGTGAGTTGAGGGAGTGGTGAGTTGAGGGAGTGGTGAGTTGAGGGAGTGGTGAGTTGAGGGAGTGGTGAGTTGAGGGAGTGGTGAGTTGAGGGAGTGGTGCGTTGAGGGAGTGGTGAGTTGAGGGAGTGGTGAGTTGAGGGAGTGGTGAGTTGAGGGAGTGGTGAGTTGAGGGAGTGGTGCGTTGAGGGAGAGTAGTGACTCATTATGTGGTTGATACTTTTTAAACGGACTCTGATGGTACCTTAGTGCTTCTTAAATATCACTTCTATTCTCTACTTCTTGATACCGGACACAATATCCACTATGGCCGAGTTCCCACAAGATGTCCAGTATTGGAATAACTCTACTGGTTTTACTGCTCTACTCGAGTTGAATAAGAAGTTTCTCCGAGGTGAAATTTTATCGTCCCCTTATCATTACGGCCCTATTGAGGAGGAGACAAGTAGCTTGGTTCCTTCTTTATTGAAGCTACATGAACGGCAAATCTTTACGTGGTCCAGTCAACCATATCTACGTGAGCGCAAGAGAGGAGACGAAGGCAAAGTTTACGACCACTGGCAACGGCCTTTTATCTCCTTTATTGTGGCCGAGAAAAACAATCCGCAGAGACTCTTTCAAGAGTTGAAAAGAAAAAGAGATATCAAAGTTCACGCACGAAAAGCTTACTCGTCTCAAGCTGCCGTACAAGGATCATTCACTAGGAAAAAGATTGTTACCAAATATCGACGTTCATTTTTTTGGCGGCGATGGAAGGTTTTTACCGCTGTTGATCCAGCGGTAGATCTAGCAGAGGAGGACATCTTCTGCCTGGAAGCTATGAAGCAAGCAGAACCATGGGAATTCGAGGTTGTCGCAGCTTCGTGGAAGGATGTCGATATTGCAGGGATTGTTATAGAGGCAGTTGATGCAGCACAGGTATGATGAGCGACCACTTTATGTATCTTTATACTTTCCTTTACAGTACAGTGGTAGTGGTAGATTGCATATTCTCCAATATACGTGTCTTCGCCCGAACAAGCGATAACGCTCATTTGTAGAAACAAGTCGTTTCCATTTCATCAAGTCGTCGCTCAGTAACAATTGTTTACTCGTTCTCAAATCATCACTCATCCTAATGTCATCACGCGTCCAATGCTCATACCTTATCTATCGCTATACCGGCATGTCGGAACTGCCCCTCAGCACTCTGCTGCTTCCCACCCGCCTCATGAACATACCGGCGAAGGAAATTCCGGAGAAGACTCTGGTGATGAGAATGATAGACATCCAAAGAAGGAAACTGGCATCTGCGGGCCCAACGGCTTAGGAGCATAAGCCGTAAATTACCTGCTTTGGGATCACATCGGGTGACAGCGACCCTTGCCCATCACGTCCAGCCCCTTGTCCTGCGGTAGATCGGTTGGCCAAAGACGCGGCAAGCCCGGGCAAAACAGACCCCTTCCGCCCTTTGCTGACAAGGAAGAGAACGCTGATTCGCGACAAGATCCGCGCTCAATGGGAGCGGGAATGGGAAGCATCAACCAAAGGCGGTCACCTGCGAAAAATCGGTAGCACTCTGCCGGCGACCTACAGCAGGAAGCTCTATGGGAATTTGCCCAGGGGCCGGGCGTACCTGTTGACAAAGCTACGCACGGGCCACAATTGGCTATCCACCTATGCCAAGACCTTCGGCTTCCGCGACAATGACCAGTGCGTGTGCGGCGCGCAAGAAACAGTCACCCGCGTGCTGGTGGACTGCCCAAATTTGAGAGGAATCCGAAGGGAGCTAAGACGTGAAGCTGGGGACGCGTTCAACGACGTATCGAGTCTGCTGGGAGGCTCAACTGAAGGTAGGAGCGGTAAGCCAGACATCGTGTCGCGGGCTAGGACGGTCAAAGCCGTACGAGACTTCGCTGAGGCGTCACAAAGATTCAAAAGTCGCGCGCCATGAGGGCAGCCTAGTAACTTAAACGGCACTGGGTCATGACAGGCCTTGACGAGGCTCCAAGTTCGTTTGCGGAAGTGGGACATTACACGTGTACATGCAAGGATATATATAGTTTTTGTGTCCTGTACATCGCCAAAAGCGAGAAGTCAGGAGGTCAGGGTCAATGATATCATCCATCCATCCATCCATTCTGTACCTGGGTCACGATAGGCCTCGACAAGGCTGTAAATTTGATTTCAGGTAGTGGAACATCACACATGTACTTACGCGGGTATATTGATGCTGTAGCCTGCCTATATCGCTCTACGAGGGGTTGGGGTAAATGAATTCATCCATCCATCTATCCTGTATAAACAATGAAGGCCTGGCGTTTTGTCTCTGGGTTGTTAAATCATTTTCTGACTAGAATTCGAGAGACTCTGTTCAGGCACGTGGAATCGTTTACCATCGCCGCAACTTATTTTTCAAACAGTTCTGGTACATGTTTACATTAAGAAGTCGGTAGGGTTTTTTGTGGTGCTGCTTGAACGTATTGAAACCATCACAATAAGAATGATCCTTTGACCTTTGACTTATAGTATCTAACAGTCAAGTTGAAGCGTGCTACTGAGAAGCCAGCGGTAAATATGAAACTGAAGATTTAATAATGATGGAAAAGTACCTCCGAATTTTACAGATGAACAACATGAAATCGAAGATGATCTTGTAGGAGCTCTTCGCCTATTGTATAAGTATCTGGAGCTGAGAAGTATCTGGAGCTGAGACCCTGCTTAGCACAAACCCTGTCTTTGCCTGTAAAGGTAGTTCGATACGATACTTGGTAGTTATTTCAAGCTCCTTTGAAACTCATTTCAAGTGGGGGGTACCTAAAAACGCTTCTTCTATAAGCTGCAGGTCATTCTGAAGAATCCGAAATAACGGCCCACTTACTGTACTAAATTCAGTTGGGACAATGTCATACTTGGATGGATATGACGGTGAATCCTCGCCGTTGACTACAACACGAAAGGGAGAAGGCACTATACATCAACCCCTAGAGATTTCGGAGGAGACTCTGCTTCAGGATTTATCTATTTCAAACTTCAGCAAAGAGGTCCTTGATTTCCTCCACTTATGTCAAGGAAAGAGAATCCAACCGAATGAAGTAGTCTTGCAGCGGCGTCAGATTGCCCTAGGGCACTTTGATTCAACGATAATAGGGCAATGTCCAATGGCTACTTGTAACACTCAAAGGCCCGTAGGACGCGGTGCGATAACAAAGACCCATTCGAAAACCGTAACCTATCATGGAACTCAACGCAGAACCAAAAATATTATCAAAAGTCAGCTCCAATTAATCCACCACCACCTCAAGGAGCAAATGGATCTGCCCAATCATGAAACACAAGAGGCTATATTGCAAGGACTATCAGACAAGCATCCGCACTATATTGGGTTCATTCGTGCACTTCCTTTGGTTGTGAAGTGTATTCCTGATAACTTGAAAAAGGACCTCATAGCAAAATCTAACTCGGAGACTATGAAATTGGGTATTAAGCTGATGAAAAGGTGGAGCACTTGGGCGGTGTCCCGTTGAAATGTCACATACGCACTATATCCATTCACAGTTGGCTGTCAACATTATACTTACAGTATACAGGAGCAGTAGTAGAGATCTCCGGAATTTGGCAGTCATACCGCTTGTCATTGGTCAACAAAGCAAAGCCTGGGTCATCAGTCATACATCCATCTACCAGTTTCTAGTATTCATATCCCAACTCAATTCTAATTCCTAATCTCGCAAGCTAGCCACTAGCCACCCGATTATATCCAACAGGAAATCAACCTCTCTTTAATTTTCAAGAAATATGCTTCAACGTATCTAGATAGAGGTTTAGTACTGCCAAGAAATTGAAATAAATTAAAAATAGCCGCCATGACCCTCCCCTCTCCCCCTCCTCCCCCCCCAGGGGGCCAAACCCAAAGGGCCTGAAGTCCAGCGCGGTATGGAAGGCGGAATCCCCAATTTTAAAGCCCCTCATCACCTCAACACCCACCCACCACATTATATCTCTTTCTATCTACGAATTATAATAATAGTTTACTGTCTTTCTAGTTGTAAATATCTAAAGAATCCTTTTGACCGTGATAAAATCGTTCGGGAATTGACTACGTTTTACAATTTCCTCGTCAACACTCACATCCCCGACTCGGCTCTGAACCTACTCCTATGGAACCCACATACCCGAATGATATCTCACAGAATTGGGATGTTCATTCAAATACCGTAGCGCCCGACATAGCCTTGCATGTTGTAACCAGAGAGACGCGCTTTGAAACCCTAATTATATAATCTTAGGAAACCGGATACGGTCATATCTTGTTACATTTTGAAATGGTAAAATTCGAACACACAATACCTGTAATTGTAAAAATACCTCTGTAATCTTACGTTTTTACGCCCGCGACAGTATGAATGGTGACGTCGAGTATTTCAAAGATCTCCGAACGGGCACTGAAAATGCAACCACATAAGTTAACTTGTGCTACATCTGTTCTTCACTGATTTACATCAATCATGGGATTCTCAAGTCCTCAGGCGATGCTGCAAAGCCTTTTAGATTCAGGTAAATACTCAGACATGACGATATCATGCGAGGGAAAAATATTCCAAGTTCATCGAGCAATCGTCTGTTCTCAGTCATCTTTTTTTGACGCTGCATTGAAAGGGGGGTTTAAGGTGAGATGACTATTACCGCGGCTACTGCATCTGGCTTATTTCATTACAAGGAAGCGTCTCTATCAGAGGTTGACCTTCCAGACGATGATTTAGCAACCATTCAACGTGTTATCTCTTTTCTTTACCATCAAGACTATCAAGACACCAGCGAAGCGCAAGTCAAAAGTCGAGACTGTGCTCTGGATCATGATATAGAGCCCAATGCAGCTATGTGGAACAACCTTGGGGTGTTTATAGCGGCTGATAAATTCGACATTTCGACTCTGAAAGACCTTGCAAGATCTCGAGTTATTAAGTGGATCGACAAAAATGCGAGCAAGTCGCCCTTGATTATTGAAAAAATCTGGACCACCACTCCACCACAAGAGATTCTGCTTCGCGACGCCATAACCAAGTCAATTTCATCAGATGCCCACCGATTTGTCACCCATGATGAAAGCATGGAAGTCATGCAAAACTCACCAGATATCACTATTTCGATTATGAAGAAGCTCGTTGCCGTCAATGATACGATGAAACTTCACATTGAGCTTGGTAAGAAAAAATTGTTACCGCGACGCTGAAGAGATACAATCTTGAGCTCCATGATCCACATTACCTTGAGTCGTTGAAGGAAGTTTGTTTTGATATAAAACTGAACAAAGGAGAATACCGTTTTTCTATTTTTTCTATTTTACTGTGTGTCATCGCTGGTAGTTGATAGAAATCTATACAATATCGCCGTGGTTCTACTTCAGAGTCTCGGGTGGACTCATCAAAGTAGTACTCGTCATATTTGACCACGACGACGATTAAGAGTAAAATAGGTTCAAAAGCGCTCGCACATATGCGCCCATGAAGTGACTGCTCTATCTCCCGTTGGAAGATCTAGAAAACGAATTGAACAAATATAATGAGACATATGGTCTCTGGCAGTTAAGAGGTTCATCAGATGTGTTTTACAAGCCAGCAAAAAGGTACGCTGAAAATCCAAGACCGTTCAGTTTCGCGTACAGTATGGTTAGGATCATACTCTACTGTATAGTCAGCATCCACAGAGGCCACTACTGGTGTACGAAGGCGATCAATATGACATTGTTTCACTCTAAGTAGGACCAAATTATTCGATGACATCACCACTAGAATCTCAATACATTTCTTACACCGAACTCAGTTGTGTATTTTCATTGTCATAACATAACGTAGTATACGATGTAATCATGTGATTAGGGTTTAGAAGAGCATCTCTCTGTTTGCAATGTGGAAGACGATAACGGGCGCCACAGTACGCTCGGGCTATACCGAGCTTTTCAAGTTGTAACTGGCTCTTCTGCGGTCCTAGACGAATGACACTCACTAATCTATGTTTCAGCTTGCTACCAATTCTAAAGATATAGTCTTCAAATGGGAGTTCGATGGAGTACTGGAAGAAGCCGATGACATCTATCGTCACCGTGGCTGGCTCACTGATAATTATTGAAAAGACGAATGTCTCGACGCTGTGAAAAAAATGTATCATGGTTGGGCAAGAGGGATCTACCATTATACATTTGATTCGCCTTAACAACGGCAACGACTAACATCGGGGAAACCCATCCTCCGGCAAAAAGGCCAAGTCGCCAACAGACCGTTCGTTCCAAACTTTGAGCACGCCGATAAGCCTTCCCCGAACTTCATCCAACGCATCATCAATAGCATGCAAGCGAGCCACTTGCTCACCCTGGCAGTGCTTCAACTGTTTTCCATCGTTGCAAAGCTGAATATTCCCGGTCCGCAGCTTTTCATTTTCTTCTTCGAGCTGCTGAATATCTGTATGTTTGGATACACAAGAATCCCACAGACACCGAATATATGCCACTAGACGTGCAGCCCGACATGCAAGCTCGGAATCTTCCTCTTTGATTTGCTTCAAGACATCAAAGATGGGTTGGAAGGGCTCTGCAGTCAGTATCTGCTTCTCCGTGAGGAGATTTTGGGTCTGCTAGTCAGCGTGGCCCGGTCGGTTCATATCTTATTCTTACCGGCAGCTGGGTTATAACCCTAGAAATCAGAGGCTCGTCGGTTGAACTTGGCTGTGGACACAGCGATGCCTCTCCTTGTATATCTGTCATTTCTGGAGTCTTGCTGAGACTTTCCATGGCTGATACTGTTTCCTCTGTCATGGGTCCAGTGTTCCTTTATACTAAAACTTAGTTCACTCCGCTATCAATGGTGAGTAGCAGTTCTCGGATTTCTCGTCTTTCTCAGCACGCTGAGCTCGCTTTCAAGCTACTTTTCAACGGGCATTCAATGTTCATTCATGCTCAATCCATCCAGCAATCTTTTTTCTGGTCCTGTCACTAGGGCCTAGTATGGTAGATCCGAGCAAGCCACATTAAAGTGAGGCGGTGTTATTTACGACCATGTAGAACAGTGACCATCGGTCTACGGTTCAAAGGTCCAAGCGGGAAAGGATACTCTAACTGTGGCATGGTAGAGAAGTTTCCCAAAGCATTTCCACGTTACTCTTTTGAGAGCCATATCAATGCCAATAAGCACTACTGTAATAATACAGTCATTGGCGAAAACTGTGGCCAAGATATGCTCGGAAGAATGTGCGAAGCTGGTTGAAGCGTCTTCCCATCCGGCGCTAGGCGATCAACCTCCACATCCGCAGGCAGCGTCCCGACACGATTATTAAACTTGTATATACCACAGACATACTCGTCGGCAGGTGACCGACGCCTCGTTTGGTCAGCGGCTAATTTGGGGAACTGGGGCTATTCTGAGCCTGGCATTTGTAGATAGATTTACCGATTTAGTCTAACCTAGTCTAGTTTAGTATCTCGTCTGGGATTCGGCAGACGGTTGAAGGCTTGATATCAATTCAGACCTAGTCGGCAGAAGTTGTCTCAGAGGCTACGCTTCCCGCTCTGCAGGTTGGTTGTGGCCCACATTCGAATACGGGTTGGGCAAGAATAAGAGTATATAGTATATCAGCATATCAATACCAGCATATCAATACATGTTTACTTAGTGGCGGCGTTTGAAAAAGGACGTAATTACGTTTTAACTAAGCCTTGTTTGTAAATAGTTTCTACAATTCGAATTGAAGCTGGTTGATGCAAACCCAATACTTCAAGTATCTCAAGCTACGCGCCTACAAGCACAACGATGCAAACGCTCTCGAATAGTTCTGTGATAACTCCGTGTCTTGTGTACTTTTCTCCTGAATGTTGGATTTGCATGGATCCATTACCCCTTGAGATGAGTGCGGGAGGGATATGTTTGAACACGAATATAATTTTAGATCGCCACCACTAGCGATGTACATGCAAAGCTCTGGTACTGTAGCAAAACAAATCTCAAACAAAGCGACTAAAAATGAGTGTGCTTCCCCGGCGCTCTTTTACCAAAAACCTGATATGTAAAGGAAAATCTTCTTTGCTACCCTGAAGAGCTTAGGCCTAGCAATTTGGCAGGTGCGAACTGCTTCAACTGATAATATTCTCCCAAATGTTCCGACGTTCTGGTATATTAAAAACAGGCGGCTTGGGGAAGACCAACTTAGCCGAAGAATCGGATAGATAGTCCGCGGGAGTCCTTTGAACTGCGGACTGAGAACGCTTTTCCTAACAGCTGTATTAACTCTGGCCATCAATTTTTCCTCCCAACACAAATCTTACTATTTCCGCCCTAGTTGGGGCAGGTATGTCGGGATGAGAGTTGTATGTATAGATACGCTTATTGGGCATTTCCATTATGAGCCAACTCCGAATAGAGTATAAGCGCCAAAAATCATTGTGGCGCCGAAGGAGGTTGTTTCGTCGCTTCCGGAGTTGCTCTTGCTTGACACGATTCAAGGTGTGCGCCATTTTCGTGGTCTGTGGACCTTAGAATCCAGATATCAGTTAGTGAAGTAGCTCACAAGGAGAAGAGAGAAAAGATGGCCCCTCTTATATTATATCTTCATCTTATTCTGGCTAGGAAAGCGAACGTATCTGAAGACCAGTTCCACACCGTTAAATTTGTGAGTGCGTTGGGCTATGTCGGACCGTTCGTGCTCAGCGGTACCGCCCCTGGGGCAACATATTTGCAAGTGCGAGAGGAAAGGGTCACAATTGCGCTATGCCAGCAAAATGTTGAAAATGTAAAATCTGGTTAAACCCTAGTGTGCCTTTGTGCATGATCTCTATATTTTTTGGCGGGGGGGGGGGGGGGGGGGGGGAGATAAGTAAGTGAGGCGGGAATTAATTACCAGCCTGTGCCAGCAGAAGGGAAAGTAGCGGAACAAAAAATCCAAAGATGGCCAGAGCCGTCATTTATTATTTATTGTAGCCCATGCCACTAAATCACATTATCTGCGCCAGATCATTCTACTTGGCAATACTATTGCCCCTCCCCTCCAACCATCTAACCCCCGACTAAGTCGTACCTCTTTTGCTGAGCATTTTGATGAAATATAGACTGAGACCGAAAGCAAAGAATTTGGTACCAAACAACATCAGCATGGCAGACCAGCACCAAAGTATATCAAATCCTAATAGTTGAGTGCTGAGTACAGTGTCAGAAAGCTGCATTAAAGACGTTTCATGGGAATAGGATCTTGAAGTCTGCTGTTCGACCCTGTATCGGGTGCAACGATGGTTGAAATTTCATTCACTGAGGCTCAACTAGCCCATAATATTATTCGTTATCTTCAGTCCAATGGCTTACGGCCAATGTTTACACGGTTAGTTGGCTGAGAGTTTATTTACCACCAAAATTTGATCCTGTCGTACTATAGTATGTTAAGCTGAGTCCAGTAATGCTCTGAATATGATGACCAAGTTTAACTAAGTCTATCTGAATCTAAATCGATATTTCTTTCTTTTTGGCAAATTGGACCTACAAGGAGACCCTTTCTTAGACAGTGACGTAATCTGCAGGTTTCAGCCTCCAAAAGATGTCTTCTGTCTTGATCCCCTCTGTGCAGACTGATTTTAAAATGAGAGAAATTTCGATGCGAGTATACCTCGGGTGAGAAGTGGCAGGACCATGAGAATAATATTGTAGGGTAGGTTCAAGCTTTTTGCAATTATGATCTTAAACAATGGATTTGGCTTTCCAAGGGACACTGTCTACTGTATCACAATGTTTAATTAAGCCAATCAATGCTACTTTTGAGCCACACTTCATCGCATGCTTCTACGCCTGGTAAGTTTAGTCTTGAGCGCATAGTCAATCATCTGCGAATTGAGGTCTTGGGTAATGAAAGTGCCGATGTTTGTCTTGGTTCCGTCTATATACCGGGATTCTAGATGCATGGACTATACATGGATCTGTCAGCAGGCTATGCTACATAGTAGGGTCATATTCATGTTGACTGACTTGGCTTCGCCTTTGAGCCGGGCTTCCTCAGAGAGATATTACCAGAGGAGCTAAAGTCCGGTACCTTCCATGCTGTTAGCTGGCAAGCCTTGTTATCCAACCTCAAATCTTCGATCAGGAAAGGTTGCACTCAACCGTAGTGTTTTTCTGAGGGCCAAAAGGCTCAGGGTGGATTGTAAGGCCATATATCTAGCATCAAGGTTAGTATATTCTGGATAGAACATGAAGTAAGAAGAATTACCAAGGTGGTTGCCAGTGCTAAGGTTATCCAAATTGCTGTTTTGGAGATCATGGTTTTCTGAATATCAGTGCCTAATCAGATTTCACTATCAGCTCTCAGACCTACTGAAAATCAGATTTGCTATAGTGACAAGAACTATCATTTATAGGTAGCAGGCTTGAGGAGAGTCTCTTGAAAGGCAGTAGGATTGGAACCTCCTTTATGACCGGGCTGACACCGTTAGGTTCTAATTGATGGACCCGATACTGATTTAAATGAGTAGATGAGATGAAGGGCGGAACACATTTCTTCTTTCACTCGAAGTCTCGGAAAAGGTTGAAGAGCTTCTAGTTCCAGGACTCCTTTTTCGAAGAAATGTGCGGGAAGGGGATGAAGCCATCAGATTCAAGCATTAGTTTTATATTGAGGAATAGCATAAACAAGCAAAGATTTTAGCACATGGGGGCTCCCAAGGGACACTATTAGGAAGATGCAGCCCATTTAAAATGGTTTAAATAGACAGGTGATCGAGGTAATGGAAGTATAAATCAGAACGCCCGCGGAGGGAACTTTCTCCAACTGGCTCCCTATCCATTGGGTTGATCACAATGAGTCTACCGCATTACATTTCGGAAATCGGCGAGTCATTTAACAGTGGTTCTACAGTGTATTCTGCAGAACCCGATGTTGAGGACATCACGCATTCGGAACTTGAGTCAGAATACGTCCCGTCAGAGACGAGCGAAGATCGAGAATTTGTTGTGTCAGACTCTGATAGTCTTTCATGCATTTCGATTGATACTTCGGGCCCCGAAAGGCCAGGCTACAGCATTCTTAATGATGAGATCGGCGTTATTGCAATGGTAAGCCAGCATCTCTTCCACGTGACATTGGTTTTAACACAATTATTGAGGAACAGGGCGGCCAAGGCATCAAACCTCTCAAAACAATCACAAAGAGAACTGTGAATTGTAACGGTCACCAAGTAGTTCAATACCTAGTCCTTTGGTATTCCTGGGAAACTGCAGAACCTGTCCCACACTAGTCCATGATCGTGAGAATACTTCATTCGACACGTAATTTTGCCCGTCTTTCTGATTGGGGCGAAACTGGTTGTCCGTATGTTCTGTTTCAATCTATTTACTTGGAGACCAAAAGCTCTACTGGATCACGCAATAACACAATATACCAGCGAGTGTCACGAATCCAAATCGCATGTTGATTACAGTACACCGTGTTTTATTTCTGATGTCAAGTATCTACAGTATATGTTGTCTCACCTTTGACCCGTGATGAACGGCATTTTGATTTATCTAAGTTGCGGATCATGATATCACTGGTGCCTTTGTCTACAATCAGTGACAGTAGTGGCCAGAGGTATCACAAATGCCTCAGGAGATATGCAGTCTTCTCCTTCAAGAGATAGGAGCAACATCCAATCATCCCAATATGACAACAGTATTTCACCAGATTCTTCATTCATGATATAGTCTCATATCCATTACGATGGACCGCTCACTACACCTGAGCTGGGCATGGGAGTGGTTGGTTGCATCCCCTCTCCATTGATATCGACCCGTCTGATATGCCAGACTGCCATCGTACCATCCCCATCTCAATAGTTGTTAACTTTTTCCAAATCATATGTGGGCCAACTCATCTCCATTAAATCGTTAAATACATACTATGAGTCTAAAGAGAAACGCGAAACTTCCAGCCGGTCTAAACCTTGACAATCAACTAGTCTGTTCGCGTCCTCCCCCTCTGGAACATGCGCAATCAGGATTGTGCCTCTCCTGGCTTGACGCATGTACCGGTAGCAAGGTCGATGTAGATAAACAATGCAAATAATGACCACACCGGCGCCGAACACGGTCCCCAAAATGTATTGAAGACTTTGCTTCGAAAGATTTCGGGATGCTTTGCTTCCGTCCAAGTCAACATCATTTTCAGCCAATGTAGTTGAAGTGACAGGTAATGAAGAAATGATAGAATGATTTGTGGTGGAATATTGTATGGCTGACGGACCTTGTGTGACTCTTTGATCGCTCGAGGAAGATGTTTGGACAGCAACATACCACCCAAGGCTCTCCAGCACGTACTGCGAGTTGGTAGATGCCTGAAAGGTTCTACTGAGACTTAAGCTCCCCCTGGAAGGGATAGCAGAAATGCCATGAGACCTTGTTTCAGCCTTGGTTACTTTTGCTGAAATGGGTGCAGTGATTTTGGCTATCGTTTGTCCGTGGTAAGACCCATCTGAAGGTTCCTTCAGGGAGCTGTCTGGTAAATATTCTTTCAGCTCGGTCATAGGTACTTGAAGTTGATGTATTTCGGAGGACTTGCTGGAATCTTCTGTGAGACCCACGATGTACCCTGCCGATGGAAACAAGGTTTCACTCATCCAAGTCTTATATGCGCCATTATTGAGAACATCACCGTCCGATGTGGTAATGTAAGATAATGGTTCAGTAAGCTGCTCGGTTACATCAGTCGCACCATGTCTGCCTTCCCAAGGCATCAATGACCCAGTAGCCTCATAATCATCTGCTGGAATCGTCTTTCCGGAAGAATAACCCAGAGGGACGAGGTTTGGCATTGTTGATGGTAGTTCCTGCATGGAAGAAGGTCGTACTATGCTGCCACCTTCTGGTTCCGAAAGCATTTTAGAAAACACGTCTTCATGGTGTGATCCTGAATATGGAAAGACGAGTTCTGGAGTCACTTCTGGTGAGGCACTGTGTATATGAACTGCTTGCGTACTACTGACTATTCCGGGTTTCAAAGTGGATTGTGAAAAGAATGCAGTGTCCACTAGTGTCGAGAATAGCCCTGGTACTATGTGGGAAAATGAGCTTCTAGAGACAAATTAGCACAATGATCTTGAAAAAATAGGTGCTGTAAGCTCAGACGGTTTCTGTCTCATTGTGTGGAGCTGCACTATCACAACTCAGCATATATTCCCAATTATCGTATCAAACCCAACAAGTGGTACCAGCAACCACACTTGTCAGAGACGAATGGCTTTCGAGAATGCAGCAACGGCTGAGACTAGTAAATTAAAAGGAGAAAAAAATTGGTAAGCAATCAAAGAAATTTAGCAACCCCATTCGCCGACAAGGTCCAAGAGAACAGACACATCAGTCATAATTATGACGCAGGGACTGGAAGCGCTTCCTAATCGAGTTTCGTGAAAACTGAGGGAACATGTATTGCCCTCAACTCGGATATATCTGTCGCAGTTCAGAGGTTTGAATTGATTATTTATTCAGAGAAAACATGAGGCCATACATATAGAACGAGAACATCAAGTCGATTTCCAATCAATTTGATTCTTCGTATACATACTTCGGGACTAAATCCGATGGCTCGGCCTGGTTCCTGGTCTGTACAAGCCTCATATCACAACAATATCCCCTCTAGGAGGTAAGCGCCTTTTTAAGGCGGTGTCTGCTGACGAGGTAAGATGAAATGCTTACGGGCAAACGCCCACTGCGTCTATGGAGTGCAACGATAAGATGTGTCAGGATACCATGATTCTGCAATTTAACCACTGCCATAGTTATATGACGGGCTAGGAATCGCCTGAGGGGTGTTGGCATGCTTTGTGCGTGGTTTACCCTGGGCTCTTAGGGTCCAGTTGATATCAGGATTGCGGAAGTCGGGATGCCTTTGTCACTGGTTCAGGACGAGAATCCATTTCACAACCGATGCGGAGCTAAGGCCGTGGCGGGTAGGTGTTCCCAGTTCGACATGCACCGTCGCGTGTCAAAGAAAGAAAAACTACGCTACCTTACCGACAGCCTATGCAGTATGCGCAGTCCCGCCAATACGTGAGGCTGCGATGAAGTCTGTACGACCACATACTGGAAGAAATCTTCGACTGACCATTTTCGATCCCGATATGAGTCCGGCGGAGAGCCTGGCAGCTTCGAAAACTGCAGTTGCCAGCCAGGCTTCACCACAAGAAGCCTCAGGAGCAGGGGAGAATAAGGTATTTCGCCAAGAACGACGATTTCCAGCGGACAGCCGAAAGCTACAGTATTCATCCCCGTAGAAAACAATTCGAAAACCAAAAAAAGTTGAAATGAGCAACCATTCGGAATGGGTAGAAAGTAAACTGGTACAGGGGCACAGATAGTCCACAATCACAACACCAAAATTTGAACTTCCAACTCCTTGATTAGATCCCCTTAAGCGTACCAAGTGTCCAGTCCGGTTCGCCTGCTTCGAATGACGCGACCTCAGCAAACTTGTCGGCTTTGCAGCGCGTTAGCAACCATATCTTCTGCCGGCAGTTCATGTATCACCGGGAGGGTGCCATGGGAGACTTGGACCCTGGCTTTCTTCGCCGCACAGCCAGTTCGCCTTCGCGAGCAGATCCCTTCTCCAGGGGAAGTTGAGGGATATATTGAGTGATTGATATGATAGGAGGATGACCGCCGACCATGGCAAAGCTGGCAGCGAAGTGTGCCGAGCTCGGGTAGGCTGGTGTTTCCATTTGGTTTTGTAGATCTAGCACAGTCCACAGGAACTGGACTGCTTTCGTTTTGGGAATATTTCGAGGGACATAAAGATCTCTTGCGTCTGTTACTCAGGAAGTTATCAGTACATGGGATGCATAAATCATGAGCTCCTCATGCTCATACTTTGCAACCACCCACAATTTGGTGCCAATAAACCAATTCATAATTGTATGTGCAGAAAAATGAGATGAAGGCTTTCAGGAAATGGTGATCCTGAAGTAGCACGGATTATGAAATATACGAAAATAGAGCGAGTTAGATAATAGCCCATGGAAGGGGTTTTCAAGTCAAGCGATACCGTTCATCGCACGCAAATCATATTGCATCTGTGGAACATAGCAAAACGCTCAATAGGTGGCTACCCGTAAACTTGTCTTCTAACTTGAACGTAAGTAAAGGAAAAATATCTTCACAATGTGCAAACGGCACCGTTCAACTCTGCTTGCTTGTTCCCGACCGGTTGAAAACCCGGTCGAACCGCATTTTTGAGGCCCAAACGCGTCCAACACGAAGGAAATCCCATACTTCCTGGCCCTCCGCTTCTTGGCTCAAGGCCTTGGTGCAAGTGCAAAAAGCTGATACTGTTATTTCTGGAGTGAGATCCCCTGTTCAAACCGATCGAATGTGAATATGACGTCATTATCATCGTGATATAAATTGGGCAGTCCCCTAGTCCGGTCGTTCGCATTATCCTCGTTTGTTGACCATGAAATCTATAATACCAGCAGCAAAGCTCACTTTTGCTATAGCCACCACCGTAGCGACTATGCCAAACTCTGACATTGGCGTTCAGCCGGCCACCAATGTAGTAAATTCAAGGTTCCTTCTGCTGCTTCGCTGACGGGCTTTAGATGCTTTCTGCTCCACTTCAGCTCATTGCCTGGAAACTACCTAACTGTACCGGAGATATTGGTGTTACGCAGTTCACTGATTCGGTCCTGGCACGAAACATCTCGAACGGGTACATTTCTCGCAGTTTCCAACTTAACCGTACATTGATAGAGCAGGAACAGCTGGATATATCCGTGACTAATAACTTCACCTCGTGGTACTCCCAAAAAGACCAGTTGAGTTACAACAGTACGTCTTGCAGCAACTTCTGGCAAACCTATTACCCCATGAATGGAACTACCGCATGTCATAACACGCCCCCATTTACCTGTCACCGGTTGTGGAACAACCCAGGACTGCCTACTGCATAAATGAAAGAGAAGAAAAAACCACGGTAGCAATTTTCTGCACTTGTTGCCTGTCGATCTCTTATTAAAATCAACTATGACCAAAGAGCAACGTCAGATCCTGGTCTGAAACATTCTTTAACATTCAAGATCGCGACAAGATTTTCAAGACAACGATCGCGTCAAGTGGAAAGCGGAGCTTTAGTCTTAAACTGAAACATACATTAAAATACCAAATTCAGAATTAAAAGTGAGTCGCCGTCAGTACCCTAACATCTAGAATCATACCAATGTGAGATTGGGAAAATCCATGCCCTTTGCTTCTCATGTTGAAAAGTGCTTTTAGAAAAGGCAAAGGGCTGCACTGGAATGGAGATTGTGTGGGCCAGCCAACTAGTCGTCGCGTTTCCTCGTCAACAAATCCTTCATTCGAGATTTGGCCCTCTGGTATATTGCTGCAGGAACCTGCCACCAGACCCAAAAAGTGCCGGAAGCTTTCATATGCCAAGAATGAATCGAAGTAAAGGTTCCCTGAGAAGAGTGCCAAGTCTTGAATTATCTCACGTGGCCAATGCCATTCATTGCGTCTTTCACCGATGGTGAGGAAGGTGAGATCATCAAAAGATTGCATGGTTTTACTTGTCTTGGGAGAATAGACATGCAAATTTGTATGTTTTGAAATCCTGATATCAGGCAGAAGCTCGTTGACCTCGTGTTGACTCAAAAGCAACAGGTCATGGTTATGAATATTAGACAATATCCAGTGAACAGGCTTCAAAAACTGGTCGTCCACTGTGCCTTTAGCCCTTTTGACTGTTTTAACAAAATCGTTCGAAGTATAAAGTCGAGAGCCCAAGGATTGTGGTAGATTGAAGTGCCCAGCAGAGGTCTTATGAAGGCCGTCAAATGCCAAGCAGGTCGCAGTTGTTCCCTTTTCCGGAAATTTCCCATGCTTCACAAAGTGACGAATGTCTTCATGTATACGATGAAGAAGGGGACTTTGCTTCGGCGGGCGACAGACTTGCTGTTCTCTCTGCACTTCGTGAGTAATTTGACGCTCCTGCTCTTCGTGTAGAGTGGAGCCACCTGCACGCCCGCTGGTAGGTGATGATTGCGTCAAGAGAAGCTCACGTACGATGCGATCACTTGGATCTATATAATCGTTCAGGCTTGAGGACCTGGGAGTGTCAGAAGGATCATAAAGCTGAGACAAAGTTTGCGCTTCGGGCTCCTGAATGCAAGACACGACATCCTCTGCGGGTTGACTGCCCTCTATGAGCATACTCCACAATCTGTTTTTCTTGTAATGTTGAAGGCCCTGTGAAGCCCAAAGTGGTTTTAAGCTTTCCAGTGTATCGCAAGTTTGCCTGAGTGCCCATCGAATCACGTCGAGCGAGGTCTTTAGATCATCTCCTCCCTGCATGATATGGCTGACTTCAGGGGGTATTAGAAATACAATAGACTGGCCAATACCAAGGCCACGCATTCTGCTACATGCTTTACGAAAGTCAGGATATTGAGCCACCCATTTAAAAACACACTCAGCGAAATAAACTCACCTTGAACAAGTCTGTCTTTAGTCAAACGAGGCCCGAGGGTCACAGCGGCCCGATATGAGGAGGGAAGTTTTAAGTCAACACCGCGCGCATGCTGCTGATCCAAAAATATCAGACATCTATGCATCCTTTGCCGAAAAGGCGAGCACAGTAATCTCTCCACGCGACCCTCACGATCAACCACTGCAGGCTCGTCATTTTCATCGAAGAAAATAGCCCCGTCTGCATCATTAGCAGTGGAAAGCCAGTGAGTGGAAACCCATTGGTTGCTAGACTCCAGAATCTGCGCCCCGACGTCTATGATCACACGCACTTTTGGACACTGGGAATTGACCAAAGCAATGAGGTGAGTTGTAGAAAGCTGTCGGCCTCCCTGATCCTGTGCTAAGATACACGCGCGATTTTCGTCCCTTAAAAGACAGCCAAGGACCATGGCATTTGTATGGAGCAGATGAGATAGATCACGTTGAGGCGACGACTTCGGTAGAAGAAATCTGTTGTCATTCGTCCCACTAAAACCAGTAGTGAGTGGTTGGTCTTTCTGCGAAGGTACGTCCCACGCAGAAGTGCAGAGCTTCTGCGGAAACTCCTTGGCCTCCTTTGGGAACACGACCTGCGAGAGATAGAAGTCTATGATGCCCTTCTGAAATCTCAGATGTGGGTAGAGGGTTCCGCAGAAAGTTTGTGTATCCTCAAGATTCACTCCAGTAATTGCCCTCAGCGTTGCGGGAAGGCTAGTCAGGCCGTTAGAAATCCAATCGTGATATTGGGCTGACGGATCATTCTCCTTTCCTAGCAACGTGAAGCAATGCCGTACTTGCTCGGCTGTGAGCCCATTATAATAGTAGGCCAGACAAGTCAACGTGATAGCAACATCAGGATGGCCAAACTCCGCGTTCTCGGAAGGGATACCTTTGGCTCGAAATGGAACAGCCATCAAACAACGGGATTTATGGAGCCCATAGTCGACTAACCAGCGCTTTCCAGCCAGCGTAAACTTCAGAATGTTATGAGCTAGCAGACCTCGCAAGACAAGCAGTTTGCGCATGAATACGCTATCGTGGAATGTCTCGCGAAGGATGTTCCTACACCCGTTTGTAGTGTCAATGAAGCGGATAAAATCCAAAGCACTTCTGCGAACTCGCCCAGCCCACTGATTTATTGGCAGGCCTGGCAACCCCTCATCATTTATCAAATCTAGAATCTTCGCAATTATTTCATCAGCTGCCTCTGGCCTCAGAAAATGGAGTATCGGGTAGCGAGCGCCACTCCGTTCAATATCCAAGCAAGTTGGGTCTTCCGAGTGTATCATTTCGGCTTGCCTATCAACCAATGCAAGCAACGTCTGGATGATATCCCATCGATCGCTGTGCCCGTCCACTGTCTGCTGGCTGCCAACAGTATACACAAGTTGAAACTTAGGATCAAGGACTTCATCGCTCTCGTCGATGATGTTCCGACAGTTGGACTGAAGCCATTTTTCTAAGTCTATCGCTTGAGGAGCCAGAGCTGGATCTCTGTTCATCAAGTCCAAACCGACAAGGCGAAATGACAAGACTTGCTCCGGTAATACTATCATTATCCCCCTCTGTCTCTGACATTCAACATAAGTTTCGCGCAGTTGATCCAGAGTAGTTGTGTCCAGAGGGGTGTCTCTTGCAAACGGTATATGGTAAATGCGCCGGCCCAGCATTCCACCGAGGCGTTGAGAGAGAAGATTCACGCTCTGCCGCAAGAGAGACTTCAAAACAAAAATCCGAAGCAGATTCCCACCATCCGCAAGAACCGAAGCAGCCAATGGTGTTATGACAGAGGTTTTCCCTTCACCCATGTTCAGTTGCATGACCGAATTGGACTGGAATTCTGGGCTGATGATACTGAAGGTTACATCTGTCTGGGTCTTCCGGATGGTGAGATTATTTTCAATCTCAAAAAGCAGCCAATCTGGGTATTTCAGAGTCTCCCACCCTACCCCACTAACACTCTCTGCTTCTTTGTAAAAGCCATCAATATCATGCCGATCATAACAACTCAAAAGGCGATCAGCCCGGCGTAAGGAATTGACACTTTTTGCAAACATCACAATGCTGTTTTTCCAAGCCTCAGGTACCAAATGCCAGCGCTCCGTCGCGAGAAGTGACAGTATTGAGTGACTGGTAACGTGCGTCATCAAAACTGTTGCCGCAACCTTTTCCCAGTCGCGGTCAGTTGAATTCAATGTCTCTTTAATAGCTTTCCAAATGGCGTTTCTCTGATTCCTTTGGAAGTCAAAATATCCGACAATGACGCTTCGCTCCACAGGCATCGCCGGAGAAGAGCAAGGCAAGCTGGCTTTTTCCAGAGACTCTAAGCTTTCCTCAAGCCCTTCTCCAAGCTCGCGTTGACACAAATTTGAATTGTTCCGAAAGTCAGTTATCAAAGAACGAAGCTCTGTGTTTGTGTCGTCATTAAATCTTTGAGGGATAAGGTGCCGATGGAATACGAGAGGTGGACTTTCTGTCGGCAGGTTGGCCGGATTGGATGCTGACAGAATGTCTAAAAGGCCAGGTGGGACAAACTGACGGTTCAGGACAGGCGAATCTCGCGATGGTGTGGAAGGAACTTCTAAGTCTGCCACGGGCGCTTCATCTTTGATAGTATTGAGCCTCTCTTGCACCGAGCGAAGAAAGATTAAAAACTGGCGATTTTGGTACCATTGCGTGCACAGAAATGAACATGCTTCCGATGCTCCCCTTTGATTGACCCTTTCAATTTCCGGCAACTGAGGTATTTCGCAGGGCCATTGGCTTTTGACAGAGTCGGACAAAGTTTTTACATCAGTCTCTCTCTGTAGATCATATTTCGATTGTCGGTCTTTAGCAGCTCGCTTTTGTGCTTTGGAATTTGTACCCAGACCGGGATGCACGAGATTACTATAGTTTCGTTCTATCGCTCGTTTGATCTGTTCTTCATCAAAACACTCGCCCATTTGCATGTTAAGAGATTGTTGCCCAATGGGAGGAATAGTCAGGTCCTTGAATTGGCCGGAAATTGCGACAGCCAAAAGTGAATAAATGAGTTGTTCTTCTTTATCGGCAAATGCAATTGTGCAAAAGAGAGACAGGAGGCTGTACGAGTCTTTTACCTGATCACTAGATCGGCAAAGCTCATACAGAGAGCCCCATGCGTCTCTAAAGGACAGTCGCAGAAGTTCCGTACAAGTAGCCTGCTTTAGAGAGGGTCCTGCTGGCCGGACGTTTTTCCAACTTCCGACGCTTCCAAGAAGGTCAACGCGCTGCGATAGACACGGCCGCCAGCTTCTCACAAGGGCTGCAATTTTGTAGACGCGTTGACTTCGCTTACTCTGGAACTCGCAATCTCGACCGTGATAAAACGATGACTGAGGCATTTGGTGCATTAAGCCCCCTCCAAGTCCGGAGTAGAACATATCCGAGTTTCGAGAACGGGCTCTTTCGAGAAGGTGAGGATCCCCACGCTTCTCGTAGCATTTGGCCATTGTATCGCACTCAGTGTGACTCAGTCCATGGAGAGTACTCAATCTACTACCACTCTCCACGATTTCTTGTGCCAGTGCTCGAAAATCGTCATGTTGAGCTAGTTCGCCAAGCTCACTATTCCACGAGACTGTCTGCATAGATTTCACATGATCAGGATAGTAGCGACGCCTAGGAGTAAGAGCTGCGATATGTTTCAAGAGCTCAACTGTCTCGGAGTTGAGTGGAAACGAGGTTTTCAGGCATGCCTGACGCAAGATGCGAATGGCCTCTGCTGTTCCTGACCGTTCCGTTGCGGGGTCAGGAAGAACATAGCTTGTGACTGCATGCATATATGCTAGATATAGTATCTCTAACATATCGTATGATCCCTGTAGCACTTTGAGGTGCTCATCAAACGAGTAGTGGAAACATCTGAGGCGAGGCTCTTCAGGTGGGTTGACTGTCACGACAGTTTGGCGTTTGACTTTGAACAGCTGAACACCACCATACGGTATCAAGACAGAGCGGCAACTTGTCCCACAGTCTAGAAGAACAAGCTTGTTCTTCAGGCCATATAAGCAACCTATGTCTTGATTTTGGTCAACCTTTGCATTGAATTCCTGGGATTCCAGAACTCCATTCTGGTTTATGAAGAACTTCAGTCGAAGCCTGACCAAGTGGATCTCGACTGTTTCGTCATCATCTTTTCGCGCCTGAATGACATGTATGTGATGAGGATCATCTAATACTCCGAGAACACCTGCCACCATTTTGAATAGCTGGCTATTGTTATCAACCATTTTTTGGTGGCCGGATGTCATGGTAGATATTTTTCCTGGTGTTCGTCCAAGCGAAAGCCGCCAATTTGTCGATTGCGGAGTCCATGTGTGCTCTAATGGACGAAACTCGAGCGTCTCACTTTCCAAATCAAGCCAATGCACATAGTTAGAGACTAGACTCTCTGGGAAGTCTCCAGCTAGCCTCTCGTGCGGGATGAGCTGAAATATCTGATGCTTTGCTCGCGCCTTAATGATAAGTTCACTCTCATCCATCGAGAAGTGGAGCTACGTAAACAAGGTCAGTTTCACGCTCGCACGACGGAGGCGCAATAAGCTTACAGAGTATCCCTCATACTGGGCAGTTGACATGAATGTTGACCCATTCAAATTCGATGGTAGCACCGTAAGGGTTCGCTATGTTGAATTTGTATTAATACCAGACCGGAAATAGGAGGTGGAAAGGGTTTCTCACGTTGCCAAAAATCCGCTGAAATAACGGTAGGCTGGTATACTCCCGAGGAAGACGTCCAGGAGGACAATTTGCCAAAAGAAGCTCTCCACTAAGTAGGTTGTAGTGGATCACTTGTGAGCTTCCTTGGGATTCCGCACTTGTTTCATTGGTAACCCATCGTGACGCATTTCCCAGACATGAATTCCAAGCAGACGCAATCTGCAGATCATACACGCTCTTGCTGATTGCTTCGTTGAAGCCTGATGGATCGGCCTCAATCAAATGACGAGTATGTTCTTCGATATTGTGCAAAATTTTAGTTGTCCAGATGAGGCTGTTTGCAACTCCAGATGGCACGTTCACATGCGAGCGAGGCGAATTCTCGAAAACCAGAATTGAGGACCGCGTTAAATGAAAGAGGTCTGTACGGTTGTCGAGGAGAAGTGGACAGTGCTGCGGTTCTACCGCGTACGTCAATTGACATATACCCCCTACCTTGACAATAAGCAACTGCTGCGCTTCACTTTGTGCGTCTGTCTGTGTGTACAGGTTAGCGGCAAGGTCCTCGCACCATTTTAAAGCGGTCTTTCGGCATCGACGCAAAAACTCTACCGCTCGTTCAACAGTTGAGAAAATGTCCGACAAACTAAGGGTGCGAAGGCCCAGAACGACCAGCGTGTGCAAAGTATGATGTTCGTTCCAGTTGGCCTCAATAAAGCCGAGCTTTTGGTTCAAGCAATCCAACAGCCGGATACCTAAGCCATCCTGTGTAAATGCTACGTGAGCCTCTCTGAGATCTGAACCAGGGCATGGGCCGCTGAGTTCCCAGGCTGCTTGCCGGAACAAAATGCATATCGCTTCCTCATTCATTGCGAGAGAAGGTGACGCTAGTTCACGAACCATGTTATACCATTGCACTCTGGGCCCCGCTCGAAGACAGCCAAAAGCGACGAATTCATGCAAGCTCAATTCAGAAGGACAGGTTTGCTGATCCGCAATGATCTGGTTCTCCGAATGCAGGAACGAATCCACTGTGTGTTGCAGGCAAGTGTACGGCCCCGGAGGGAGCTTAAAGATACACCAACGTTTAAACGAAGAATATTCTTCTTGGTCTCCTACCCAGCTGTTGTCTTCGCTGTCGAGAAGCCGGAACTGGAACGCATTTAGCGGCGTTATGTCTTCAAAAGCTACAGGGAATTGACGACTACTGTAGTGAGACCTCTTCCATGACTTTGCTGTTGATCCCAGGGTAAGGCGCTGGCCCCAGCTCACGCAGAATTGTTTCGTTTCTTTGTAAAAGAGCAGATTCTGCTGCACGTTGGGTCCTTTTTCAACTTGTACCCGACCGAAGTCATGGACCAGTCTCCAAGTGATATCGCGCCACTTCAGAAACCATTTTGGGCAATCCAACTCGAAGATAACTGTTTTGAGGATCTCCTCACACCTTGGAAGTGGCCATTCGTAAACATCAATACTGAGATTCCCGGCATGATTCTCGATGGAGCAGCGCTGGCAGGATCTAGAATGATATTCATTGCCACGCGAATCAACGTCCCACTGGTGCGGAGTTTGATCAGCGCGACACAGAAGTTCTTTATGCTGTTGAGACTTGTTCCGCCACTCTGTTCTCTTACTCTCAGTGCTATCACGCGCATGTTGCTCTATACGCTCGCGTAGCCCGTGATGTTTTCCAGAATCGTCAAAGTAAGCAGCAGCAAACCCTTGCGAGTTGGGGTCAGAAAATATGCTTGGGGCACCGGCTACCCGTCCTTGGTATCTGGAAAGGATATAAGCCTCGATATTATTGACTCGTCGCATTTCAGAGCGCTGTGGTAAGAGCAAAGATTCAAGAATGTTGCTAGGTATTTCAGGTGAATAAGTTCCTAGGAGTGGACAGATGACAATGCACATCTTATCAAGAAAGATCCACAACTCCATTATACAGACAATTGCAGCGGACATCGCATCTGGACTGTCACTGTATGCTTCGACTGCGAACTCTGAATATGTTTGAAGCAAGTCTCCCAGCAAACAGCACAGATGCTCTGAAGGCTCTCTGTCGCGAAGATACGAATTGGTCTCCATTGCATCTTTCACCCAGCACTCAAAATCTGCCAAGGAGATAAGGTCTCCACTTTCTAAAGTGGGTAGCCCAGCCCTATTCATTTGATTGCGTGCTGCGTAGCGTCGATCGAAAGATGATTGTTCAGTATTAGCAGGAGCACGGGATATAGCAGAATTCAAGTATTCTCTGGAATTCTTGAGCGACATCTGCAAATCTTCTGGGGCGCAAGAAAATCCTTTCGGTACTGGCATCGCACCTGCACTGATTATTTCCTGCTGAATATCCTCTAAAGAAGCTCGTATGATGGTCTCCGCCGACTGCGAGTGTTGCAGGACGAAATCGCAGGCTCCTTCCTTCAACTTCAGGATTCGTCGACATATCTTGGCACGTATTATTTCCAAAGCATCCGCAGGAACAACAGGTCGAACAAGCGTAGCGAGATGACCTAGCTCAGCTGAAAAATAGAGCATAAAGTTTTTGTATTGCTTGTACCCGTCTCCATCAGGAAGAGCGCGTTGAAGCACTGTCTGGAGTGCAACTCGCAGCACAAGCCAATGAGGAGATCTTCTCCAAGGAAGCTTGCTACTTCTCCAGTTGACCTCGTCTCGCGTGTTCTTGGCAAAGGAAAGCTCCCCATTAACTTCACCGAAAGCCAACAGCTGAGTCATCAACCCTTCAGTGACAAGACCCGGGTGAGTAGTATCCCGTTCTTCGGGAATTGATTTTCCAGCCTTGGAAGATTTAGACATCATTTCTTCCACGTCTTCGGCCGATAGGCGTGCTAGGTTTCTTGAAAGTTCCATGCAAAACCTAGCATCCCCCAACATGCTACCTGGGATGGCCACACTTCTGCCAACGAACTGGCGAACAAGACTCCCCGGCGCAGAAATCACGTCCTTTGCGCGAGGTGATGCTTCAAATGAATCCATGATGACTTTGTCGCAGCCTTTATCGTAATATGCCACCCAGCCACAATTCTGAGCCCGAATGTATAGAGCAGCCGCCCCTATTTTCGTCAGTTGGATTGATCTTCATCATCCACAATCCACAACTGGAGCATACCGTTTTTTTTAAGATCTGAAATGATCCGAGCAAGGGTCTCTTGGCACACAGCACCTTGCTTATCCACTTCTTCCCAATTTTTCAACATATTCAACAAAAAATTCCAAGGTTCTTTATTTTCTTGCGAGCTCTTTTGTATGAACGACTCAAGGGCTTCTTGAGCGAATCGGTGAAGCGTGCGCTCTAGAGGCCAGTCGCCATCCAATGTGTCTTCATCATCATGCTGTGGCAGCCAAGGTGGAAGAATAACATGGTGAAACATGAAGTTGAATGAATGCTTCGAAATCAACATCTTGCGACAGTCTGGAACAAGTAATAATATATCAAATGGTGTTGAGTCCGAATTGCGTTTCTTTTCCTTTTTTTGGGCTTTTGGGTGCTATTGTTTTGTTTTTGTTTTGTTTTAAGTTCTTTTTTGGTTCTTTCTCAATTTGTTTTGGCTTGATCTTCTTTTCTTTTGGGAGACTCGAAATAGCTTCCAGCTGGTAAAATGACATCTCCAGCTAAGACATAGTTATATCTAACACGCAGGGGCTTGACAAAACCGAGGGAGAGAATACAACCCAGGCTGTAAGTCTAGATCCTTTCCATGACACGTATACTTTCTGACATAGTATCTGTAGATACGTAGTCTATGAGTAATTTCCTTATGTCAATGTAACATTAAAAAAGTGCATGGGAGCGCCGCACTCAACACCGGACCAAGATTGGTTCTGCATAATCAAGTCCTTGCGTGGGCTCCCTGCATCTACACTCAAGAAAGTATATGCGGGCACATTTCATAAGACAATTAAAAGGCAGAAGAATGGTTTCATGAAGGTAAAGTCATCTATTTGAAATGCGTGGTAGTTCCATTCAGGTTGTGTTCATAGTCTTTTCAAAGCAAGCTTCGGCATATGGTTTATAAACTGAAATCAAAGTTCTCTTGAGAGCTTTGGCAAGCACATCTCGCTCTAGAACATCCTGTTCGTAATTGAATGCACTTGGATGGAACCCTGGTACCACGCAAACGTCATGGTTCCGATATCTGATGGTCTCGCATTTTCCTTCAAGTGCCCTGTCCAACGAGGAACAAAGAGCCTTTGCCAAGGGATGGTGAACTGTTTGTAGGAAAGAATACTTGGTTTCTCTGCACGCATGGGTGGTACATTGTAGTACAACTATCGCCGGCGGCTTGAATCTTTCCAAGTATTGCTCTATGAGCTCATAGCCTTGAAAGACCATCTTTTCAACTTCCTCTTTGCGTCCACTGCGAGCCATTTTTTCAAACCACTCGTCGCACATCATTGGCAAAATGTCCCATATGGGCACTTCATGCTCAATATCAAGACCAATGCTATCAAAGACTTGCTTAAGCCATCCCAAAGCAGACATCTTGCCGAACATATCGTGGAACTCTCCCGAGTGGAACCTGCATGGATTCAACAATAATGTCACTGGAAGTTGCTGATAACCTGCCATCAATCGGATATGATTTTTCAGACATTTTTCGTCGACATGCAATGATTTCCAGAAATTCTTTGTCATCGAGAAGACGGGGTTATTGGGAAGGATCTGTGTCAGATGAATGGGCGAGTTCAAGCGTGAATCGTGTGCTAGGACCTCAGCAGAGCGCTGTGCTCCCTTCAGAACTTCAACGTCTTCGAAACTCTTGCTTTGCTGCATTTTGAGAATGGTTCAATCTGTATTTTGCGAGTTCAATGCATTTAGATTGACTGACGACCTGGATTTAAGTCTTCCCACGCTTTCGAGCTTTCATGCTTGTTGTATTCTTTAAAGAGATACAACGGAGCATAAGATGCAAGCGTCATTGAATAGTCATTGCATCAACTAAACTCGTCTATCGGATCATTTTGGCCCAAGGATTTCGGATATTTGTTTCCGTACCTACTCGCCACCAAGACTTAATCGTCAAGCAACACATCCAGCTTTTTGGAATGCCGAATCAGCTCAAGAGGTATAAAATTCTCTTGAGTAGACCTCACGAGACACTAGCATTGTTTACTACTTGTCTATATATGAGTGCACCACGTTATATCTAAGGGCTAGTGTCAAAGCTTGACGTATATGCGCTGAGTCAAGGATGCATGTGAGAACAGGGTGAAATGCAAGCCATAGGCTCGGTTCGTGGCAGGATTCCAAGTCTGGCAGCAAAATTCTGCCTTCGGAGGCGATGACTGTGGGCATATATCATCAATATATACGGGGGGCTTGATTTCCCGTGGGTTACACATTGCCGTATCATATGGCATGGGCGCTTTCCGGAAGCAAACGAATCTTCAGGGGCCCGAACACCCCAACGACTCACACCAATAAGGGGTGCATTAATCCTCCGCCTTCTGCTAGTGTGGCCACATTGCTGTGGAAAAAAAAAAGAAAAAGAAAAAAAAAAAAAAAAAAAACACAGACCAAGGAATGCTCCGTTACTACTATGACCGTGGTAAGGTATGGCATTTTATGCAAGCCAAAGAATCCCTGGACGAAATAGCAATGCAGATATGCAGTCCACAGTTATTTTTGCCGTAGAATATAAAGTCACAAGCTTAAGGGGATACATGACTCATTTTAATGCTCTGAACGAGATGAGAGCCTTTGCACCGATAAAAAGGTTTCGAAGATACACTTTTTATCTCCCAACCTCTAAACCACGCCAACTTTTCAACCAAAATGGCCAAGAAACTGGCAATGGACCTCGCCGCAGCAGATGGTTTGGACAATGAAAAGCGAGCACAGCTCCTCGGAGTTATTGATCAGCTCCGCGAGCTGGGAATCAGCGAGAATGTCTCTCTTCCTCAGGTAAGCAGAGTTCTGTTCGTGCGAGGGACTACTCTTAAGAATTTTCATAGCTCGTTGTGGTTGGTGATCAATCAAGCGGTAAATCATCCGTTCTGGAGGGCCTCACTGGTCTTTCATTTCCTGTAGCCAGTGATCTCTGCACAAGATTTGCTACCCAGATCGTTATGCAACGAGTGCTCGCGGGAAATGCAGGAGCAAGAATCACAATCATTCCAGGACCAACTTCGCGACTGGATGAGCTATTGAATCAGCGTCTACTTGGGTTTGAAAGAAGCCTTGCGGCCATGGATTTCGGTTGTCAGGAATTCAAGGATATCTTTGATGAGGTCAGTTTCATGATTGAAATGCGAAAACGAATTCTTAGATTTGGGCAGGCCGCTAGCTGTATGGGTATTCCCGTATCCAAAACCACCGATCTTGAAAAGTTCGACAAAAGGTTCTCTAACGACATCCTTAAGATTGAGCTTTCGGGGCCGAATCATCGGCACCTCAGTGTTGTGGATGTGCCAGGCTTATTTCACAGTAAGAAAACTATGATGAACCTTGAATGCTTGGACTGATCCTTACTGAAGATGCGACAAAATTCCAAACTGAAGAAGACCGGGCAATCATACGTAAACTGATCGAAAACTTTATTACCGATGGGCGTACCATCATTTTGTGAGTCAACTTACTTCGACATCGGCATTCAAGATATGGTCGGCTCATTTTGGCTCTGTAGAGCTGTCATGGATGCTAGAAACAACCTGGCCAATCAGGAACTGTAAGGATATTCTCATGAATTTTAAATGACAAAGACTGATAAACACAAGGTTCTCTATGGCACGTGCCGCAGATCCAGCCGGAAAGCGAACAGTCGGAATCATTACCAAATGTGATGCCCTCCAGGAAGGGGATGAAGCTGGGGTGCGTGTTAAAACCAATATAAAAAGTTTTCGCTAACGGTTAATAAGGTGCTGCGCATCGCAAAGAACCAAGTTGAAAAGCTCACACATGGCTGGTTTGTAGTACGAAACCGCTCCACCAAGGAAATCAATGAGGGCGTGACTATCGAGGGACGTCACCAGGTCGAAAAGGATTTCTTCGCCCAAAACCATCCCTGGAACAAACTACAAGAAGATAGGGTTGGAATTGACGCTCTCAAGTGCTTTCTGGGTCACCTCCTCTACGATCATATCCGCTCTGAATTTCCGGCTGTTATCAAAGATATCGAGAACTTGTCACGACAGACAGAAAAAGACTTGGAACTTCTAGGTTTCTCCCGTCAAACAGCCACAGACCAGAGACGGTTCCTGATGCGCCTCATAAATGCGTATCAATCACAAGTTCACAATGCACTGGGTGGAAGATACGACGAAAATTTAGACACGCAGAGCCCACTCAAGCTTCGAATGCTTGTGCGCAAATACAATGACTATTTTGCACTGCTAATGTCGCGCAAGGGACATGCGAAGATATTTCGTACAGTCGATGGAAAGATTGATTCCGACTTCAAGCGACAAGAAGGAGAGAAGGAGAATATCTATGATTGGATTCGATGTTACTATGTCGACTCTCGAGGGCCGGAGCTCCCAGGTGTCGTCAACCCGGTCGTGATAGAGAACATGTTTCGTCAACAGTCCAGCCCTTGGGAATCGATCGGACAGACTTATATCAACACTATTGTGAAGGTAGTCCACGATTTCAATGATCATGTTCTAGCATTGATTGCGCCTGAAGACGAAGTGAGAACAAAACTCCAAGCACTTCTCCTGCAGCAGAAACAGAGAACTCAACATGAAGCGCTCAACAAGCTTCAGCAGATCCTCAAGGATGAGAGAGGTGGTGTCTTGCAGACTGTGAACCATTATTATGCGGACACCCTTTCGTCTACCCGCCGAGAACGAGTCCTGGCGAGACTCGAAAGTCTTGGTTTTGTTGAAGGGGATCCTTTCGATAGGGAGAAGGTTATGAAAAGTGTTCATCTGAGCAATGATGATCAAGCAGTCTACGATATCCACGACATGCTGAAAGCTTACTACAAAGTAGCCATCAAGCGGTTCACTGACAACGTCGTCATCCAAATCACAGAAAGGCACATATTAGGTGCAGAAGGACCTGTGAAATCCCTGTCGCCGGACTTGATAAGCGATCTTAGCGAGGTACAGTTGGCCGAACTTGCAGGCGAGAATTTTATGACGGCAAGCATAAGGAATGATTTGATAGCCAAAGCCGAGCGCTTCCAGGAGGCTTTGAAGATTGCTAGGGTGGTAGCCGTTTGACTCGACCAATGAACAAATCGGATGCAGGACATATGGTTGAGAACGAAGGAAAGAGATGCCGGAGATTGAAGGACTTAAAACAATGGACTTGGGTTTAGGTATCTGTGCGTTTCCCGCGTCTTTAGTCTTCCTTTTGGAATTTATCTGCTTCCTAAGAAGATCTTCAAAAATATCCATAAGCCGACGAATATCCACATTTACTGATATGAAATCGCACTTATCAAATGCGTCACAGGCCTAATCATATACTGAAATGGGAGATGCGCTCGCAGGGCTCGAACTTCCTCGTGAAGTTTCTCGTTCTGCGAGTGGAGGACGTTCTGGTCGTGCTTCACTTCTAGCAGTTCGTTCTTGGTGGATTGGATGAGCTCGGTTTGGTAGGCGATCGTTTCTTTTAGGCCTTCGATCAATCGGCAGATTTCCCGGGTCGTGACGCGTCCATTGTTGTCGCCGGAACTCGTGGTCTCGGGTCGCGTTGCGGTGGTGTGGCCATCGCTAGGCCGAGCCTGCCTTCTGGTCCGAGGCGCAGCGGTTGGATTAAAGTTGTCCAACGCGTTGGTCGTTATCATTCCAGGCGTGCGAGTTCCAGGCGTGCGAGGGGGCTTGGGCCCTCCCGCATGTGGGTCCGCCATCCCTTCTGTTCGGTACACAACATTTTCTCCGGTACAGGATCCTTTCTCTGGGTGCACTGTCCAATCGTCCGGCTAGTTACCTGCTTGTCCATGAGATCCGCCTGTTGCTGGAAATGGTATGTAGCTTCCTGACTCGGAAACCTCGAAAGTCACGGAACATCAAAGCGACCTGAGACGTTCAACAGTATCATTTGTCGATAGCAAACTTGTCTTTCACACAATCCACTGCATGCATGCTCATTCCTGAATCAATCCAAACAGCGCCAAGAATTGCTTCCACCGTCGTTGCACGAGTGCCCTGTATATTGTGGCCTTTTTGTGCCGGATGCCCGGTTATAAAGTTGACTATCTCAGTCGCCTCCCCTTTGCAGCTCAAAATTTTGTTACGGGCATTTGACTGCAGCATATCGTTTCCGCCTTCTGAGTCTAGTTAGAAGTAGTGATGCGATTGGTGGGTCACAGCGCAACGTGCCGATAGTATCTTCGCTGTTGTACCATTCATCCAAGAGCGAAGTGGACAGAACGGAATCACCAAGAAGTGCCAGTCGCTTGTTGCCTTGGAAGGGACGGGTTCCAGCTGGATTTACGGCCTCTTCTCAAAGTTTAGTGTTATTGAAGTGATAGCCAATTCGATCTTGAAGCTCTTCCATTTTGAGTAGACCTGATATTCGACGTAGGATTCTTGATTAATAACTCAAACCGCGATAAAATATCGTACTACTTATATGTCTCAGCGGGGCAAAACTGGACCCCTCAAGTATCTATCAGGTGTTTAGAAGGGAACAGACAGATGAAGTCATTGACTGAAGACATCTTTTCGTTCTCGGATGAGCTAAATATCACCAACGCTGAATCAGAGACCAGGACCCCAAGAACCCTAGATGAAGGCTTCTCTCTTGACTAGATCCGAGTAAGCAAAAGTGCACCAAGTGTTGCCATGGGGGCATACACCTGAACCCAGCCAGCCCATCATCAAATCTTGATAGTCGGAGAAGAGTGCCTATACTAGTACGGGGACATAGACACCAGTGGTGAAAAAAGGAACTCTATTGGATTGACAAAGAGGAAACAAAAAAATGGCTGAAGTCCTCCAGGATCACACGTGAGAGGTTGAAAGTGACGGGCAGAGCTTGGATTGGTGGTGAAGGATCTTGACGCAAATATTGAACAACAAAACCTGATATCACGCCTATGACAGGCAATCATGAGATCAAAAGCATTCAGAGTTCCCAGTTTCCCACTATGTTCTGCACAAAGACCTGTGGATCAAGAAGTGGCGTAGAAATGGAGGGGTGAATGCGAGACAACGGAACCGAACTCGAGATGGTAGCATTGAACTCCACCCTGGGCCATATAGCTAATTGAAACAATGATCGTCCAGCGCCTTTCATACTTTGCGTGGTAGAACTCTGCGAGAGGATGCCATTTACTTGATCACGTATCCTCCGTAAGTTGCTTAGCATTGACTCGACTCGTGGAAGGAAGAATGGATACTCCTCAACAGCCTCTTCAGTCTCTATATTGAGCTTACTGAGCCGGATTTCTATCCATTCTACCCGATCCAAAAGCAAGAATGCGGACACATAAAGAAAAATATCATCGCCGCAGGTGTCTGGGGATAATGGATTTGGCCCCATCCAGCTGAAGGCGGAGAAATTTTCATAGCTGGGATAGAAAACATATTCGATGACAAAATTCTTCTCGGACCTATGTTGAGCAGGCTCTAGCCATCTGCCGAGCGATGAGTCTGAAGAGACGGTGCTGCGACTTTCTGCAAGGCAAGGTGGCGGTGTCGGCATATTGGGGAATTCTCTCCAGATTGACTCCAGATCAAGATCCAAATCGTAGTCTAGAAAGATCATCAGCGCCGACGTGGAGTACTGAAGAAATATAAACTAACCAATTTGATCAAGCTGCTTCATTGTTGTCATGATTACGTTGACGGAGAAAGTTAATGGAGGTAGGACTGGGGGTTTCATTGGGTCTATATAAACATCAGAATGGCTAGCTGTAGGTATTTCTTGTTCATTTAATACACCAGCTTTTCTAGGCTAGAGCAGCTCGTCGAACAGATGAAGTAAAGAAACCTAGAGAAGCCCTCTCGGTAATTGGCCATGTCCAAGAAAAGTCTATGCTACCCATTGATGTGTTCTCCTGGCGAAAATGCAATCTGTTGATGTGGATTGCCGGTGAGGTGTCGGGAAGGCCCGCTCCACTCATGCCCCACCCGTTGAACTTTCCACCGGTCGGTCCTGCCGGTATGGTTTAAATAAGAACCACACCGGTCACACCGTGTTCTTTGCCCTTATGCCTCGAGACTTGGTCGAACGAAGCTAGCATACCTCTTCTATTCCGGCCGAAACTCATTGCATCCCACTTGCCTGAAACGACTGTCTGTCACTATTCTGCAATGTTCCGAGAACGCCCTGGTGTATAGAGAAGAAGACCTGACGACGATCCCACAGCAGCAGCTCTTGGTGATTGCAGAACTGCTGGAGCCTTTCTTTCTCCACCACCAGCCATTCCTGTGAACTTTGCAGGAAGCGACGTTCCTCTTCCAGGCGTATTTTGCTGGCTGACTTGATCGTGTAGCAGTCCCACAGACACAGATAGAGGTCCAACAGCTCGACAGCAGACGATGATAAGAAAAAGTTATTGTGTTGTTGCAGGATCTGCGTCATATCGCTGGTTAGTGAGCAGGATTCGTTGATCGGAGTTGTCTATTTTTTCGTTAATGCTGGCCAGAACAGGACAACGTAGTATCTGACCTTTGTCCTGCCCGGTGACCCTCGGTTAGAAGAGTCTGTGTCTATCACTTCTTCGGAGCCCTCTTGCAGGCAAGCTGAGTTGTCCATCTGATCGGGAAATTCGCGCTTCCTCTTATTCACTCGTTCTGCAGGAGGATCCATTGAACTGCCGATTCCTGAACTTTGTCGTTACAGTATTAAGACGATCGAGGTAGGAATCAAGGCGTAAGTCTATTGGGCACGGGCACGGGCACATTGTATCCCTTATATCAAGAGCTGGAGGTACAGTGTACAGTAAACTATCTTCTAGGGCTAACTGATTGTAATCGGAGAACAGGTTCCCACCACGCGGATGATAATCACAATCAGCACGCCCGCACTGATCTACTATTATCCACTTCTATGCAGAATGAGAGAATGTTAGAAAATGCCTTGCCATGGGTGAAACCCCAATGCATCTTCAGTAAATCATACCCGCAAGCAACAGCGGGTGTGTGCGGAAACCGGTAAACATCTCGTTGACCGGCTCATTTGTTCGGGTGAGACAATTTTACGAGGGGTTTGACCAGAACGACGGAGAGTATCTGTTTGCGGATTGCTTAATTGATAAATTTTATCATCCCATTCAAATAAAGAACCTAGGATCACCGTAATCTCCAGTTCGTTCACATCTTGTTCCCAAACCCCAGCTTTCCGAGCCTAAGGTACTACCTTCACCCTAAAATTGAGGAATGATTCAATTCGGTAGCTCGTACATAGAATGGAAGGTAAAACAGGGCCAACGCTTATTTCTAAAAGGCTGACAAGGATACAGTATTAGTGCCAATATCTGAATTACAGGCGATTATAAAATCTACTTCTGGAGACTGACGACATGTAACTTACAGGCATGCTTGAAATGAGTTTCACTTTTGAAGACTCTTCTCTTCTTTCTTGAGCTCTAATCTGAACCCCGCTAGTCCATCCTCGATTTAGCTGGTTGCGGGATCTCCAAATGTCTCGTAGCAATAGATTACAGAATTTGAGGTGCTGTAGCTTTCTAGAAACACGGATCCGATTTATCGCCCCGCTCCAAACCACCAGGCTACTTCCTACGAAGATGCAGACCTTAGACTCCAGCCAGGTCATAAAAGGCAAATTTGGGAACATTCCAATTAGTAAGTGGAAGATATAGCCTCAATGAGACGGGACTAAATACTAAATAGTTCAGAGCCTGAATACAACCGGAACCGCTCAACCAAGCATGCCTTCGGAATCTGTGTACTACCCATCCCCCTGATGATGAATAACGCATCATGAAAAAATAAAAGCAAAGGGGTTTAGCAATGGCTCGTATTAAGGTGTCTATGAAAAGGCAACAAATCTGCTTCCCATCTCCGCCCGCGGCCCCCAAACAAATGACACAAAATGCCACCAGCCCTAAGCACAAGGGTGGCTATTGGCGCAACTACTACTGGATCTATGCCTCATAAAGTAGGAATAGTGTCATCTAGTTGCGACCATCTTTTGAGGTCCACCTGCCACATTCAGGCATCATTTCCTTATATGATTGGCGAACCCTCAATTAATCAGAAACTATGTGAGTCACAGCAGCAATGATATAGATATCCTGGTGTTACGCATGTCGCTCCGATGTACCTTATCATGATTAATCAAAGATGACATCTCACGTCGAAAAGACATTCTCTGAGAGCTCCTTGAACGAGTGAGATGAAACGGCGCTCATTTTGCTCGTTCAATCGCTTGACGGCTTCTGGTAACAACAGCAGTCTCCTTCTCATTTTCAGTGGATAGCATTTGCAAAGATAAATCTGTGCCTTGGTTCGACAATCCAATTGTTCAGAGTACTCATCCAAGTCATCTAGAAGGGTTTCAAAACATGTTTTGAAATTTCCCATATCTTGCGCACATCGAGAATCTCCAAGGGTTCTTGCGAAGGCAGTAGCGATGCCAAGTTTTTTGAAAAGATGTTGCCGGGTTTGCGTAACTCGGTGAACTGCAGCATGCCGGATATTGGTGATATTACGCTTCCACCTTATGATTCCATTTGAGCCGAAGGAATCTGAGCGCCTTTCCAGTATTTGAAAGAACTTGGGCAGTTCCATCTCCTCCGGGCAAACCCATTCAAGTGGTTGGCACGTTTGATTTGATAATCGCTGGAGAAATGCAAAACCACATTGCTCTAACCGACACTGCAAGGCTTTCAAAATAAAGTGTTGGGCTTGAAAAGGTACATTGTGCGATCGCAGATTCCCAGACTCGAAAGTGAGCTGTCGGAATCCTTTTGTACTTGAATTAATCCCAAAGTTCTGTGCAAACAAAGCTCAAACTTACTATACTCTGCTTTTGGGATCAAGGTGGCGTGCTTTAGCCTTGATCGTCGGGGGCGAGCCTTCATTAGGATAGCATAGGTTTTAGTGATGCTTTTCAAGTGGAAAATATCCTGTTGGAGGCTTTTAATTATTAAATTTCGGAAACTGTTCACTCTCAAAATTCATAGATGACTGCAGCTTTATATACACCGAAATTTTACGATTCCGATCATTTCGGTGCAGATTGACGTTTATAGACCGCAGTTATGTGCTTGGCAGATAAGCAACGGTCAGGCCCTTGAATCTTCAGCTCTTTTATAAAGCATGGAATTTATGGCTCACGCAATCCAAAGAAGTAAGATACCGGTAAGAAATTCTTACAGCTAATATGGTGAGTTCGCAACCGGTCGACATGACGTTCAGGGTCCTCTGGTGCTGTACAGACCAATGGCTGTTTTGCCCAAGATGCACTACCAATGGTATTTGAAATTCACCGGCTACCTCTCATGGTATGGCTATTGGAATGTTCTCGGGGAGGAGGTGTATTGTTGATCTGTGTAACTAGCATCTGTTTACACGTATCTCTCCGTTGTCCACAATTGCAGTCCCTTCCATGTCTTACTAAATAAACAAGGAAATGACAGATATGCCATAGCTGGTATGTAACTGGAGCCGAATTGAATGATATGAGTCCCGGTTTAGAATTCTGCGTATGATAAGGGGGCGTTGAGCTCCAATCCTGGATTTAGTCACGTCACACATTCTGAGGGCATGGGTATCGTCCATTGCGGTAAATAAACTGTAATAAAGCAACTGCTCTTAGATTAAGTTTAAAAGCAAAAATATATTCTATACTTGAGGGCGGAGGAATGGTGCGGTCGCTGTGTAAAAGACGTTTGATGGTGACGAATCACATCTGCTCATCTTGTATTCTACCGTCAACCAGTGTTATAAATTCTGGCCTACCTGCTATCAAAACCACTGGCCAGGCATCGTGATTACCATGCCCAACTACGAACTCCAAAGTCTGCGCGACTCTGCAGTTATCACCATCATCGACATTTTCGGATTGACCTACTTTTCTCTCTTTATCCTCCAATTTCTTCTGTTCCATTTCCCATCATCTCCAAATGCAATCATCAGTTCGCTCTCTGTCATCTCCTTTAGCGGCGGTGGTCTATTGTGGTATTTATCAAGCCTAGTTTACCGAACAATATCTGCGTTCCAGGGAGACGGTGCAGCCCAGTGGCAAAAGCTCGAGTTCAGTGGGGCTTTGATCCTTATCTGGGCGTCAACGGTTCCGACTATGGTCTTGCAATTCACCACACAGCCTTCCATCCAGCTTGGCTATTTGTTCGCATTTACCCTAGTCGCCGTTGGAAACTTGGTGGACTTTTTGCTTTGCGATCCCACCATCTCTACAGCGCGAATTAGGTTCCCTTACCATTGCGTCTCACTGGGTCTGCTATCACTGGTTCCAACCGTTCACGCCCTGACCGGGTCGCTGTCAAGTCCCCCGCCGCTGGCGATGGAACTTGGTCATTTCGCAATTTGTACCACGATCGGTGCTGCAATCTACAGAATCCAACCACTTGAGGCTATTGGGGTATTCAGTAGTTGGCGGTCTAGCCTCTATGTGATGCACTTGGTTTTGGCATACAGTGCTGTGAGTTACTCTAGAGTCGTATTGGAAACGGCACTAGGCTTTGCCCCTTGATTTCGGGCATGCGCATTTATGAACAAGAGATGATAAATTTGTTCCCGAATCATCCATTGTTCTTCCGAATGCTTTTCAATTTACAGGTGGCCTCCGGTTTCCTATTAAATAGCCTATCCGTGATGCTGTAGTGTATCAGAAATATATGAATCTGCATCATTCTCATTGTAGCACTACATTAAAGGTGCGAGCCATGAATGGACTACCAGAACCTGCCACCTTGACTTGATTAGCAAATTTTGGTTATCAATTATCATGCCTTTCTTGCCTCACTCTTAGTCCCTGGATCTCTGTGATCATAATTTTACTTGCAGGCTCTCAGTATTGTAATTTGCAAGAGCATTGCCTTTTTACAATCCTTTTTCCGACCATCTATTACTCTCAAACAGGTTCCAATGACATTTCTTTCTTGATCTGAACGGCTCTTGATTTAATAGAAACGAGAATTCATCTATTATATGCTTGAAATCGATACATGTCACACTTCTCAAGAAGGATCAAGTCTCCGAAAGGGCAACAGAAAGGCTAATAGTCCAGGGTAGAACCTCGCAATAGTGTGGCTTAGTGATTCTGATATGAGGGCAACACAACATCACCAACCATGATTGTCTTGCTGCTCGGCTCTTCCAATCCAGTTTTGGCTGCACTAGTGGAAATTGCCGTATATCTACCGAACAGGGTTTTACCATCGACCTTTCGCATCTTGGCGAGTGCAGCAAGAACTTCATTGCGTCGCAGGCCCATCGACTGGCTGACGCATAGCATCTGACAGCGCAGGCACGGATCAAAAATATCAAAGCGAAGCTGGTCTTGTCCAATGCAAACAGACGACCACTTATCCTCAATATAGGGTTGTTCTGCCCTCTCCAGCTCAGAGGGTTGCTCTGCCACAACAATATTGCCCTGGAATGCATCTGCTGCAATAACCTTGCTGAGACCAGAGGCTTGCTCGGTGTTGGCCTTGACAATTTCATTCAGACTATTGACAGACGATCTAGAGACGATCAAAGTGGACGTCTCGCTAGAAAGAAGCAGATACTTCTGACCAATTTTGCGCTTAGATCGATGAGTGGACGAAGCTTCCCTAGTAAAACTCCGAAGTCGATCTTTCCAAGTGCTGGCAAGTTGTGGTAGCCGCATGTCCAGACTTGGATCCTGTGAGGAGAAACGTGCGAGGGTACAAGGTACACCTAGAACCTGAGTGAAGAACGTTGAGACCATGGGCGAGGCGTAGGCACGAAGACACAACCTATCTCTGTAGGCACTGGCCGACCCTTTTTGACAACTCAAACGTACCGGAGTAGTCATCAGAGTCATGCAGTTGTCGTTCCAAGCTAGAGGAAGTTCGAGGCTTAATTGATCATTTGGGGCATCGCATGTGACGCGCAGTATGTCACGATCAATATCGAGAAAGGGACGAACAAGAGCCATCTGTGGGTGTTCCGTTCGCTTGAGCGGAACACCAGTCTCATGATGAACGAGGTGCCATTCTTGATCCCATAAAAGTCCATCTCTTTTGATCTCCCAGCGCCTGCCTTTGGGAATTTTGAATGCGCCACAACCCTTGATGGGAAAGATTGTCAGACTTTCAACATAAAACTGAGGAGTTATATTCTCATCCATGTCAGGGTTCAGTGAAAGGATATGGGGACCTTTCTCCACATAAAACTCTTCGATAAATTCAATCAACGAGTCAATATCCTTTTGGTTGGTCATTGCACCCAAACTGACACGCAGGATGCCGGTCGGTCGACCGCCTAATATATCGTGGTCATCACCGCATCGTAAACCGGCAGCGTAATGATGCCGCAGCTCTGCACCCAACCATCCAAGAGACCGGGCCGTTCCTCCCGGGTTGCAAACTGATCCGGAACGCAGTTGGATATTCTTCAGTGTTGCTAGTTTTTCGACCTCGGTCTTAGGAATCCACTCGTCTCGACTGTTTCTGAGATTGAACGCGATGATCGGGCCCTGAAGCGCTTGGTTTCCATAATCTGATTGGTAGATCCGACAGACCTTCTTGTCGTTGAAGTGTGTCAAAGCAGAAAGTCGATCATAAACTCGTTTGGCGAGGAACCCAGTGTGAGCAGAAATATTTGCCATTGAACCGTAAAGACGTTCGTGCGTGTCCATGGCGGCATCCAGCGCAATAATGCTGTGAAAAGGAAGAGTACCGTCTTCAAGTTGCTCATGGATCGTGGCTTCTTTCTTCGCATGCCATTGCGCTCCGGAAGCTATCACCATATCCACTGTCCCCCCACCGAAGAACTTACGCCGTTCAAGAATGCGGGCAGCGCTTTTTCGGACAATCAACGCTCCTAGATCAGGAAATCCAAAAATCTTGTAAAAACTTAGTGCCGTAAAATCCGGTGCAGCATTTGCATTTCCTAGGTCGAGAGCAGCGGTTGACACAAATGAGGCGGCATCAAGCAAAGTGAACACATTCGCTCCTCCACCGACTGCGGAACGGATCTGCTCGCACCATCGTAGAGGGAGACGTCGACCGTTCATATTAGACTGGGCCGGAAAAGCAAACAGCCTGGGCGCTCTCGACTGAGTTTTGCCTAGCTCGGCGATCCAAGCATCCACATCGGCATCATGGAAACATTGATAACCCATCTTGGCGACCTCCCGTACACCGATAACACTGGTATGAGAATCAATATGATAACCGTACCAGAAACCTCGTGAATCAGAATCCTGAAATGAGTCTGCAACCAGTTTAATAGCCGCAGTCGCATTTGCCACAAACACCACATCAAACAAGTCGGGACTGGCATTGAAGAAATGGAGAACCCGTGATCGTACACGCTCTGTGCGCTGTGTAGACAATTGTGATGACACGGACGTAGAATGAGGATTTCCGAATAGACTGGATTGCATATCATGAGAGAACGCTGTGATCGATGACTTGGCATAGACAGTTGTGCCGGCATGATCAAGATAAGTTGTCTCTGTTGCCGCGGGATATAATAGTTAGTATAAGTAGATCGAATAATCTCAAGTATGGGGTCTTACGATTTAGGAGAGGATACTCTTGCTTGCGGAGGGCATCCACATCAAGATAGTATCCTTGGCCATAGCTGCCATGCCTGCATTTCCCAGGACCACTGTCCGTCATAATTGATGAGATGGATGGAAGTGAGCACTTCAATGATGGTCAAACACCCAGTTGTACACAAAGGTCTCAATCGATTGACAAACAAAAAGATTCCGCTGTATAGTCTTTAGTGAATGCATTTATAGGTGAATCAATGGTGATAGCTACGTAGTAGCTATATAAGTAGGTCCGGTGGCAGAGCTTCTTTCATTTAATGTTCAAGGCGTGAAAACGATAATTGGGCATTAAACTGATACTTGTTTAAACTATTGTCCTTTTTATAACCATCCTTCGGAAAATTGCTTACTGGAGTCGTATTAATAGGGACTAGTTTTTCTGTTTTTCTGTTTATGTTTATCCTTAATACCAGGTGAAGCTGCCCGATTGCAACTGGCCTGCCTAGTCTACCACACCCCACCAAACATCTCCGATTTTTGATCAAACTTTCTAGATAGATTACGCTCAACGCCCCACTTTTGTTCAATATTTAAGCCATATCATTTGAGTACTATACTCGAGGCAAACATTGTTAATAAAATAGCGGTTTGTTGCAGTAAATTTGAACTCCGGCAGGAAGCCAAGTGCTATGTGTAGACTGACATATCCCTAATTAATCAATCGAAGTTCTTGGATTGATTCCCTGCGGACAACGTCCGGTTTTGTTCCCCTTACCAACTCAAGGAGACCTCCCAATAGTAGGTACTGCCTTAGAGTCTCGCGCGAACTCCATAACAATATTACGCTCACGCGTAAGTTTTACTTTGCCATTTTGAATAAAGTTACCTTTCTGCAAGCGAGATAAGACGCTGATGTAAGGGTTAGCGCCAGAGATACACCAGAGCGATTTTTTCGAGACCTACCCTTGATTTTCAGTTAGCACCTCCACCCACACAGAATTTGTCCTTGTATCAGATAGCCAGCAGTATTGCATCACCAAGTCTAAAAGCGATGCCAGATTCTGTGCGCTGCTAAATTCGTCGTTTCCAACATAGAACCGAATAACCCGATCCCACTCTTTAACCTCATCAAGCACACGATTGAGGGAGTCCTCGCATACCCTGGATATTTCAAAATAGCTGGAGTGGTATGCGTCTCTTTGGATCACTTTTCGCAATTTGTAAAACTTGTAAAAGATGGAAAGTCCCAGGCATATAGCCAGGGTGACTCCTGTGACAATGGTTGTCACTAGAGCCATGACGGACCAGTCTCCACCTTGTGAAGCGCAAACGTTGACAATCGTAGTGAGCAAACCAGCTGCTGCATTCAAGGATGCTGGCCTGTGATTCAATCAATCAGCCCCAGATGTTAGTTTCAGAAGGCCATCTTACATGAAAATTTTATTGATCAACCAAGAGTAGTTGGCTTTATACCTTGTGAATAGCCACGCTAGCAAAGTTGCACCGGCAACTAGGAATATGCAGGAAAAAACAAGGAGTGGAGGGTTTTGTATAGTCCTAAGAATTACCCGCCCTGCGCTGTTTTTCTCCAGTGTCTCTTCCACGCTACTTGAGCCTTTTAATGAGGTGAATGTGCCCGGAATGACCAAATACCCGGCGAGCAGCACCCAATTTCCTCCGCTGGCGAGAAGATTATAGATCCAATTCATCTCTGCCTCTTCCTTGAGCATTGTTGTGTATGATGTTTCATTTCCTAAGATTTCACGGGGCTCCGCTTGGACCACTTGATGGTCCTCGAGCGTGTGGGTGTGACTCTTTCGTCGAAGCCATCTTCGGAGGTATTTATGTAACGGAGCCATCATACCAACAAAAAAGGGTCGTCAAAAAGGGGAACTACTTGGACCTTGAGCAGAGGGATCCATGCAAATACCTATATAAGTATTTAGAAAGCTTCGTGGACTGGATCAACAAGGCCATAAGGAAAGAAGCTTCCTCCCTCGATTTTGTGAATATCCACGTAGGTCAGGTGGCCATTCTCTACACATTTTCATAAGTTAGGACCCGGTTTTAAAAAGACGTCCTAGATAAGAAACGTTTTATTTTGTACTTGCAAATTCAGAGGAATCACGTCTTGCGTATTTCCCACGGAAACTGAGTATGTCTTAACTGAGCCAAATCATTTCAGGACCGTTTAATTTTTGAATCACAGGCTCTAAAAATAAGGAAACCCATTCATCAATATAATTCTTTAACGCGCCGCAGAAATAAGAGTGCCATTACTTTTTGGATTTTAAAAAAGAAATCTATAGGTATATTTACCAATGTCTGATACTTAAGGCTTCTGGTACTTTGAAACTTCTGACGCTTACTATCACTCTTTCCATTTCAATGGCATCATGGCTTGATCTCGTCTCGGACCCCACAGGCTGGACCTTGGTAGACACGGGACGAATGAAAGAACTAGTGCAGGGAATGAGCCATCCACATACTCAATTTCCTTCGGTAGTTTACTTCGCTGGGAACGGGAGTCGAATCAAGGCGCTTCGTGCACTTTTCCCTCACAACAATATTACGCGCAGAGGCCCAGCTGGTCTGGTGCGACTGCATCTTAGCACAATAACTGCGAACACTCAGAATCCTATCCTGTTGGCAGAAAGCAGTCTTTCCAATGTTTCCGGGCTGGGTGAATCAGGTCTGCGCCACTGGTCATCGGACAATGTTCAACGTTATCGCATTCTTCAAGGCGGGACTCGGCGAGTATTGGATATACAGCAGCAAGTCATTTCTCAGATGCTTCTGCCGTGGACAAATGTCTTTTGTCTGTTTGTAGATACTCAGTCTGACATGCGCAACGCTTGTCAGCTGCTTAAGAGATCTCGCAAAACTATCACGATCGGCTCTCATTCAATTCCGGATTTAATGCGTACCGTGGTCGTTCTAACAGGAGCTCAAAATCATGGAATTGAGGATCTATCTGAAGCTTGCCATCAACTGCTTGCCACGGACAGACTTAGTAAGGATGTCACCATCCTAGACCTACGCGACAGGCACAAATTATCCCCAATAGCAGCTTTTGAACCATTACGTCGTCTCATTTTCAATGAAATCCAAGACGTCCGGGTGGAACAAAGCCGCCAAGGCCTATCTTTCTCAGCTATACACCTAAGCACCCTTTGGACGCGAACACTGCGCCTCGATCTTGGTACCTCGAAAGCTGGCGTCCTGGATTGCCTTCAAGTTGCCCGAGAAAACCACCGGCTCAACAACATTTCGACAGAATGCCTGGTCGAGTTCATTAAACAAGCAACCAGTTTTATCCATGCCAAAGATGGAGTCCATGCTTTCATTGCATCGGCGTTATTTATGAATGCCTACCCTCCTGGAATGCATGGTGAGTAACGGAGTATTTCATCAGTACCCACCCTTGATAGGGCAGCACTGACACCCGCAGGCTTTGATCCCGACCATGTTTTCAGTAAACTTTATCGCAGACGCTGCCTGGAAGGATGGCGTACATTGGAGGATAATGATGAGCACCAACATTGCAACACCGTGTTTGAACATTTTACGCAGTATTTTCGGTCGATGGGTCCAACACGTTCGTCTGCAGCCATCCGAAAGGATATACTGCGTAGCTACTACCTTCAATGGAATGGTCTACATTCAACAACAACGTGTTTCTATTGCTTATGTCGACCACCAGAGCATATGTTGGCGTGCCGGCATGCAATTTGCGATACTTGCGTTGTGGTTTTCGGATCACCAAAGAAATGCGCTGAATATCACTTCGATATTATGAAGTGCCCATTATGCTATCAGCCTTCTCCACTCACATTTCGTCAGCTACCACCCACAAAACGACCCCTTGTGCTTAGTCTAGATGGTGGTGGGGTTCGAGGTATCATTCAACTTGGTCTCCTACGTGCATTGGACAACCGGCTTGGCAATGGATTATGCATACGGGATATATTTGACCTAAGTACAGGTACAAGCGTGGGTATGCAGCAACTATCCAGTCAATTCCCCGGAATGCTGCTTTTGGTTTACCTTTCTCCTCATGTACTTGGATTATCTGACCATAAAGCAGGAGCCCTGAACGAAATAGATCTGATCCTGAATGGTACCTCGGCCGAAGACGGTTTCAGGAATTTCCCAGCTTTTGCCCGAAAAGTCTTCCAGTTGGCCTCAGCGCCGTCGCAAAAATTCTCAGTCACTGGTTGCGCTAAATGGATAAAATGTCTGATTGGATTTTTTGCAGATGGCCAGTATGATGGAGATAACTTGGAAAATACACTTAAAGAGGCAATCAATCCAATGCGACGAATGTTTGATGTGAGCACAACTCTTTCGTCGGGCAGTCGACTAGCTATCATTACGAGTCGCATCTCCGATGGTAAAGCTTGCGTGCTAGCAAATTATCGTGGTATTGGTCAACGTGCCATCGATTCGGCATACGAGTTTCTGAAACCAGAAGATGAAAGTCAGAATCCTTTTCTTTGGGAAGTGTGAGTGCTATTGACCCTTTGTCTTTACGTCGTCTTTCGTCCTCTCTTTCTGGGGAAACTAACATTTGCCAATATACAGAGCTCGATGCAGTGTAGCCGCTCCTTGGTAAGCTATTTCAGCAGGAGATAATCTATTTTCCTGCTTAAGCTAACACTCAATCAGGTTTTTCCAAACAAAATCTCTCCCCGGATTTGGCCCATTGCAGGACGGTGGGGTGCGTGCCAACAACCCCTTGGCAATTGCATTGAAAGAATCCGCCATTATCTGGCCTTCACATGGAACTCATGATCTTGTTGTCTCAGTTGGTACAGGTCTTTCAAGCTGCGAGGCTAAGGCACAAGATGCCCCTTTGGGAGGCATCCTCAGGGATGGGGCAGTTCCACGCATTATCAGAGCAGCAATGTCCTCACCATCCATGGATGGTGAGCAGGGCTTCTATGAGGCACTCAATTATGTTCCTGACCGAATGAGAGCGCATATATTTCGACTTAACCACGCTCTACCTTGGCCTTTACCAAGATTGGATGATGTTAGTAGATTGGAGGATCTTTCCGGATTGCCATACAGCGTCCCAGACGAGCTTGTTCGTGCCATACTGGCAACAGGGTTTTTATTCTTTGAATTGGATCAAACGCCCACCAGAGACCAAGGGATCTTCTATTGTGAAGGTTCAATTCTCTGTTCAAGTCCGCATGCCAGCGAGCTGATCAAAAGAGTACTCGCTGAGTTTCCGGGACCTCGGTTCCAAACTGCAAGCGGATATCACCTTGGTTCGGTTAGCAACAATGACGGCTGTTCTGAGTGTGGGTATTATCGCAAAAAAGTTTCTTTTACCGTTAGGAGCCTGGAAGAGGTTATTTCAATCGAAATTGCCAATTCCACTTTTCATCACAAAATCGGTGGCTTTCCAAAGTCCATGCATGAATTTCTCAATGAGCAGCAAGTGTACGCAATTTTCGGTCGCGCGGACCACCTAACCGTTTGTTGGCCATCAAATAGAGTATGCTACTGCTCTCGGGGAACCAAACGCCGTGTCCAATTTCTGGAGCCATCTCCAGGCAAAAAGAAAAGTCGGCTGTAGAACTTGGGGCGTAGCCATTTGCTACAATTAGCAATTGATGTTTAGCTCTGGTAGTGCTCACATAAAACTACCGTTCCATTGATAGCAATTTTGCTCACGAACATGTTATATACAGCCATTATGTCTCAGTCCAATTGGAAATTTTAAGAAACAGGCTCACCTCTAAAGACCAAAATAATCAGTATGTATCCAGGTAACAGATGATATCGGGACAGATTGTGCAATAGACGCGATGTCGAGTAACACAGCTTTTCTTCCAAAGGAGTTTCCACAAGTACAGTCGGCTACTACTTAATCACCGAATAGTATTTACATAACGCGGGCTCATTGCAGCTTTAGGTATGTAAATTAGTAATTTTCATCGAAGGCTCTCAATAATGGTTGTCGGTACCTGTGATTGTGTTAACAATTGTTAAGGTGCAAAAGCCTGTACATGTAAGATCCTACGTCATATTGCGTGGGCAAGGCAAGTTCCTCTCCTATTTGCCCGGGGTTAGCTCTCATTGAAAGAAGATGGGGAAAACCATAAACCGCGCTCTCCACGCCCGCAGGGGTGGCCAGAGAAAGCGAATTAGACTGTGAGTGTGACGGGCTTTGTCATCGTGCTCTCTTAGCGCGATCTTCAGCAGTAAGTAGCCGTGGTAAATTTTGAGACTAGCCGATTAGGAGTACAGTAGTAGCGAAACTGATAGCTTTGAGGCCATGTTTGTCAGTTGTTATTTAGAAATGGCAACGTCAGGCTTAGGGTTCTGGTGATTTCGCTAACCCTCAATTCACCACTCTCCCTCAATTCACCACTCTCCCTCAATTTAAAACTGAACATGAGCCCATTGGAAAAGATAGTCTATGACATAGCTTTTGCGGCACTTCGAGACAGTTCCCATCAGGTGAACATTTCTTTGAGGCTCATTTTAGGCCCATTTTAGGCTCATATATAGGGAGCCAGCTCAAGGGTTCGAGAGAGAACAATGTCAGCAAAGCCGTCGACAATCTCGTGGCTTTAAAAACTACGGTGTCATCTCTAGAGGAACAATTTTTCTTCTTCACATTCCTGCCATGCCCTTGGAAGCAACGGACAAACGCTATTCCAGTGGCGCATCTTCCAGCATCTACAGCCGGTCGCCCAGTTCACCAAAGCGATTCTTAGTAGAAGACTCCGCTTCGCTTCCTACCGGACATGACCTTCCGGAAATAAATTCATTGGACCATCAGATAGCCTTGGTTCGTGGCTCAACTATAGCTTTAGAGATTACACGCACACGCCTTCAAGAATCAAAATCCAGGCGTAGACTGTCGCTGCCGGAATTACGCCAGGAAAAACTTTGCCAATGGGAACAGCAAGAAAGCGAAAACCAATTTTATCGCTCATGTCTCAATATCTTCAAGGACTTATCTACAGTTGTCGCTAATGTTTCGGAAGCTCTGACTCTACAATACCATTTTGAACCGGAGGTCAGTCCTGTGGGCAATATGCGACTTTTGCAGGCAATCAAAGCCTTACACGAGGCTTTAGAAAACTCTCGAGTCCAGGAAGCACGAGCAGAACAAGAGTGGAAGCGTCAGTGGAATGTTCCACGGATCTGGAATCCTACCACGCGGTGGATTTAACGCCGACAAGCTCATGGTCACTGTACCAATTTGAATGCAGTTTCCAAGCGTGGTCTAGACTTCTCAACAAGACATTATCATCCAAAGTCAAACGGAGCTAGTCATGCATTGACTAGTAGCCTTCATGATATTATCCATGTTGCATTACATGTAGCCAGGCATGACAAGCTTTTCTTGTCTTGCGCTCGTTGGTCAAATGCAAGATCTTGAGTTATAATTACAGTACCAATTATCCAGTTCATAATTATACTTTCCAGCTTTTGCGACTTAAATGTTAGTCAGTCAACAAAAAAAACGACCTGGATGATACGTGTATCTCATTGGAAAACATATAATAGATTTACTGTACAGGAGATCGATAAAAGGTCACATGGTTTTTAGTTTCCCGCGTCGACCAATACACGTCTATTCTTATCAATTGTCCAAAACGAAAAACACCCCGAACTGAACCCGGCTACCGATTACCTTCATAGTCTGGGAATCTGCCGTATGCATATCAGCACAGCAGGCTTGAATAATGATCACGGAAGGTATAGCATTTGCTATATGGTTGCTTTCTGTTGTCTCCAGTGTTGTAGTTCAGAGGTATGAATTGTGTTATTTATTCAGAGGGAAATATGAGGCTATTTATACAACGAGAAGATCAAGTTGATTGGAAATCAACTTGGTTCTTCGTATACATACTTCGGGATTAATTCCGATGGTTCGGTTGGTTCCTGATCGGTACCAGCCTCATATCACAACATCCAGAACCTTTATTTGACTTTCTTCTATCCGTTCATCAAACTTTTGAGGCCTAAATTTGCCGCCGCGACACGGTAGAATGAGACATACTCTGACCTTTCTGTGAGACCAGGAGAACAATTCATGCTGGTGCTGAAGCGTTTGCATCAAGCATATGGTACATGAATAATGGGAACCCTTTCGTTATTCAGGTCTTCTCACGACATCAGCTAGGTCCGATTATTCGCATGAAACCCTACGAAGCGAACATCGAAGGTCCGGAAGGAGTAGCTAGTCTTAGATTTGTGGCAAGAGTCCACGTCCACACATCTTCTTGCTATGTAAAAAGGAAGCGAGTTATCATTGAATATACCTGATCGGATGCCTAGACTTGATCCGCCAGCTGGCGGAACGGGGAATTCGAACAGAACTGCGATGGATCCCGGCTCACCAAGGAGTGCTGGGTAACGAGACAGTGGACCAGCACGCAAAAGATGCGGCCCAGAAGCCCAACGACGCACAAAATTCCCACAATCGATACATTCGCCTGGCTGCCGCGACGAAGCGTCGATTTCGCCAAGAGGCAAAGATCGAGTGGGAAAGAGCATGGGCATCAGAGAAGACCGGTCGGCCGACCAGAAGGCTGATCGAGACACCGAGCAGGAAAACACTGGAATACTGGTCGGGTCTAAATAAAGCAACCGCATCTATCTTGATGCAGCTGCGGACTGGGCGCATCGGACTGAGTGCCTATCTGGCTCGCATCAACCGACGAGAGACCGCACGATGTAATTGCGACTTGGGCAACCAGACGGTGACACACGTCCTACATGAGTGCCCGTTGCATCAAGAGGAACGCGATGAGATGCGCAATGCCCTGTCTGAGCAGGGCATTACTCTCCGCTACGAAGAATTGCTGACGCGCCTGGAGGCACGCACAATTGTAGCGGATTTCATGATCAGGACCGGTCTCCTGGGCCAGTTCCAGGGGCTGGATCCAATAGCTCTCGTAGCGGAAGAAGTAGAGAAAGAATGATCCCTATGAACAGTGTGACGGAAGGAGAGGAATTGAGCCCGCTAGGAGTGCAGTGCCAGGTCCACTGTACTCCCTTGAATCAAACGTGCACACAAGCGCCTGCTGGCATCTGAAGTAGAGGTGGAGAAAGGGGAGAGCTGGGGTCGGTAGAGGTGGAACAGGGCGTCCCAACGAAGGCGGTGAGGACCAGGAACACTCATTTTCCTGCGGGCCAAGTGGTTGTGGATGAACACGTGCGGCCCGCTTTCTTTTGTCTTAGTTTATTTTACATTCGAAGTGATCGAAGAAAAGCTCATATTTTGAGCTTCTCCGCATCTTTCAATGGGCTGGATACCATTTTTAGCTGTCGGCAGGCCCGAAAGCACTCCCGCATAGCAGCATTTACATAGAGCGAGCTACATCGGGCAAATGAATTCATCATCATCATCATCATCATCATCAATTTCATCATCAATTTCAAACTTGAGGCTACAGCCGAAGCCCGTAATAAATCGGCTGATAGATAGAAACAGGGCATCATTTGTAGCAAAGGGTGATTTGATGTTAGTAGAGAGTAGGTTCTATTGGTAAAGTCACAGATTTCTAAAAAATTCCGATTTGATATGATGTGTTCCGTGCGAAGACCACTCGGATAAAGGCATCTTCTAGGTTGCGAAGGGGCTTTCTTCTATAATTCATTTATCCAACTCTTTTGAACATCATATTATATCTTGCAAACTGGCCGTTACTTTGAAAATACTTTGCTGCTTTCATAAACAATGAGATCATGTTTGTAAGCACATATTATAACCATTTTATTGGTTTAGTCTCCATCTCAACTGCATTGCGTGAAAGAGATAGTTGTAGAAATATCCACCGTGACGACGGTAACCATTTAGTTTAAAACAAAAAACGTCAGGTTAAGACACGTAATGTAGTTCATCCGAGCGCCATCATCGTTCAATTGGTCATATGGCGCTCCAGGTTCAGTTGGATGTACTTCCAGGATATAAGCCCTGTTACGCGGCCATATATATAGCCCTGGTGTTGGTGGTCGGAAATTTCCCATCATCATCTCGCACTATTCATCCTACCACAGATATGTACAAGCACTCTTTGGCTACAATTTTCTCGCGACAATTTCGCGGATATCGATTCCCAGCGCAACCCCATCAAAAAACACCCCTTGATTCATGCAGTGGAGCACAGGATCCACCTCTTGTGAGTACGAATGAGGCGTAATGGCATAGCAGCATATTAATTCCTTTATCTTCAGCATTGCATCAATAACTCTTCTGATCAAATGATGCGTTCCCTTTTTCAAGGATACCGTCCTATTTTCAAGCCTCATTATCTGGGGTGGGAGGCAGAATCACTGCTGCGCCTGAGTCCTCCCCAGCAAATGTGCTACTACGATGGCAAATTGTTTGGCGGATACATTGCTCTCCTGATGGACCGGATTATCGCCGATTGCTGCAAACGTGACAAACCAGCCTTCACTGCCTACCTGAACACATCGTTCATTCAATCCGTTCAACCATCAGCGCCAATACTTCTCCGAGCATGGCCAGAAAAGGTCGAAGGTCGGAAGGTTTTTCTCAAAGGTTCTATACAAATCCCTGGAAAGGCACCTCATGATTGGGTTGATGCTATTCGGACAGAGGCGCTCTTCATTAGGCCAAAACCCTGAATTTGGAGTGGAACGCGCGGGCCTTACTTCATCTTTGGTTTTCTAGGCAAAGCTCAGATGTGCAGAATTTTTATTCGTTTATGATTGGCTGTAGTCAAATGCAGTAAATTATTTGTGTTCTTGTAGCATGTGTATGTGGTTGTATTATTGATAGAGTTTCGTGGGTCATGACCCAATCTTTAAAGAGCAGCAGTCCAGATGTATTCCGGCTCCAAGCAGAATCGATTTCCGGAAGGATCTTCCTTCCAAAGGGACTGCCAGAGAGAAAGAACAACTGTCGTCTCAGGACAATCGATGATTCCAGCAGCCGAGGTCATACATGTCATGTCGACAATATCTCCACAAGGCGATGATACGAACTTGTAAGTTTGTGGCTGTCGGTTGCACATCATTCTAAAATCAGTACATTGGCTTACAATATTATGCAGCTGCTGCTGCCGCATATTAGACGCCGTTGTTGTATATTCTGCCAGTTCGCTTTCAACATAGGTCACAAATTGTTCTATCATCATAGCTCGTGACCGTTTCGTGATAGTATCGAGAGCTGTGTTGATTCCTGATTTGCAGTGTTTCCACGTATTTAGACCGCCTAAAGTAACAGTCAGTCAAGCTTTTTGACGGGTAAATGCACGCACTTTGCTCAAATATCAACTGATCTATACTGAAAAAAAGCTCATTATCACATTGACTGAGTCCAGGAAAATATTGAATAAAAATGCAATCATGCATCATCTTCATAATCCAAGCTTGAAGAATTGCCCAACGCTGGTGGTTGTTGCCTGCAACGAGATCTTTTGAATGGGCAGTAGTCGTCCCAATTAATTGAAGCATAGCACTGTAATCGACGAGACCCAGCTTTGCAGCGTCTTTGAAATTCTTTTTCACCCAATGATCAAGGCCCAGTCGAAGTCTTCGCCATTCCCTCACGCAATCTTCCTCGTTGATTACTTGTAGGTCGTTTTCGAGCGTATTAATTCTGCAGCATAGGCTGGTTATCTGTTGCTGGTGCTGGTCTTCTGAGGCAATTGCTTCTGTCTCTAGTTGAGCACAAAGCTCATTCTTCCGACGTAGCTGCTCTTGGACACGAGTATGCTCGTTCTTGTAAGATGCCAAACGTATCCTTAAATCTTGGTTGGTCTGCCTATATTGTAAGCAATTGCTGTCCATATTGGTGGATACCATATACCTTGCGTTGCGCCTCCAATTCTTCGTAATAACTGTGATCAAGTTCTTCCCCAGTCTTTTGAAGTGGATTCAGTCTATTGCCTTCAGCTTGAGACGCAGCAGTGCCTATATATTAGCATTGAGATTGTGCCCTAATTGAGGTAATCCCTACCACGCATAGAACTATAATTTTGACTTGACCTAACGTTTCGAGGCGGGAATAATGAATTCCATAGAGGCATTTTCAACTAGTAATGGACTCTCAAAATTTGATAATGGATTCTGAAAGAATTTGTCTGACCATTGCCCATTAAATATTCTGGCTGATGACGCAAGTGGCAATATGGCTTTTGTGGCATTCAATGAATCAATGAATCATCAAAATAGGGTGGCGAGCGTTTCCGGTGCTTGCCGAGCACTGTGTGCTCATAAAAGCGCGTTGGAAACGACTACGGCAGAATATCAGTTTTAAAACTGATGAGAACACAATCAAAATGGGCAAAAGTACTAGAGCTGTCATTGGGCTCGATTTTGGAACAACTTTCAGCGGGTGAGTCAATTCAACGTCCCATGAATTCAGTCATTATTATTCTCTATTGACAAATGCCAACTCGCTCAGAATTGCTTGGGCACTTGAAGGCGGTTCCGAAGACGTCGAAATAGTATCTAGCTGGCCCGGAGGGGGAAATCGCAAGTGACACGCCGACAAGCTTTATAAGAGAGAGTTTTTAATTCAAACTTAGGCACCACATTGAAAGTTCCTTCTGCTATCTCGTATGAGAAAAATAAATCAAAATGGGGCTATCAAGTCGGTCCTTTGTGCGAGGTCATTCGTGGTTACAAGCTTTTGCTTGACGAAAGCCAGGACCAGGAGTATGCACCATCGCTGGCCTCGAAGTCTCTACTGGCAGAACACAGTAAAAATGCTGTTCAGGTCTCGGGTGAGTATCTGGGACATCTTGTTTTACATGTGAGAGATACGTTGCAACGACGCTTTGGAGACGCTGCTAAGTCAATGGACCTCAAATTTGTGCTTACTGTCCCGGCGGTGTGGTCCGATAAAGCAAAAGATGCAACGCTTCGAGCCGCCATATTGGCTGGTATCAACTCCCAGCAGATATCCCTTGTGTCGGAGCCGGAAGCTGCCGCTCTGCATTCGCTACGGACAATCCAGCCAAATTCAATCACGGTGAGGAACTTTTTATTGATCACCATGGTATTGTACTGACCTTTTGGAAGAAAGACGATGTTCTAGTGGTTTGCGACGCAGGTGGTGGGACTGTGGTCAGGGCCAAACCCCGAAACAATTAAATGGCAAAGTTTAACTCCGCTTTTAGGACTTAATCTCTTATAAAGTACAAGATCTCGATCCACTGAGCCTGGAAGAAGCGACAGAAGGCACAGGTGAGGTTAAAGATGACCGAGCGCGGTAATTGAATTACTCAGATATTTCTATAGGGGCTGTCTGCGGATCACTTCTACTTGATGAGAGATTCGAACGTCTCCTCATGAAGAGAGTAGGCCTGGAGAATTATCAATCTCTTCCAATGAAGGCCAAAGAAGCTGCTCTCTCCTTTTGGAGGGACATGGTCAAGCCTACCTTTGGTGAAGAATCTGACTGCGATTTTCTAGACGTGGATCATTTCATTCCGCTTCCAGGAGCAGCAGATCAATCTGACAAGAATATTGATGGTGGATTTGTCCAATTTGAAGGGTCAGTTCGGCACAGTCCACTATATTAATTGCTATGCTTGACTTTTCTAATTTCTACTCAGCGTTGAGATTGAAGAGATATTTGAGCCAATAGTGTCAAGAGTCGAAGAATTGGTTCGGGGCCAGCTTGAGAAGGTTGCCTGTGCCCGACTCAATGCGAAGGTATCACAAAATCCTGCCACATCGAACTTTGCTGACAATTGCAGGCTATCGTCCTTGTGGGTGGGTTTGGCTCCTCAAGATATCTCTTCCAGCGTTTGAAAGGCAGTAATCCTTCTATCATAGTACTGCAACCCCCAAATGCGTAAGTTTTCTGCCACCTTCAGCATCGTTCATCGGGAACTGATTTATCCCACGTTGGTGAACAGTTGGGCGGCCGTTGTCAGGTAAGAACAAAAGACAAGCAAATAATTCTCGCTCCTAACATCAGCTAGCGGAGCGGTTCTCCGTGGATTAGAAGGAAACCGCGTGGAGACGCGAGTCTCCCGACGTTGGTATGGTGTTTCAGCCGACACACCGTTTGATAAAAGCCGTCATGCAAAACGTGACAAACATTGGTCGGATATTGAAGAACGCTGGTTCGCTCAAGATAACATGACTTGGTATATTCATAAGGTTGGTCAGCTTGAATTGGTTCTCGTTGAAGAAAGACTGAGATGTGAAAGTCCGCCAAAATATCAGAACGTCAGCCCATCAAATTCAACTTTTATCGCGCGGTGAGGGCAGATCAAGCCAACAATTTACGCTTTATGGATAATCTTTTTTTCTGCAACGATGACAGAAAGCCAGAATTCCTTTGCGATAGTGAGTTTCTCGAGTTTGAATTTCCATACAGGCTGTAAAATGTTGACCGAGGCAGGAGTTCTTCCACTTTGCACGTTGGAGTCTGATCTTAGCAAAATCCCTCGGCAGCTTTTTAAAAAAAAACGAAACTCAAAAGGGATTGAATACTTCGATATCCGTTACACTTTAACATTGACACCTACGTCAGCTTTACTGCTTTTCGACTTGGAGTTTAATGGAATTTCTTATGGAAGTGTGTCTTCTAGATATTGAGTCCCATATCCCGGGGCAGTATCTGTGAATATGGCACTTGCTGCAAATTTGTGAAGTGAAGTTCTGCAAGGCCAAAATTCATCAGGAATGACGTGTATTCTTCCAGAAAAATGCTATTATTGGATTGCTTCGCCATCTTGTCAAACAGCCGCAAGGGACAAAAAAGGTGGATGATAAATGGGATAACTCATTAGCTAAGACTGCACCACGGTGAAAACGGACATATTAATCTATTTTATATCATAGTGCAGCTAGTTGTGTGAAATGGCACCTAGTGATGTTCCCTTGTAGCCCTGGAATCGTTTGTGGAAGCCCTGAACTATCGCGCGCAACCAAGACACCGAGTACATAAGCGATGCTTCTAGCTCAAGAACCGCAACATTACTCAAGTATAACGTATCAAGAACTTCCAATATTATTACTTTATTGCCCTACCCCGCCGTCGAGGAAGTTACGTCACATAGAGATTGCTTGTATACTTCTATAATGAACGGGTCTAGCTTCTTTTTGTAAGGACCACTGAAATATGCATTCAAAATTCGTACATGATATGGCCTTTGCATATTGTTAATTGCCAATTGAAAGCAGTGATTTCATTTTACGACTACAAATCAACAGCAGAACCAAATGGAAAGCTTTTCGGCCACAAACCATCCCCATATGACACGTCGAAGAAGGACTTAAAGTGAATAGTCAAAGAACGCTTATTGCAAAATATCTCTTGCAATGGAAAGATCAGCTATTTCCTTGTGTAGCTGCTCTCGCTTCCTTTTCAATGTGGCCTCCTCCCCTGCAATCGCATCAAGCTGTTCTCTGCCCAGACTGCTGACCAGAGAAGGTGACAACAAACCCATCGGGGTAATTGGCCCTTGCATTAGGTAATATCCCGTTGCCTGTATGCAAACGTTGTCAACAAATCTCTTGCGCGCAACTTTGTAGTACGATTCCAGAATATCCTGAAGGTCTTGGACAGCATGTTCGGCATTACTCATATTCTGGTGATGATTCAGATCATCGACACGCACTACCTTCCCTTCCGGACTGTCGAATGCTTTCTTTGCTTGTATCGAACTTGCGCGTTTCTGGCGACTGTGGCTTGTAAGCTCATCATGAAAAAACGCCAGTACAGTATGCTGCGAGCAAATACCATTTTTCCAGATTATCATTGAGGTAGTGATTAACCGTCATTGGTGTTATTGATCTTTCAACAAAAAGCAAAAAATCTACTTCGTCAATCGCACTCTGATATCTCTCGAGCAACTTGTCCATCAAAAAAGAAAGCAAGTTTTCAGACACTTTTCTGTCAGTACAAACCTGTCTCACTCCGGTAGCGATGTAGGCATGAACAATGGTGATTATATCACCGATGTATCCTTTCGCCAAGGATGCCCATTTGAACGACTGTTTCTTCATTAGGCTCGCCAGAAGGACGTGATTAAACGTGCCAATTTCAAAGCCTCGGGATTGGCGGTATTCATCGCCTATCCAGGAGCATATATCATGACTTAAAGGAGGGGATATATTTGATGATTCTGGCAGAATCTCCTGGATTTCCGGAATATCCTTTACTTTTCTTGAGGATATGAGCTGTCTCTCTGATTTTGTATGTTTCGAAGCAATGTCGTTAGCGTTGGCTTGTAGGGGCAACGCGCTATTGAAGTTGATCAAATGACCCCACCGGGATAGATCTTCTGAGAATTTTTCGTTTCTTGTAACAACCTCAGTAGCTAGTCGAAGTTCGTTATAACTTTCGAAAGCATCGTTCGAACTGTAATTTGCTCCCAATGCTTGCATGGTAAGATTTTGGAACGAGTAAACAATATCAAGCAAGTATTGCACTTGCTGCTCCATCGTTTTCCGCTCGGGTCCAAGACCCCGAAGGCCAACTTGGCGGGCCTTGAGGTTTTTGCTAATTTCATACCTGACCTGCATACTATCGTTAGCTCGATTAGGGCTATCGTGTAAGTGGAAATGGCAATTTACCGATGTAAAGGCCTGGCGCGCATTTGTGGTCACAATGTCCCGAATACGAATCTTGAGTGCTTCGATTCCAAAGCTATCACGGCCAATAATGCTCCAAGGGTGCTTTTGGCGGTGCTCCTCTTCAGCTGTATCTCGATCTATACCTCCAGATAGTTCCCTTTGTCCAAGGTTTCGAACAATCACCCATCCGAGCCTTACTTGCATATCTTTTCCTCTGATGAGATCAATGACTTTTTCCTCCGCGCCCTTGTCTACCAAATCGGGCTTGGTTAGAACTCCCAGTGTTCTCTCGCCATCGGGGTCAAGCTCGTGGGCCATCTCAATAATCTCTTGGGTCGCTATATCAACGTTCGCCGGCACCACTTCCAAAATGATAGAGCGAGGATTTCTCATATATGCCTGTACCATGTCACGCACCAAACTTTTGTCTTCCTTCGTGGATTTTCCGGGTATCACATTGCGAAAGATTCCAGGAACATCAATCACACTAATATGATCTTCTTGCGGCCCACAAATTTCCACTCGCAATACGTGACTAGAGAACGTAGGTAATCCGTCATCTTTCAAACGAGAAACACCCATGAGGGTATGAACCTACAGATAGATGTCAATGTCGTCTCTCTAGAGATAGATGCGATCGACATACCTCCGTCATCATTTCAGAGAATGACTCGATATCAAGAGATTGCAGGTTTTTGCCTTTCCACTCTTTTAACTTCGATGCATATGCGTCCTCGGCGTTGGAGTCCGGAATTATAGAAGCCATAATTTTTCTCTCGGTATTTTTGGACCGACGAAATATAATCTGAGTTGCGAACCTTGTACACAGGCCGCTGTCCCGAGGAAATGCCAATCTAGTAAGCCCCTCCAGGACAGAGCTTTTGCCACTTGACTGGTCTCCCACAACAACTAGTTGAGGGAGGTTGATGTAATTTCCAATGTTGCAGGCGAAAAGCTTGTCGATTTTCTCAAGTAAAATTGGATCGGCTAGGCCTTGGTCGTCACCGGGAGGGTGATTCGCCATATTGTGTGCTGTCTGCAGTGAACAACCTTCCTGATTACGAAAAAGATTCGAATGAAATTCGGTTGTAAGTCAAATGTGAGTGGGTACACTTTCACGATGTGGCCATTCCTATATACCCTGTATACACGAGCACTGTAAACGTCATAAAGAGATACAGTATGACAAGAGCTGATCATGTCGGCTATGCTTGGTAATACGAACGAAACTTGGGTGTTCACTGTGAGAAAAGTCAGTCAATAAAGTTTTTGTTTTAAAGTTGCAACCAGACAAACCCCCAGCCGATCCTCCTTCTAGACTCGAAATTACATGTGCGGAATTTTTTTAGAATAGTCATTGACATCATCCAATTTACCACTATGTTGTGATGGCAGGGATTGGGCATCAAATTATCTTGAATTTTACAGTAATACAAATGACTCTTATTTTCTTCTAGATTTCTTCGTAGGAATCTAGCGAATCAAAGTATCACTGTCGTTAGTTTTACTAGTAGTGCCGGGTCAATGTGGGAGGCCACTTGTGCAAAATCGGGCTGCTGGAGCAGCTCATGATGCAAAGTACCGAGAATACCAACGAGCGAAAAACTGTAGTGGAGGTCCTGCTGCAAGCGGCTGGCAGAGTATAGATGACCATATATCGTATGGTTCAAACTACGTGATGATTTGGGCTGCATTGGCAGGCCAGTAGCTGCTGTAGACTGGACACTCTGTTAGGTCATTGAAGACAGGCTTGAAGAGCCGTCTGATAAGGTGGTTCACAGCCACACCCAAGCAAGTATCGGCTGTGCATCCGGTGCCATTAGTCTTGCTTTGTAAAGAGACTTTTGACTGGACATAAGATCGCTTGTCGATAAACTACCATGGTGACCTGGCGGCAGATCTTGGGACTTGGCCTCGATATTTGTCTTGAGAATTTCTTAACAAAGCCAATCCGGCCAATATCTCTGCAGTTTTATTGATCAGTTTTATTGGTGCTCACTTTCAACCACTCTTATTCTCTATCCCTAAACTGAACGTGGCTCCCTCCCACCCTCTCGTTAGCCGCCCGCACCCCCTGCATGCCACGTCACACAAACAAACAATTTCCCCCATACCCTGAGAATCACTCCATCATGAGGCCTGGATAGTGCATGAAGGTATTCAAACATTACTAGCGGGTACAACCCTCTACAGTGCGAAACATTCCTGTATGGTGATGATACGTCCTTCGATTTTGATACTCCGGTCCGGATTAACCTCATCTCCGGGATATACCCTTACCTGGCCTGCAGTAGAAGTCAACTTAGCGCCGTGGCATCATCTGATGTTGCCTTCAAACTCTTTAGACTTGGTTCCTGGATATGTACCTATGCTTATATGAACTCTGTTGGTCCCTTCTGGTCCTTACAGCAACATGCTCTTGTCAGTAGGGCGCTTGATACAGTAGCGCCCGACACCACCTTCCATGTCGGAAACAAAAGAAGCCCTAGTGACATGATATTGTAAAAAAAAATGTTTTGTCCCTACCAGTAACAATACCAGTCCCTTTTTAATAGATGGTAGAGTAGATGCAACAGCCTATAATTAGAAGGCTAGATCTCCTAGAAGATTACACGCAAACGCAACAAACAGTGCAAACAAAGCAACATCTGAAGTTGCTTTACTGCAGCGCTTGGTGCTTCCTAGGGGTTCATCTGCGTTTTAACGTGATAGGCAAGTCTTAACAATATGGTCGTGTTCCAGGATCTCCACCATTGCTTTTCATCATGTGGCAGCTTCAAATATTATTGGACACTAAGTAATCTATATTATAAAGGAGTACAATATCTCAATTGGGTTCTATGTCATTAGCTTGAATATTTAAGGAAGTTGTGTGTACTTCCCTCGCAATCCTCCCAACCCCACCTTCCCCCGCCAGGGGTAAGAAATATCTTCGACATGGATATAATACACCTACATTGTTTTCTAGAAGCTTATGGAGTTTTGGACCAAGAAAGCCAGGAAGTTCTTCATTTGCTTGATAGAGGGCAATATAAGCCGATACAGTAAGGAAGACTGAATTAAACAATTCAAAGCTAGCATCAGGCAGCAGCATCGGGTCTGCTAATATGCGTTCAATGTTATGGTTAGTATGTGCGTGGATCAAATTTTTTTTCCATAAACATAGGAATTTGACTGTTGTTCAGTCTCCCGGGAGTTGTCAGTGAAGGTTAATAAACAGGTCAGGATGTTCCCGTAGTACATACCTAATAGCTATCAGATCGCTTCAAAAACGCTAGCGCAGGTGCAAGAGCAGTTCTTCTAGTGACCTAAAAAGCTACGCCCAGCTGTGTTTTTCTCATAACTTCCGCATTTCCTACTTATCGACAGTGAGACAGCCAACCTAGCCACCGAGGGTCTAAACACCAAATTATTCAACTTCGACACTCAAGTGGGTTTTCAGTGGGAGTGAAAAGCGATCCGAATTAACCGCGATTCATAGTAATCCCACAATCTTTGCGAAAGAGATGAATGAAGAACCTCTCCACAAACGCCCATTAGAGTCCACGGTACGTACCGAGAAACTATACCATAAGACCAAGGCTGCTTTGTGTGTTTCTTTGAGAGCTTTAGCCCTATTGGTCATATTATGTGGCTCTGTATCGGCTGCACTCGTGGGTGGGGGCCACCTTCCTCTTTCCGGCGGCTTGGCAGACAGAAGGTTCGATCGTTGAAGAGAAGAGCTTGTGTTTGCATGTTAATAATTTTTAATTTCATACACGTTCACTTAATCACTGGCATAGCTCGAGATATTGCCTATCAAGTTTCACTTTCGTGTTCTTACAGTAATATTCGAAATCAGTTATACCTCTGTACTCTTTCAACTTGATTGCCGGAAAATATACCCGATCAAAGCTAGGCCCTTTTGGGGCACCGCTCTGTACTGCCGGCAAGACTGTATCTGTATTTGCGTGGCTGAGTCATCGTTTCAGCACGGCATTGCTTGTCTCTCACGATGTCTCGTGGCTGTACTGTAACTTACAGATACCTTTTTGGCAAGCGGTCTGGAAAGCGGAGGTTGATAGTGAAATCCAATCAGAACTTACAGATCTCGGAATTAATTTCCGACAATCAAGTCATATGAGTTGGGAGGTATAACTGATTTTGAAAACTACTGTATATATGCGACGGTAGGACCGGGAGATCTACTGTATACGGAGGACGACTGTAGTTTCTTGAAAGGGAATTCTACTTCGAACTCTAACTGCGATATAAAATTTGCAGTGTTGTGTACCGAGCGGGAACTAACCCCGGACCGATGGCGGACCCACCTTTGGGGGCCTCCGAGCCCCCTCCCACAAACACCCAAGAAACCAACACCAGCTTCTCAGTTGAGGACTTCCAGCCTCGTGTCCCGACCGAGCCGCTTCCTCAATCCCGTAAGAGAACACGGAGCGGTGATGCTTTCGCACCATCGGATGGCACGGGCCGCGTTACCACCAGGGAAGTGTGGAAACTCATCGACAGCCTGAAATTAATCATACACCACCAAACCGCACTCATCGAATCCACTAAAACCGAGATCGAGGAGGTCAGACACGACCAGAATGTCCTTCGTGATCAGAATGATAAGCTCCACGAGGAAATCAGAGCTCTGCGAGCACAAATCGAAACCCACCCACCAGCACCTCCGTCCAGATCATGGGCCGCAGTTGCGGCAAGCGGCAGCGGGGCTTCCCCCCCACCGACCCACCAACGCCCCAACAAGGACCAGAACTGCGTCCGTATCAGCACCCAGCGATCGTTCGTAGACCCAGAGGACAACAATAACAGCGATGGAAACATCTTCGGCCGATACCTCCCCACAGATTCCGCTAATACCCACATCCGCTCCGCGCTAATGAACGCCCCATCAACCCAGGATGCGCAGGTCGCTGGAATTGGCACCACCAAGACGGGCTATGTGATTCGATTCAAGGACCCCGAGTCGGCCGAAGTGGCCCGCAACAACACTGAATGGTTGAATGAACTAGGAAATAGTACGAAACTGGTGAAACCGCGGTTCGGCGTCGTCGTGCACCGCACCCCAACAGAGGACTTTGATTTGGAGAATGCAAACGCCCGAGCTATTGAGAAAATCACGGAAGAAAACGACCTATCGGGACAGGGCTTCCGGATCGAAGAGGTGGCATGGCTCAAGAGGAAGGACAAGCCATTAGGAAAGTTTGCATCACTTGGGATATGGTTCGATTCTACGGAAGGAGCCGAACGCATCCTTAACAATGGCCTCTTAGTCGGCCAGAGATACATTGGTAGTGTAGAACGCCGCGAGATCAAGAAAAAGAGATGTTTTCGATGCCAGCGGTTCGGACACTTGGCGTGGTCGTGCAAGGAGACACCACGGTGCGGCCATTGTGCGGGCCAACACGAACGGCAACGATGCCCCCCAGGGGTCAGAGCCCGATGCCTCGACTGCAGCGGCGAACACCCAACTAGTGATCGACAGTGCCCTACCCCCGCAACTTCCAACCCCCGTCAATGTTAGAGACGAACCTACAAGTGCTACAGTTGAACATCATGAAATCGGGACCAAGGATGGAAGCGCTTATCAACGACCACCAAAGCCAAAACCTGGACGTACTCTTAATCCAGGAACCATCCATCACCGCCTACCAAACACACGTCAACCATAGCGCCTGGCGACTATATCGACCAACTGCCGAGACCGAGGGAGCTCGGTTTCGGAGTCTAGTCTATGTTAACCAGAGGGTCTCAACATCCTCACACCGACAGATCCCTTGTGACCATCCAGATGTTGCTGCCATCAAGATCTGGACGGCCGACTCTCAACTTCTTCTCTTTTCTGTTTACACTAATATTCGAAAACAGTTTCCCCTGCGGAGACTCGGACTTTCTCTCACAGAATGTAATTAAAACGATTTTTACAATGGAATGATCTAGCCATAAACTATCCTAGCAATGATTGGCTATCATCTCGAAGGTATATCCTATTCCGGTTTAGCTTCGTAACAGGTAAAACCCGAG